GCGGGGCACTTGGGCGGTTTGGTACCAAACCATACCTGCGGTTCCCTTTTTAGCCCCAAACCCCTTTTGTTGTGTGCGCCCCCCCCCCCCCCCCCCCTGCCCCCCCCCCCCCCCCCCCCCCTGCCCTCCCCTCCCAGCCTTATGCCTCCTGCATTTATATATGCACCTCACGCTCCTGTCACGTCATATTATATATACACCACTACACAATGAAGTGGTCGTCTGCCCTCCTCGCCGCCTCGTGCGGACTGGTGGCCGCACATGGCGACCTCCCCGTCCCCAAGCTCGTGGGAGCCAGGAAGTTCCTGTCTGAGATGAAGGCTCACCGCGAGCCTATCTTCCCACAGCCCCGGAACGCCGAACGCAAACAACATGAGCACGTCCAGAGACAAGGAAACCACGACAAGCGCCAGAACATCAACGGCAAATGTGGTCCGAGAGATGGTAGCTGCGCCGTTGGCTACTGCTGCTCTGATGCTGGGTGCGTCCCGCTCCCCTATCATCCCGCGCACCAGACCTGACATGCCGGTTCCTAACGTTTGACCACAGATGGTGCGGCCTAGGTGACGAATACTGCCCAGCTCCCGACTGCCAGATCAACTATGGTCCTGGCTGTGATGCGGTACGGTCTTGCGACGATCCCTTGTCCAAACCATGAGACTTTTCTAACACGATTCCCTGTTCAAGAACCAAAAGCCGTCCGGGGTTGATACCTCGTCAGTACCTCGCCCCAAGCTTGGGAATGTTCTTGTTAGCGGTGTCGGTATCTATGACTGCGAGGAGGCTGGTGACATTGCGATCACCTTCGATGACGGGCCATATATCTACACGAATGATTTGCTCGACAAGCTTGCGGTTAGCATACATAGGCCGGCTCCTCTGCTTTCAGAACTAAATCCAGCTGACATGACGGGCCGCAGAGTTACGGAGCAAAGGCTACGTTCTTTATTACCGGAAATAATATCGGAAAGGGGATGATCAACGACCCCTCCACTGGCTATCCGGCCGTTATCAAGGTTCGACATTGTCCATGGGCGGCATGAGAGAGAGAAAGAGTCGTAGAGAGACGCACTTGCTAACACAGAGCAGCGAATGCACGCCGAAGGTCATCAAATCGCCAGTCATACCTGGTCACACCAAAACGCCAGCCAGTTGACAAACAATCAGTTCACGAATCAAATAGTCTGGAACGAGATCGCCCTCAACTCAATTCTGGGCTTCTTCCCCGCCTATATGCGGTGAGATCCCCCCCCATCTGTGGCGACGTTGTATTGCACCTATAGTGTCTGATGCTCTCCCTAGCCCCCCCTATTCGGTCTGTGACAAGACTTGCCAGGACATCCTCCGAGTCTTAGGTTACCACATCATCTACTTTGATCTGGACACCGAAGGGTACCTGATGGACGACCCCAAACTCATCCAGAACAGCAAAAACATCTGGGACAAGGCCATCGACAAGTCCCACCCCGCCACTGACAACTTCCTCCACATCGAGCACGACATCCACTACCAGAGCGTGTACAACCTGACCGACTACTTCCTCGCCTCGCTCTTCAAGCACGGCTACAGGTCCGTCACAGTCGGGCAATGCCTGGGCGATCCGCAATCGAACTGGTATCGCGCTGGTCCCGGTGGGTCATCTTCCTCTTTTGCTTAAGCCGCCAATTTGACGGGCGAGCCTGGGATTGTTCTTGCGTCGAGCTTGCCGTCGGGAAGTTCCTGATCGATCATGTTCTGGGGTAGGTGTTGTATGGTTTTGGCTCTTCGGTCGCAGTGGTGTGGCATGCCTCGCCCGGTTCCGGGTCTGGCAGGGTCTATTACTCCCAATATTAGATCGAGGAGCGCGCCGCGGAATACGGCGTGGCCGGCTACCAGTCAGCATTGGTTAAGCCGGTGGCACAACTGTCCTCGGCTCCGTAGGCCTCTACCCCTAGCCTTATCTTGACTGTATAGTTGTTTGAGAGCATCGAGACAAGCTTTGGAGTGAGTTTATAGCTAACTCGCTGGCCATATAGGAGGAACGACAATACCCAGCGCGGGACCCACCTCGACCAGACCGGGAACGACGACGCGGCGTCCGACGGCAACTAGCACCGCTCGCCAGAGCACCTCAACGGCCCTGCCAACTGATACGCCCATCAGGTCCAGAATCTCCAAGGACGGCTCCTGTGGCATGGATAGTGGCCGCTACACGTGCGCTGGAAGCTCGTTCGGGCAGTGCTGTAATCTCGACGGCGAGTGTGTCGATACTACCCTGGGCTGTCTTTCTATCTTGGGTTGCCAACCAGACTACGGGACCTGCATTTGAGATATCGGGATCGGGACCGGGGGAAAGCATGCCGTACGTAGATTCCTGCATGTTATATATTTCGAGACATCTTGTTCTCTCTGGACAACAGACCAGGTACTGGTCATTGTCAGCTCCTTTATGCAAGCCACACGGGTTAGAGAATAAACATGTTAGAGAATAAACGTGTGCCGGTGATTTGGGGTTATGACGAGGGCCCCCTTCTCTTTGTTTACTCGCCCCTTTCCCGGACCCGCGATGGAGCTTCCGCTTCCGCCAGGTTCCGCACATCATCACCATGGCGATCGTCAATGGAGCAGCCTCGAGATCCTGACTGATCGGGGAGGGCCCGAGGAACCTATTAATATCCCTCTCAAAAGAAAATTCTTCCAATCTCAACCTTTCCGAACCCTCTCATCGTGGACAATTCTGGCAGAGTTCATCATCTCTAGCCACTTCACCATCTCTGCCCGTCTTCATACTTCGTCCTCTTGATTCTAAAGATGGCCCCCCATAATTCCAATACTGGGCACGCCAAGCCCGCGCGGAGAGAGCTTCCCATGCTACGCGGCTCCAACATAATCTGCACCAGTGGTGGCGCCCCCGAAGTAGCTTTCATTTGGCACTGCTCCGAACTGGGCCTCTTGGACGGCGACGAGGTATGGCATCGAGAACTTGAATACTTGAAATGGGTGAAACGCGAGACCGATGATGAGCCGCAGGCACTCAGAGCTTATGTAAGTGTAACGAAGCCTCCTGGGACAGTCTGCTGGTGGCGGCGATGGCGGCGGCGGCGAGGACGACGACGACGACGAGGCTATCCAGAGCCTGTCGAAGATGTCCACTCGGGTTGTCCATTGCCCGTTGCCATCTAGCCAGACGCGTCCACCACTCTTCCAACCCTCCCTGCCCAGATGGAAACAGCAAACCCCAGCCCGTCCGTTCCGTGGATCTGATGGCAAAGTGACATCGATCTCACCACACCCCATGTTTGCATTCACCGCCGTCGATATTTACCACCACCAAATACCCCCACCTACCAGCAGAATTTTCGCCCTTTCCATCTTGTACCTTTTCCCTCGTCTTCGCAGCTTTCCATTTTCACCTCTTCCCAATCTCCTTCCTACCCATCAGGTCATCTCTGAAGAAAAGGGCCAGAAGGGGATAGACAGCAAAGCAACAAGCTAACTCTCTCGCCTTCACCCCGGCTCCCCCCGAAAAAAAGCAGTACATCCCAACCCTCGGCTTCATCAGCCTCAGAGGCCGATCCCGAACCCTCAACTCGATGGCCCCAACTCGCAACCCCGACCCGGCCGAGGATTACGCCGCGACACCCATATTCGGCCTGCCCGACGGACGCCTCTACCGCCAGGCCATCCCAGAGGGCGCCGTAGCCCACGAGCGGCCCACCGTGGACTGGGTGCTCACCGTCGGCGTCAACCGCCAGATCCGCAAGGTCATCACCGGGGAGGACACCACGGCCCTGACCCCTGCCACCAACCCCCCAACCGCCGACGGAGACGGAGGCGGAGACGACAATGCAACCCCGCGGCTCACCGGCACCGCCCTCGACCCCCGCGAGCACAGAAGCTGGTCGTCCGGCATGAGCGTCCACGCCGAGAGCAGCAGCGGCAGCAGCAACCCAGCCGCCGGCGCCACCGACGACGTCGTGGCCAGCACCCTGCGCGCCTACCGCGCAGACCCGCCCGCCGCGCTGCTCTGCCGCATCGCCTTCGCGCTGCCCGACCTGCCGCGCGAGCAGCGCGAGTCCATCTACCTCGAGTGCCTGATCAGCCAGACGGTCGAGCTGATGAGGGAGGCCGGGCGGGAGGAGCGGGAGGCGAACGCCCTCCTCGTCGCCCGCGCCAACGAGGCCGCCGGGGACAAGGACGAGGACGAGGACAAGGTCCTCATCGGATTCGAGGCCCAGATCTCGGCCGCGCGCCCCGGTCTCGGGCCCGGGGATGGCGCGCGCGCCCGCGCCGTCGGGTTCGTCGCCGCGGTCGTGCGCGACGCGTACCGCATCGCCAAGGCACTCTCCGCCATGATCGCCGAGGACGCCCGCAGAGGCGCGGCCCAGCGCCGCGACGACGGCGGGAGATGCAAGACCTGTGGCGGGCCGGACGAGGGCAAGGGCAAGGGGAAGGAGACCGCCTCGACGACGACTACGACGACGGCGCCCTAGGAGGGCGACCGCGACGCCGGCCTCGCCCAGCTCACTTCGACCCTCGACGTCGCCTACCCGGCCGCGCGCCGCGTGCTCGAGCACGCCAAGGAGGAGATGCTCTCCATGGCCCGCCGCGACGAGGGCGGTGCCGCCGCCATTGTCACCGAGGCGCGCGTCGGCCGCGCCGCCGCCACCTTCGAGTCGGCGCGTGCGGCGATCGAGATGCTTGAGAGGGTCGGCAACCTCGCTCGTGCTGTCGTCCGGGACGTGGTGGAGGAGGACGAGGAGGAGGATGATGAGGACGAAGGGGAGCAGCACCGGAAGCGGGCCGAGGACCTCGCTGTGATGGAGGAGGTCAAGACGGCCCTTGACCTGGCGTGGCTCCGGCTGGAGCAGGTCGGGGTAACCGGGGTGGCCAGGGTGCCCCGGAAGGTCGAGGCTGATTCGGACGAGGAGGACGGTGATGACGAGGAGGGAGGCGACTCCGGTTCCGACTATATTACCGAGGCCCGAGTCGACGGCGACTCCGACTATGTTACCGCCCGGACCTGCCAGAGCTCCGGCACCCAAGGCAGCGGCAGCAGCTGGACCAACGACGAGACGGAGTGCTTCGAGGGAGATCCGTTCGGCGACGAGGAGCAGCACCCAATCTACTCTGTCATCACCGCTGCCCCTGCAGCCGCGTGGTTGGTGGACGACCGAGTGGAGGAATAAATAACTCCGACAGGCATTGCACTGGCGAGGATGGAGAAGTGGAGAGATAAGGAGATGATGACTGTATCAGCAAGCAGGAACGGCACCCACACGGTCGACTAGTAGACTAGATAGTTGGCTTATTGCTGAACAATCATACATCGAAGGGAATAAATCAAACAAGTATCCAAAAGAAGGAAATCTATGTGAATCAACAAGTATTCCTCACCCAGACTTCCAATCAGAAACCATGGCTATCAAAACCAGGAGAGCCAGGAAACTGAAAATCCTCGTCCCCAGAGCCAAAAGGAGGGAAAGGGTCCGGGACGAAGTCATCAACGAAAGTCGGGTCTGGCTCCCACACCGGCATCGGTATACCGGGCTCCGGGTTCCACGAAGGCACTGGCATGACGGGATCCGGATTCGTTGCTGGCCCCCTCTGACCTCCCCCATCGTGATGGTCCTGCGGCAGCGGCTTATGGACCCCTGACGTGTTCGTATTATGGTGATGGTGACGAGGCACCGGCATTTGAGGGCTCGCGGGCCGGGGAGACACCTTTCTGAAACGCTCGGCCAGCTCTGCTTCGCCAATGTTGCCTATCTTCTTGTCACTTCCATAGCCGGAGTCGGGGATGGATGTGGGCTGTCCACGCGATCCATTCTGTTGCCCATCTCGGGTTGGTGTCGTGGCGTTCCCAGTTTCGTGAGGCTCGAAACGAGTCGGCGGACTATTTGGCACATGGCGAACGGTAGACCGGTAGGAGCTTAACCCTGAATTCTTTCGGGATAAGCTCTCATTCACCTCCTCCATCAGACCCTGGGGATCGACGTCGGTAGACTGAGAGTTCATGTGCCCGACCAGACTCTCCCGATCTGGTGGGCGATTAGAGGTATTCTTGACGGCCTCATCGGCATCTCCGTCCGGCGCATCCACGGGCGTGTTTTGTGGCATCGAAGCGGGCCAGTTACTCAGCCGGGAAATATCGGGATTGATGATGCTCAGGGTTGCTTGGTGAGATGGCGCCAATGCAGCATGGCGGCCCCCTTGGAGGATGATGGCTGCCACCAACCGTTTCACGGACTGGAATTCCGCACAGAGACGACGATACTCGGACATTGGAACAAAGTCACCATCGTTGAGATGTTGGGAAGCCACCGGCTGGCTTAGGTCTACCGTCGTTGGAGGCGGGCCCGAGGCGGCGGGTGATGCGGGATCCAGTTCGTTGCAGGGTTTGACCCCATGTTGCTGCTGCATGGTATCGATCGGCGGCCCAGATGAGGAGCTGTGGAGGTGACTCTCGGGCATACCAGATTCGTCAGACTGACCAGGAGTTGCGAATCCCACGATGGGCGTAAAGGTGTCGAAAAGAATCTTCCATTTCTCCTTCTTGCCCCTGGAGATCTTTTCGCATTCAATCGCGATATGGCTATTGAAAGCATCACGGTCATGAAAACGCCTCCAACACCGCCTGCAAATGCCTACCTTTGCATGGCAGTGCCCTTCATCACGAACTTCGAAGGAAGATATGAATCTTTCATGGACCTGAAGTTTATGAGGTGCCCGACCAAGGTGCCGCCTTAGAAAAGTTAGCACTGGTTCATCACGGCAGGGATCGGGACACAGAGACCTACACAAGGGTGGATATATCTTTATGTGTCGAATGGCACGAACTATACAGTGCCTTGTTGACTCGATTGTAGATCAGCGGATGGGCTGACTGGAAGATGTCCGGCATCTCAGTGTCCTTGAACTCGACTTTCGGTGACGGCTTCGAGCGCTTCCTAGGGCGGTCTCCGTCATCTTCGTCACCGTCAGTTTGCTTGAGTGGCGTTAGACCCAAGGGACGCAAGGCTGCCTTTTGACTGGCGCGATTATCTGACCCGGAAGGAGCTGCACTGCTGCTTGCGGTGACATGGCTTTGAGAAGGCGCAGCCGCCCCTCCGGCCCTTTCGCGGACAGATCCTTCCTGAGAGACATCGAAAACTGGCTCAGAGTGGCAGGACGGAAAGGAGCGGCGAGCTCTGTAACCGCTGTTAGACGAGTACGTTTCCGTCGACCCGTCGACCGCGGCAGCAAGCGCCTCGCTACCCTTATTGCAGGATAGCTCGAGGTCATTAACCACAATCGCAGACGGTGAGTCTAGGTTGTGGGTAACCTGAGCCAGACGAGGGTCGATTGGGAGATCGTCTTTGGCCGACTTGTCGGAAGGTTCGTAAGCTTGACTGAAGCGCCGAAGGAAGGTAACGTTCGTTCGGAGACGGGTATTCGGCGAGGTCCAAGGGATGAGTACCTGGTTGTCTTGGGCGTCCTGGGTATCCAAATCTAAGAGCTCATTATCCCCATCGCTGTCTTGGCCAGGAGCAGCAGAGAGATCGGAATCATCGGGAAAGAGGAGGAAGTCGCATCCAGCTTTGAGGGCCACGGACCCCTTGGTCGAATTATGAGAAGCGATGACGGGTCCTGTTCCCGTCACTCCTTTGGGCGTTTCTGCATCGCTCTCACCCATCGTGCAGCCTGAGAGCCTCTTAGCATTGGATTTGCTCCGTAGGTAGATCCACCCGTGAGTCTTTTCCATATGTTGCTTGCAATTTGACCGACGCTTGGACCGGTACGCACATGGCTGGAAAAGACAAGGATAGGTTTGCGGCGTAGAGGCGTGCTTATCGTTGATATGCCGCTCAAGTTCTTTCCGTGTTGGCCAGCCAAGCGTACGATACTTGCACTTGGGAAAGGTGCACTTGAACGGCCGGGTGTGAGACCTGGCGTGCTTGTTGAGGTCGCAGAGACGATGGAACTGTTTGCGGCAGTGAGAGCAAGTACGAATCTCAGCCGCTTGGCCGTTCACCGCAAGTGGGGAGCTCATCGACCCCCCATGCGAAGTTCTAGTGGATGACCGAGACGGCGGTGGGCTGGGCAGGAAGCTGGTGGCAGCCTTGTCAGATGCAGGCAAACAGGTCGTCTTGGAGTTGACCCCGTTCCTGGAGTTGTTCCCAACAAGGGAATCTGATGAGCAAAATATGTTAGTCAGGCGGGCCTCGATATCAGGAGATGGAGTGGAAGCCCATACCATTGTAACTCAAGTCCTCATATCCAACGAGATGGGGAGTCCCGCGACTCATGATACCACACAGAGAATGATTCTACCTTCTCGTTGGCTGCAGGAACTGGCTCGCACTTGCCTGCTTAGGCAACCAACGTCTGTCAACATTCAAGCTGTATACAAGACGGGCAAAAAAATAATATTAAAAGGGCTGAGGAAGTAGAGGAGGGAACACGGCAGCCTTGCGCAGGCTCTCGAGCTTTATGAGTGACTTCGGCTTGGCTTCAAACCAATGGGTGATGAAGAACATGCATCGGGGAAGAAAATCCCAAAGCCTGGGGCAACGCTGTAAGTAATAAAGAGAGCCCCGCGACATGACTGATGAGCTGGCCAGGTGGGAGGTCGCCATCTTGACTAACAAGGTCGGTCGAGGTCGCGTTTCTGAGCAGGTGCGCATTTCCTGCGCAGTGGCTGAGCAAGGCTGAGGAGCTATGTTGGGACTCGGCAGGGCATTGGCGGGAGGCCACCAAAGCACGAGCCATCCCCCTTGGCGCCCCAGGTGGTGAGGCTGATTCAGTTGGTTTATTGTTAGTGCGCTGAGACGCACCATGTCGTCATTCCGAACACGGGCAGATATGCCGGACAGCAACAGCCAATCGACTAAGAGGCTCTCATGAACCCTCCAAGACCCTGGATTTGATACCCCAAACGCGGCCTCAACGAGTCCACGTGAATTGGAAATCATGCCGAAATGACGTAGACCCTGTTGCGCCAGTGCAAATTAGCAACTCTTGATGCCAAATATGACGCGGGGCTACGACTCAAGCGGCTCCCAAGCCGCGCCCTACGTGTCTGCACGCCGGCCAGAGCGCAACAGCAAATCGACGGTCGTGGGTAGTGCCGTCCATTGCCCGGCGGTTGGTAAACTCTGTAGTCCCGAGGTCCCCAGCCTTCATCTTCGATCCTGGAAACGAGTCCCCACCTATTGCACGCTGGTTCACTCAACAGCTCCAAATCCTGAGCGTGCCCCCGGTCAGGCCGGACAATCTTGACGGCGTTGTTCATTTCTCGCATAAATTCCGAGTCCCAAGTTTGCCAGACACTCAAGACTGGGTAGTCTTCCTTTTGCCGTGGGGCCTCTCACCTCCAGGCAACCCATCTGCTCCTCGAGATGCACACGAGACGTGATGGTGTCAAACCATAGCTAGAATTGGACTCCAAACCCACGCTGGAACCCCCACAAATCCTCGGCCGGATTAGGCAAAAGATTTGCCTTCGAGCTGCGGTGTCGGCTCTACGGCAACAAGGTCGTTATTTGCCCTTGCGCGATAGGCAGGTTCCCAGTATGACTGACCACTGAGTATTGACAACTGCTCGAGGTAATCCAATGTCGTCACGGATTCGGCTTCTCGGCATGTCTGCTCATCCACCGTCCTTGTCGTAGGGCGTGGCTGGGGTCCATGGATAGCAAGTTAGATCTCACGGGAACACCACATTCAGCCATACCGCAGTCGTTGTGAAAAGCAGAAGGCGTCAACATGGCACTGGGCTGATGGGCTCAACTGATGGCACCTTTTCAAACAGAACCGGGGCATTATCGACTTCGGCAAATTGCAACCACTCCCTGTACATAACCTCAGCCTGTTGTCAGTTCATCACCAAGGGAGCCCATGAGTGCCGCTCAGAAGGGATGAAACACCACTTAGTGCCCAAACGTTGCGATAAGGTTGGTTGCACCATGATCGTGTTCGGCCCGACAGATAGATCGCCGCCCGCATTCCTCCCTTTGGCCCCTCAAGGCTAGACATTGGGTGGATGCTGGCGCTGGGACGATACGATGGAAGACTTGGTGTGTCTCAGATATCGAGGGATGAACCTCCACTGGGTATGATTTGGACTGGCTGCCACAAAAAAAAGGGCGGGGGGGGTTGCCTTTGACCACTTGGGGCGCCGTTTCTCGCCTCAGCAGATGCGTTCCTGCACTTCTGCCTCCCTAGAACGAACAACCACCATCGCCGGCGGAACATGCCAAAGAGAGGTAGAAGGGGGCTTGGTAAAGCATCGTCTTAGACAAGGTCCGATAATGACGTCGAAAAGACAGATACTGCGAGAACCAAAGTTGGCGATGTGGATTCGAACGGGGAGCCCAAAGCTCGAGAATGAACGTGATCATAATAAAAAATGATGTGCTTGGCCGATGGACTTTTTGAACTCCTTCTACTTGGGCACCAATGGGCCCATGCGGGAGAGGAAGATGGGTGCTTTAACGAACTCCAAGTCTGACCTCAGTAACCCGCCTTTCCAGAAAAGGGGGAATGGAAGCCCGTAATTAGACAGCTGATAGATCGTCGTTTATCTCCTTTTTTCTCGGCGGTGAGTTTGATGAAGAGGATCTCGACCTAAAATAACAGTCCAAACAATTTCCACCTTCGCTTCCCATACCTTGCACTGTACCAACAACCCTGGCGACAATTGTTGGATCTCGAATCTCGATTCGCCCGTGGCGTCTTTTTCGGCCAGGTTCTGGGCCCCAATCAGAATCAATTAGATATCAGCGAACCGAGTTTGGGCGAGCTAGCAATCGCGTGGCGCAAAGAAGCATGGAAAAGGAGGCGCGTCGCGAAATTGGCGTCCCACGAAAGCGCCGTTCCCCCTTCCCCCCCTCTATTTTGAGTGTGTGCAGCAAGGAGAATCTCCACAGCCCCACAGCGGTACAGGAGAGAGACCGTGTCTGAGAGGGGTTGAGATTTGAGAGCAAGGGACGACCTTGCTGCCAGAGTTGCCAATGGCGGGTCCGAGAAGGAATGGAACTTCCAAGATTGAAGACTGGAAATGAGAATCACACGAGCTGAATATACTGTCCTGGCGATTTCTCCTTATTCGACAGATGGCACCCGAGGAAGGTCTCCTAACCCTGAATGCTTGAATTCCTACGCACCTACCTACCAGGTAGCTTGTGTACCGAGTTACTGTGGGGTGGTGCTTGGTGCTGCCACGCCATGAGGACTTTGCAATGTTCCTGCATTAGCGGCTCCAATCCGTTAATTCGCGCCACTGGCACCGTCCCGTGCGCCTACCGCCGGTGAAACGAAATTCTGAGTCCTATGAAGATGGAGGGGGTGGAGGTAGGGTGCGTCGGGCCATGGGAACTGAGCAGCACCGTACAGAGCTAAAAATGGATGACATGATTCTCAAAGGCGGTTGGCTAATCCGGCATGTTTGCTAGGTCTACAAAAGAGAAATAGCAAATTTCCAGTATAGGGGAGCGTTCCCCGGTTTTCACTAAGGTAATGTCGGCTTATTAGGTAGAGTTTCCAGGATTTCCAATCTGGCCTGAGGGAGCTTCGAATGGTCGAGCCAGCGCTTCGCTATCTCCTCTCAACCTTGCCTGTGCGAATGATAAACCTTTTACCATGCCGAAATAACGGTAATATCGAGAATGGAACACTGGAGATGGTCCTCCGCGGTCGACAGAAGTACAGTGTTTGGAGCATACTCGACGGTATACAACTCTCAAAGTGTAGAGCTTAACCTTATGTACGAGAGGGGGGCGCGCTCAATACTTAGCTTTACAACTCGCTTAACCAGTGCCTCAAGGTTCTGCCAGCTTGTCCAGGGGTTTCCTCTATGTAGTATTAGGTAGTAATCCCCAACCGAGCGGTACATAAGCACACAACTGAACTTACGGAAGAGGTACCAACAACAGCCTGGGAAGCGCAAGGTTGGGTGGCAGTGTCATCTCACAGACGAGATTGACCGCCTGCAGCAGAGTATCCACACAGTCACATTTTGGTGCCTGGCCATGGTATCCACCAAATCAGGAGTAAGCGCTCAATCCCAGTCAGTTGCTACGGTGAACAGTCGGGCAAATGAGGTGGCGGCGTGCTCCCTGGCGCAAAAAAAGACGTTAACTCCCTTGCCAGTGTTGCCACGTCCATCCATGATGGATCCATGGGTCCATGGGCCACTGGGCTCTCTGCAAGTGCAACCCCCCCTTGTTCCTGCCGCCAGAGCTTACGGGAAATTAACCTCCTCCAGCATCACCAGAGGAGGGCGCTAGTCGGCGGTGGACTGGAGTCTGGGAGGTTGGACCGACGAACCTACCTTGTGTTGGTGCCATCTCTCTAGTATTTAAGACTGTCCTCCTCCTTCCTTCCTCCTCTCCTTCTTCTTTCTCTCTTCAGCCAATTCAAGCCAATCCAGCTCCAGAGTATCCTTTGACTCAATCTGACTTCGGTCGTCCATTCTTTAAAACACTTTAAGCTCCAAGCTTCACTTCACTCGTTCAACCAAACACCTCGTTTTTATAACGACCCAAACAAACATTCAAAATGCGTTTCACTGCTGCCGCCGTTGTCCTCGCTGGTGCCGCCATGGCCCACAGGAAGCCTGCCACCTATGAGACCTATCCCGTCAGCTCCGAGGCGCCCGTCTACCCCGTCAGCTCCGAGGCACCCGCCTACCCCGTGAGCTCCGCGGCGCCCGTCTACCCCAGCTCTGAGGCTCCTGCCTACCCCGAGAGCTCCGAGGCCCCTGAGAGCACTGTCTACTCCACTGAGTACTTCACCATCACCTCGTGCGCCCCGACCGTGACCGACTGCCCCGCCCGGAGCACCCAGGTCTACTCGACTGCGTACCCCGTGACCACCAGCACCATCTACTCGACCAACTCGTACACCACCACCGAGGGTAGCTCCACCTATGTTGTCACTGAGACCATTCCCATCTCGACCACTGTCTGCCCCATCACTGCCAGCAGCACCAAGTACTACAACACCACCGCCCCCGCTGGCTACCCGACTGGTGGCCCCGTCTACCCCACTGGTGGTTACCCCGTCTCTACCCCTGAGGCCAGCTACCCGGCCGGTTACCCGTCCGAGAGCGCCCCGGCTCAGGGCGGTTACCCGACTGAGGCCCCGGCTTGCGTCCCGACCTACTCGGTCAAGACGATCTCGACCTCCGTCACCACCGTCATCCCGACTGTGATCTATGAGACCGTCGACATCCCCTGCGCCACTCCCTCGGTCGGCTACCCCGTCCCCGTCGGCAACAGCTCCTACCCCACTGGCACCGCCCCTCCCCAGGCGACTGTCACTGCCGGTGCTGCCACCATGGGCGGTTCCGTCCTCCTCGCCGCTGCCGCCGGCCTCGTTGCCTTCCTGGCATAAGCGACAGACTTCTCCTTCAAACTTCTAGAAGCCTGGAAGGCTACGGCATTATCATGACAATTTACGGGGTCTTGTTGGATTGTGTTTCAAAACCAACTTGGGATGTCTAGCGTACAGCATGGCACATACTTTTGATGTACTTAATATTCTAATTGTATTTGGGCGTTCGAGCTGTCTTGCGACAGAACACGACATCCAGGACCCCATTTTCCCAATAACTTATCTTGACCCTTCGCCGTGAAATCTGAGACTTGTGATCGGAATGGAAACACTGACTTGCGTTCGATGTCTTGCTCCTGACTCGAATCCGCCGAGGACAGCGGGAGCCCAGTACCCCCTGAACTGACCATGCAAGCCATGGAAGTTGGGATCGTCGCTAACCCTGGTAGCTCATTTCCCAGAGGGAATAAAACCCTGGGTCAAGCCCACCTAACTTAACCTATTTGATCTTTGTTCGGAAATTAATCCTAGTTGTTCCGGCCACTATTGGCTGCAGGATTCGCTCTGTGCCCCATCCCGCAAATTCTATGATCAACCGGCTAGCCTCTCCGCCATGGGGGGCGTTCTTGGGTCTTGGTAGGCTCTTCTCGCACGGTGTGGTCGAGTGTCCAATTGATGCAGGCCAAAAAATGGAGGAGCCCCTTAGTGCAGCAGCAAAGGAGATGAAGGGATCGAAAATGGGTCTCCAGGTCATCACGACTTTGGGGGGCAATGCCCTTGTTTATGAAGTAGCGATCTTCCCCCGGCTCCGCCGCCGAGCCGCTGCCATCATCGGGACCCGATGATGACGATTGATCATTTGGCCGTCCTTGGCCCCATGGCGGGCGGCCTTCTTCCCTGGCGCTCGAAATACCAGACTTGCAAGCACCCTCCCACGGGGCTGTGCCACGTTGCCACACTGGGGGTCTGACCTTTCGGCGCAGCTACCGCGGCGCCCCGAGCACCAGCTTCAAGAGGGAGCCGACCAGCCTCGTTCACACCTCAATTTTTGTTTGCTGGTGGCGGCGATCTTCCGCCATCTGATGGTGATGCTACGTTGCAGAAACACGCGGCTCGAGTGCAATTGCTAAGCAAGCGCTTGCTTTCTGGGCGAACCTCTCTCTAGGCGCCACTATTCTGAACTTCTTGAGGTTTTGTGGGAGTTGTCGTCCGGACCCCGTGGCAATTGATAAATCGCCCAGTGGGCCATTTTGAGATCCATCGTGGAGGACGGGAAGCATGCCATTCTACTTTTTGTCACCGTTTTCCCCTCTCCGGTCCTCGCTCTTCCTCCGTTCTTACTGTCTTGGGGCTGTGGAGGGCATTAAAGAGCTGTGTTAACCTTTTGGCGGCTTTCGATATATACAGCTTGACGGCTAAAGTCTACACCCGTAGACTTTCTCCGCTCGGGTTTCTTTCTCTATAGTAATGACGTGCGGAGCTTCTCCATTGAGCAGGCTTAGGTCAAGAATGGCTCTTAGCTGATTTTCTAGATAGATATGGGCAGAGCGAACAGAGTTCCTGCGTCTCAACAGTCTAGAAATGCATCTCGGGATTTGTACCAACGTCGCTCATTACAATCACTCGTTACAACTGCTTCCTCTAGGCGAATTTCGATCGAGAAGGCGATGTGAATGCCTCTGTTTCTGCTTCTGAATCATTCGCTCCAGTGCTGCGAGTCATTTGGCCCCCTTTGCTGAAAAGAAATCAAAAGAATAAATGGCCACAGTCGGACTGATGATGGCATGGTGGCCATCCTGTACCACCGCCCTCATCCGCCTCCTTCTGATAGCCCTGTGCCTCAGCCCAATAGCCGTCGCTCACGGCGATGACGGCTCCGACGGACCTGACGGCGCGAACTCGACCGTCCACTCCCAACACACCTCCGACATCACCGGGACGACTTCGGACGACCCCTCAGCCACGCGCGTCGTCGACATCTTCTACATCGACGAGCGCGCCTACGAGGGCCTCCCTTACACGCTCTTCCACCGCGACAGCGGCTCGGTGGTCGGGGTCACGGACGACGTGACGACGTTCGCGATCACGACGACGCGGGGCGACCGGCGGCCGCGGCCGACGCACAGCCGCACCGACAACGTGACGACGGGGATACCGACGCTGACGTCGTCGCCGCCCAAGCCCGACTTGACGGGCGAGCCGAGCATCATCACGCAGGGGCCCGGGACGTTCGAGTTCACGGGCGCGCGCTTCGGCGGCGCCAACCACACCGTCGTCAACCGGTGCAGCCTCAACGGCACCGCCGGCGCCGCCTGCAATCTCACCCACGTCGGCAGCATCTGGTACACGTCCGACCCGGACTGGAACGGCACCTTCTCCACCTACAGCTACAACTGGACCAGCGGCGACCGCTTCGGCTTCGCCCCTGTCACCATCACCGCCGGCGTCGACAAGATGGGCCCGCCCTCGTCGCCGTCCACCGTCCCAGCCAGCACCAACGCCGCCGCCGCCGCCGCCGTGGCGTGGTCTCGACCGCGGTCGCCGGGGAGGGGCGCGGCGGCAGCCGGCGGGGCGGCTTGGTTGGTGCCCGGTCGCGCGTGGTTGGAGTACGGCATGGGGGCGCTGTTCCCGGCTTTCGTCTTGGTGATTGCTGTTGCGCTGTGAGGGGGCGGGGGGGAGTAAATATGTCGGAAGACTATCTCATCTCCTCTTGAGCTTCGCAACCAGAAATGGAAAGAGGGACGAGACTTCAGGGGGTACCCCGAACGTGTAGGCATATGGGAGGACATTTTTGCTCGTGCCGAAAAGCCGCTGCGTTGTCGCAGGGGGAGTATGGCCGGGTCAGCAGTGATCCGTTTTCTTCATATGGGTAGGGATGTGGGAGGGTTGGGTTGCAAAATCGTATTTCGTTGCTTCTCAGCATTCTTTAATTGGAGACGCCACGCGGCGAGCAAGGGGTATTTGAGGGACACGTTCCATGTTGGTTCAGCTATGACAGTGTCAGCCCTACCATGCTAATAAATGAATGGCCGATCTAAGGCGACATTCGCACTCGCTAACATGTTGGTGACGCGGCTGGGCTCCTTTGTCTCGCAGGCCGTCCAAATGGTGAATGGGACTCGCATTCGGCAACGGGATGGATGCGGGGGATGCCAGCTTATCGGGCCCGACTTGGCGCTTAAGCGAAAGCGAACGAGTCCCCACCTCACCCAAAAAGAATGATATCACATCATCCCTGCCTCCAGTTAGACTCACCGGCACTGATCGTGGCTGCCCTTGAATGAAATCAGCCGCACGGCGATGCTGTCTCATGTTCGATGTGGCGACGCAATCGCATTACGACGGATGCGAGCCTGTCAACCATCCTCCAAGTTTAATCCTGGACCATAAGCACCCCTATTTGTGTGTAGCCACTAAACAAACAAATGGATATATATCAGGATTCCCTCGCCGGCGGTAGGCCTGGCGAGATATTCAAATCATCCAGTACCAAGAGACAAGAGTTATACTACTCTCAGCTCGTTGATTCTCTTTACGACACGAGTGACAATGAACCAAACACAGCCCAATGTTATCGCCTTCGGTCCCGATGGGAACTGCACCCTGGCACTCTGCGAGTTGGAGCAGTCTGTGTATCGGTATCGGCCATCCCTCCCAGCCAATGTCATCTTCATTGCCCTCTACTCAGTGGCCATGGCCATCCACATCTATCTGGGGATCAGATGGAAGACTCAGGGGTTCATGGTGTGCATGATAGTGGGGTGTGTTGACGAGATCCTGGGCTATGCTGGCCGGGTGATGATGTACTACAACCCCTTCAAGTTCGTTGCCTTCATGATCCAGATCGGTATGTCTACCCAGCTCATGTCGTTCGCTCTCAACTAACCAAACCACAGTCTGCGTAACGACAGGGCCCATCTTCTTTTGCGCTGCAATTTACGTGACCCTCGCCCAGACGTACGTCCAGCCCGCACTTCACGACAACTATACATGGCATCCTTCTGAGATCATTGATGCTGACTTACAATCCCTTCCAGGATCGATCACATCTCCCCCGGCCTCGCGCGCTTCAGCCCCAAGTTCCTCTACTGGGTCTTCATCCCCTGCGACGTCATCTCGCTAGCCCTCCAGGGCGCCGGAGGCGCCATGTCGACCAGGTCCTCGGGCGCGAGCAATCTGGGTGTCAACCTCGCGCTGGCGGGCCTCTCCTTCCAGGTCTTCACGCTCGTTGTCTTCTCCGCCCTTTTCGCCGACTATCTGGTACGCCTGTGGCGGCACCACAGCCGCGGCGAGGCCCCGAGCCTGAGCCGCCGCATGCGGGCCTTCCTCGGGTTCCTCGGCGTCGCCGTCGTGCTGATCCTGGCGCGCTGCATCTTCCGCGTCGACGAGCTGAGCGAGGGGTACTCGGGCCCGCTGGTCGCCAATGAGACCCTCTTTATCGTCTTTGAGGGAGTGTGAGTGATCCACGACAAGTCTTTATTTTTGCTCCTTTTTGGGCCCTCCGCCCCGTACTGACTCGGTGTTTGTAACAGGTTCGTCATCGCGGCTACCTTTTTGCTGTGCATTGGCCATCCCGGGTTGGTGTTCAACAATGTCAACAGCAAGGAGTCTTATACGGGGTCATCGAGTGCATAGGGTGGCATCATTGGGGGAAATTGAATCGGTTCTAAAATGACAAGCCAAGCCCATTGGAACCACGGCGAAACGGAGACAACTTGATCGGGGTGGATTTTATCCCAATCAAAGGACATAATTTATATTCTAGCTCACTCGTCGTTCCCTGTATTACCCCCTTGACGGACTGGGCCAGCCATTCCCAGGATGACAAAGATAGCGTCTCCCGTGTCCAGGACAACAATTGACAGATGACGGTACACAGCAACCTCCAACCCCCCTACGGGGAGAAGTCTTCCAACCACTGCGCCATTTCCTCATCCATCCACTGCGGCTCGCCAACACGCCACATCGTCCTCAGCTTCGAGGGGCCATGGATGGCACCGCGCGGCCTTGGGAAGACCTTGTTATAGCGGCTTGGGTACCGCCCCCTCTCCTTCACCGCTAGTCTCGTCTGGAGCACCCTGTTGATGGCTTGGGTGAGCGTTTCCTGCGGGAATTGCTGCTGTTCCTGGCCTTGTGCTAACATGTCGTTGCCAAAGACAAGACCCTGTGCTGACATGTCGTTGTCGAAGACAAGACCCGGTGCAAGCATGTCGTTGCCAAAGACAAGGCCTTGCATAGACATGTCGTTGTCGAGGACAAGACCTGGTGTAAGCATGTCGTTGCCAATGTCTGTACCTTCAGGCAGGTTGCTGTCAAACACCATGTCGCTTGTGCACATAGCATTGTATGCACCCATGGTGTTGTAAAGTCCGCCGTCTAGATACATGATAGGGAGGTCGGTAGTTCCACCAGCTGTGTAGGTGCTGCTGATGTCGTTGTCGAAAAACATGCCGGCTGCAAACGTGTCGGTATTGTCAAACACCATGCTGCCTGTGTACATGTTGCCGCTGCTGTTGCCAAAGCCATAGCTGGCTGGATTCAAGTTGATTCCTTCATAGAAACAACCATCGTAGATCGACTGGCCGCCCATGCCAGGAATCCAGCCTTGATCGTTGTTGGCTTGAGACAAGGGGGTTAGGTCCTTGTCGGTTTGGACATGAGCTGGCTGAGAGATCGGACTGGATACCGCCGTGTCGTGTGAAGTCTGTGGGTTCCAGTCCATGGTATATTCGTCTCCCCATCCTTCTAGCCGATGAGTTTGAGACGTTATCTCCCCGGGGGCCACTGGTGGCGAGGAGAACCCGTCGTTGGCGAGAGGGTTGCTGTCCATTGCGAGCCAATACTGCTGCTCTTGCTGGTTCCCGAGCTAGAAAGCTATCGCGTGGGAACAGATAGTACTAAATTTGCTGGAGGTGATCTTGATGATTTGTTTTAGGTTGCTGTCTCTTACTACTGGCAAAGTTGTTGTCTCTTGCGATTGTGGAAGTCGTCGTTTGGTCAGATTTCTCCTTGAAGTAGACGAAGGAAGGTGCGATCACTGGGAGGAAGGTCCAAGGGTGGGAGAGCAACACTCTTTATCATTTTTCATGCTTTACGGCCAAGTGTAAATTACACTTTTCCCACTGAGTTACGAGTATCATGACTCCCTGGTCAAATCAAATCTCGTGGTATATTTTGGTCCCAGAGCGAAATTATCGTAACAACCTAGTCAAACCATCGCAACCCTTGCCACGAAATCCCGTGATAATATTGTAAGTCTTCTAGGTTTTCGGTCGCCGAGCTTTCTAACCTTAATTGGTTTCTCTGTGCCTTTCAGGGCGTTGGTCTCAGGGGCAAAGATAAACCGTTGCTCCGGCAACTGAATCGCCTTTGCGCTCGTCTGACAATTTTGTCCATCATGTGTCGGAATTAACCTCTGGTATTGAAGAATCCGGGCTACTACCCCTGACCGAATATTCGGATTCCTGACGCCATGCCATGCATGATTGAGTTGAAAAATATGCAAAGACAGCCTGTACCCAGAGCAAAGTGCGCATGCACACAGTGAACCTAATTGTCTTTAAAAAAAGTAAGCATAGAAATGACAACCCTCTACCAAAGCTAAAGGCGCATAGCCCGTAACCTAATCCTCCTTCAACCCGTCCACCTCAGCCACATAATATTCATCACCGTCCGAGACCGCCTCCTCGCTGCCGTCGACAACCCTGCTCCCCTCCTCCCCATCCCCATCCACATCCGTCGTCTCGTCCTCCGTCTCCGTCGCGCTCACCCCGACGCCCTGTCCCCGGAGCAGGCTCCTCAGGTCGTCCTCGCTGATGATGGTCTCGATGCTGCCCCTCCTCACAAACGGCCTCGTCTCCCTGCGGCCGCGCTCGATGAGCCTCTCGACCCTCAGCCGGTTCGCCACAAACTTGAGCTTCGGGAAGGCGCTCTGCTGGCCCTCGTGGAGCATCCGAGCTAGCCGCGCCGGGTCCGGGTCGCTCAGTATGTGGAGGAAGTCGCCTGGAGCCGTCTTGGGCCAGATGGTAATGGTGCCGCCAAACTCCTGCAGCCAGAGCTGGGACCAGTCCTGCCCCAGGGGCCGCGGCAGCAGCTCCAGGTGGCGGAGCACCCGCAGCCACTTGTTCAGGTCGAGCTTGAGGTACTGCTCCGTCGCGGAGCCCAGGTAGCCGCCGCGCCAGCCGCGGCCTTTCCGGTGCGTGACGGGCGAGCCGACGGAGCCCCGGGAGGAGAAGAAGAAGAGGTTTATGTGGGGGTTGACCTGGCTGACGACGGTGAAGTTTACGTTGAAGTGCAGGTTAAGGGCCTTGATGGGGATGTCCGTCCGGAGGCTGCCGTCTTTCCACTTGTGCCCGAACGAGTAAGGCACGAGCTGCCCGTTGCGTGTCTTCATCATGAGGACGACGGGGTTGAGGATCCCGGGCACGGCCGCCGAGGCAAGCACCGCTGACCAGATGACGCAGTCGGGACTCGTCAGGTAGTTGCAGAGGATCGTCGGCGAATGCTGATCTGAAGGGACGCAGGATACGTTGAGAATCCGCCCCGTCCGCTCGTACGCCTCCCGGAAAGTCATGGAGCCACGGGTGAACCAACTACACTTCTTGGCCCAGTCTATCGAGTCGAACCTGGCGCCCGTCTTCCACCATCGCCTGAACCAGACTGCGATGGACTCCTCGCAGGCAGTGATCCGACGCGCCAAGGCGGGAACCAGAAGCTTCTTCAACTCTTCGTTGGTCCTCGTCGCGATCAACGCTGCCACGAGAGCTCCCCCGCTCGTGCCGGTGATGACATCGGGCATGAGGTCTTCATCCAGAAGCGCCTTGACGACTCCGAAGTGATAGTAAGCAAACGACGCCCCTCCAGACAGGCACAGAGCAGTGCGGCCGTAGTTGGCGTGTATGCCCTTGAACAGAGTCCTCTTCTGCTCTAACGAGAGCTGATGTGTCTCGAGCAAAAAATTGATGCTTTTGCCCACTGCGAGTGAACACGTTAGTTGGTTAGCCCAGATTTCCACGTCACAAAAAATTAGAACCAGACCGCTAGGGCCGCAGGAGAGTATCGTACCTTCATCAACAAAATTTTGCACGAGATTTTTGGTGCCGTAGTACGTCTGGCTGTACAGCCTCGGGTTCTCCACGCCGGCGAAGTTGTTCTTGACGCACGCCTCGATGAGCGCCTTGAGGTCCTCCACCGCCTCCGCATCCTTCCCAGGGGTGGCGCCTCTCAAGCTCCTAGCCACATCTCCGTTCGCGGCCCGGGCCTCGACGGCCTCGGCCCTGATCCTGCACTTCCTGATCTCGCCCCCCACCCTCTTGACCGTCTTGCTGTCGTAGTACGCGTACTCGTTCTCCTCCTTCCACCGCTCGTTCCCCAGGAACCCGTCCAGCTGCCTCGCCGCGGCGACCCACTCGCGGTAGTTGGACGTCGCCCGCATCGCCCTCCGCAGCCTCTCCCTGGTCCCGCGCCACGCCACAAAGTACTCGTACCCCCATATGTACGTCCTCGTGGCCAGGTACGCGACCGCCAGCCCGACGATCCACGCCCCGACGATCAGCAGGAACGGCCACTTGAGCACCCCGTACAGATACCCCTCCCTCGTCTCGTCCTTGGACCGGCGGCCCAGCACCGCCGCAGCCGCGTCGCCAGCCCTGCGCCGCCGCCGCCCTCGATCGCGGTCCCGGTGCCGCCGCCCCGTCCTCGTCACCTTCTCGTGCACCGGCGCCCAGTCGTTCGCCGCCGTGATGAACAGGCTCCCAGCACTGCCCGACCGGTGGCCGCCGGCCGGGCGCGGGGAGGCGAGCGGCTGGTCTGCGGCGGAGTGGTCCGCCGCCGCCTGCGCGGCCGCCACCGCGCCGGAGTGGTCATATCCGCCGTCCCCCCGCGAGGTGCCCCCGACCGACTCCTGCGAGGGGCGCTTTGTGACGCTGGGCAGGTTGTCGCTCCGCAGGCCCGTAGGGCTGTCGGGCTGGAGCGACGAGGAGGCGTCGTCGGGGCTCTGGATCGCGTCCGGGGCGCCGAGGGCCTGGATGAAGGCCTCTAGGTGCTCGGTGGATAGGAAGTTGGTGTTGATGTCCGGGAGGATGGTGTAGTCGAAGGCTTCGGGCGGGAAGCTGGATGCATATGTGGGGGCCATGTTGATTCGTATCGTTCAGCCAGGTTTGGGCTGAAGAGCCAGTGGTTGCATGGCCGAGTCTCTCTAACCAGAACCCATGAAGTGAAGAGGAGGTGAAGAGGAAACTGGTTGAAACTTCCTTGCGCAAGGGTAAGACAATCACGAGATCCTTCAATTCATACTCGGCAACGGGCAAGGTACCGAGCTACCTAGGTACCTGGTAGATAATCGTGGCATTTTATTGGAGGTGGGGTTGCAAGGAGGCTGGCTATGTCATCATGCAACAAAGCAGTAATTAATTCTGTTACATAACAAAATCAAGGAAACGAGTTGCTCGATGGTAATGCTTCCAGATGTTGCTTCCAAGACCCGTACGGCCATACATTTCTGGCGTACAGAGTTGATGTTGACCATTGTAGACAATCAGAAAACCGAGGAGACTTCTTGTTTATAGCGTAATTTGCATGTCGTATCGTATCGTACTAGAATGATGGCTCACGATCTTCCAAAGAAACACCCGTCCCATCCACGGAAAAAATAAATCAAGGTGCAACCCTCCATGGAGGACGTGTGTCGTTCCATGAAAGAACTCCCAAAATCGCGTCTTTATATCTCCACGGATTACCCTCGGTATACCTACACATACTGGGATAACCACCTGATACCCTCGCCATAACCCTGCCTCATGACGACCGAGCACATAAACACCTCGATCGGCCGGATCCCCTCGAGAGGCACCTTGCCCTTACCCGTGGTCTGGAACATGCCCAGTTGGTGGCGGAGCTCGTCCTCGGATACCGCATCCGGGTGGTCGATCTTGTTACCGAGGATGACAAATGGGACCTTGCCCAGCTCCTCCATGGAGAGGAGGGCGTCGAGCTCGGCCTTGGCCTCGGGGAACCGCTCATGGTCCTTGGCATCGACGAGGAAGACGATGCCATTCACCTCGGGGAAGTAGTCCTTCCAGAGACGGCGGGCTGGAGAGTGGGCACAGGGCAAGTTAGCAAAAGGAGAGCTACTAACGAGCGAAGCAATGGGGCTGCTGAAAGAGAGATGGGGATACAAACCTTGCTGATGGCCGCCGAGATCGAACGTCGTAAATCTTACATTGCCGATTGCCAGCTCCTCCGATGCTGCACAGGTGGTTAGCTCCATATGGCCACGTAGACGTGGGTTATCCATCTGGATCGGGGGCGGTACTGACTCGGATGGAGGGTAGGTTGCAGAATGGCGATCCGGTCATTCTTCAGCATGTGTAGCAGGGTAGTCTTTCCAGCATTGTCAAGTCCTAGGAAAAGAAGCTTGGCGTGCTTGTTGAGCAGGCCCAAGGAGGAGAGGACATCGTAGACTGTATGGACACAAGCGTCAGCGTCTGCCGTCAGAGATACAAACATTGCAATCCGAGACATACACCAGTTGACCAACCACATGGCGGCTGTATGTGTCCGGTTCCCTTGAAAGCGGTTCCGCTGTGTAAATGATCTTCTCAGGTCGTCGACTTGTTCACGTGGCTGAAAAATTATAGAAGCCGAGTATGGTTGAATGTATGCGCGAGTGCCACGATACTTAAAGCGAGCTTAAACGCCTGGTTTTCAAGGCATAAACCACGTGATCACGAACAGCGTCTGTTTTTCTTCTAGGGAGGACGAATGAATTCGGAGGTTTGAATGGAATCAGATAGACATCTTATATAGGTAGGAAATTAAAACTTAACTTTCAGAACTGTACACGTATTCCGTTCTGAACCTTGGTTGCTACCTTCATTGTCGCTAAACTCTAAACGCCTAGGAATCATAAGGCAAGATTCGGTTTGGGCATCGGCATCCTCACCAAGCAGACAGACCGAGCTTACCACTGACTCACACACGAAAACCTTCAGACCTCGAAGAGTCTAAAAACCTAGATCCGTGAATTCATGGCTACACGTGCCGTGTCGTGCGCTGTCTCTCTTTCTCGCTCACTTGATAGATAGTCCAATACCAAACGCTAACAAGCATCAAAAAGTAATGGTATTAGGAAAAGACTCAATCGGTGCTTCTGTAGCGGATAAGCGACTGAGAGATTTATGTACCGAGGAGGCTCAGTAAAGGAAGTCGCCGGCCTCGTAAGGTAGTAAATACAAATTACAAACCCAAACATTCGCGGGGAGACAAAGTGAAAAGGGGTAAAAGGGCGAAGAAGAGAAGAAATGTATATGGGTACGGCTTCGCTGAAACGAACGCGAGCGTCGTAGATGATCATGAATGCAATTTGCCATGCCTCCCAATGCCCCTGGTGATATAATGCTTCCAAGATGCCATCCTCGCCTAGACAGAAAGAACGTAGTTCCCGGGCCCAATCTTCCCAGCCATGATCAGGCCAACCTCTCTCATACGCTGTGCTCCTTGGCCCGGCGCGGGTCTTCTCTCCTGCACATGGTTCTTCCGCGCACGGCTGCAGTATTTCTGGTAGAACTTCTCCTTCCGTCTCTGTCTCTTCTGCTCGAGCCCCTTGACGATATCTATAGCGCCACGGACATGATCCCCCTTTGTCAGCGTGTGTGAGTGCCTCCGTTTCTTCATGTGCGAGAATACTGCAGGGGTTCTCGGCAACGACTTGGTGTAGACCAGTCCCGGCCGAAAAGCCAGAGATTTGAAGGCAATTTTCTGGCCGGGCTTGATCGGTGACACCGTAGGAGACTTGGCCGCTTGAGGTGGCGGCGGTGACCTCCAACGTCTTGGAGACTGCTTCTCAAAGAGGCGGCGTGGGGAGCGACCGCGAAGCTTGGGTGCAGGCGAATGATGACGCTTAGGAGGCGGCGAATGGTGACGCTTCGGGGATTGAGTTCTCTTTCTCTTCCACCTGTCTCCACGATTGGTTTCGTGGTGGATATCCTCAAGCTCGCCGTGGGGCCATACGTGATCCTCGTTTCCTTGGTCATGTTTGTGCATGTCCTCGGCATCATCTTCCGGCTCCGACGTAGGAAAGCTGGGGTCTATGTCTTGGGGAATGGGATGAAGTTTTTCCCGTTTGCGGGCGGTGATGCGGGAGATGTATGCCTCTTCCAATGGCCGGTCTTCATCAAGAGTGCCGCAGACAAAGTCGGTGCTGTCCGGTAGCTCGGGGGTTCCAGAGCGAATGGCGGCGTCCTTCGCGCGACTGCTTCGATGTCTAGGCTTTATGCGCGCAGATGAATCGGAGCAGGTCTCGCCCAACGACGAACGGCGGCGCAAGGGGCCTGGGCCAACGAGGTTCAATTTGCTGGCCTGGCCTGTTGTCCATAAAACCAGGTCGTCATCCTCATCATCTGAATCGGCAAATCCGACCTCGTTATCTGTGTTGTAACCGTCCGAGGCATCGTCGTCGGAGCCATATCCAGAATAGTCGTCTTCAAACTCCAGGCTTTCATCCACCTCGCCTGGCTGTAGATCGTCCCCCAAGTCGCCATCATCGTCATTGGCGCCCGCCGTTTCGTCGTCGTCGTCATCATCGCCATCTTCATCGTCGTCTCCTTCAATCTCCTCTTCCAATTCGGCTTCCTCTTCAGCCTCCTTGCCCAACTTCCGGATGGCATTCTCCTTCTCCAAAGTGTCATCGATGGTGATTCTGCCTCTCGATAGCGTGCCATCGAGACGGATCCAATCGTCTTCTTGCGGCTCATCCCTCGCGAATTCGTGAAACCTTGAGCATTCGCTTTGTAGGTCTTTCGAGTTGGCCGTGAGAAACTTTGTAGTGTGCGTAGCTGTTGGGCTCTGAGGTAACCGCCTGGGAGTCACGGATCGAACGGACCGCACAGTGGAAGGAGAGCGATTCTTGTGGGCGGCAGAAGGCGACCGGTCCTTGTGGAGTGTCGACTTGGGCATCGGAGTACGGGCTAGCAACTCTGATCGCTGATAGCGGGGATTGCTCGATGATGGCTGAGCAGGACAGGCGAACTTGATGGAGGGTCGTTTCGGGGCTTCATGCAAAGTCGGCTTAAGCGTGCCATCAGTGGGCCGCTGATGGCGTGGAGGCTGGGCGTCGACGTCGCGGGTTGGTTTAGCCGCACATGCGAAGGAGATGCATCGCTTTTTCGCCAGTGCTTGTGCAGCAGGATCGGGTGTGTCCCGGTGGGCTTGAAGTAATCCTGTGGGGCGTGGTGGGATGGCATCTTCGTTCGAAGGATGTGTCACAGGATGGTTACCGTGAGATCGGAGAACGAAACCAATATCTGGCAGTCGTGGGCTGGGAGAACTTGTCCGCGCCGGAGTGGTGATGCCGGTGTCACACGTCAGATCAGCGGTCGACGCGATACTGATATTGCTTGTTATCGACCGCCTTCTCCGCTTGGTCAACGAGTTTCTCTCATATGCCTCATCTTCAGAATGGCACAAGAGAGCCTTAGTCAACAGCGACTGGTGATTCTCGTTGCCACCCCTGATGGGGGTGCGCTTGAAATGGTTCGCGACGGGAGGCATTGGTGGAGGTAGGTCGGGAGGTTCATCAGAGTCACCCGCATCCTCGTCGGTGGATAGCTCTACGTTGACCGAATTCGAGGTCAGCGCCAACGCTCCCAGCGTGGCGCTGTCGTGAGGAATGTGATTGCACATTGTGGTCGGGTTGCTGTGGTTTTGACGAGTTCCGGTGTGGATTGAGTGTCGGTACGCAAAATATACGCGCTGGATTGTCGATAATACAGGAGAATCTCTTAACGAGGCAAGAGAGGATGCTCCTCAAAAGCCGGGAGTGACGATCAAGATCAGTCAAGCCGTCTAGGACGTGTCTGAAGCCTGCCGCAAGGGCAGCCTCCGCCTGCCTTGGAGGTCTGAGTGGTTGTGTCCCTAAGGACCGTATTGCTATATTTGGAGGCTCATCGCAGGTCGCGTTGTTGCTGGTTGGAGTTTTGATTTTGTTCGAGGTCTGGTTTCAAGCCGAGGCCGTGGACCTGCGGCCTGGGAAGGGCTGAAGGATGATATTTCGGAGTCCTTCTTGATCAGTCTTCGTGCAGTCTCACTCAGCTGAGGCGAGAGTGTCTCTATCTCGAGCAGACTGAGGGATGCAGGCGGAAAGGGTGAATGGATGAAGTGCCTGAGGTGAAGGGGAGTCGATACCGGGCTGTTATGGACGGGATGGGATCGGCTTTCCAATCAGGTCAAGGCTGCTGCGAGGGAAATTGAAGAGGGTTTGTAGTTTGCGCGACTTGCGGGAGGGCGAAAAATACCAACAGGGTGGGGGTCGTGTCGACGGTGTAGCGTCATTGTTGGACACTGTACCGGCCATAATTTACTTCTATCGCCACCTTGCCAACGCTTGCCAACGCTTGCCAACACTTGCCAACACTTGCCAACACTTCATGCTGGTCTTATTAATCTCAGATGGCGAATCGTTCATCGTTCACCGTTTCACTTGTGGGCCACCTCTTAGGTTCTCTCTTTTTTTCCCTCAAAATTCTCCTTCCTCCTCTTGGCTCTGCTGGGCTGGGCAGATTGGCGGTGAATTGATGCATCGTTTGCGGAAAACACTACCAAAGCCCTAATGGGGCACAGTGAAAACTAAGATGAATCTGGCACTGTCGGTATCTGAATTGTCATCTGATGAAGAAACATACGGTAAGAAACGCATTCCATGCGGCCTGTATGCTGCTCATGCAACCTGGAATTCAGACAACTACCAACATGGTCTAGCCTTTTGATTTTCATTCTTCCCTGGATCCAGATTAGCTCTTTTGAGATTCTACCATCTGACCCTGTCTTGGAACGGACCCTATGGTGATCAGGGGGATAGGAAGTCAGTCGGCACTTGGCAGTAATTGGTAAGGTGGATGGAAAGCTGAAGCTGCAACTACGCCCGACTTGTCCCGAGAACTTCCTAGCTGCCGCTGCCATGACAAACGGATTGGAAGCATTGGACGCTACGCATAGTCATCTCGTTCTACTGTGTGGGAAATAACACTTTACCATATAGTGTATTTCCGCCTGTGTGCCTGACCGCCAGACCGTGACGATCCTAACTCGGCAGATCCTCAAACGGTCTCCTGCCGTTCAGCAAGTTCTCTTCTCACTTCTCACTTCTCAGGTTGGCAGACTACCATCCAACAAAACAGCCAACTTGACGCAGCTAGGGGGTCCAACATTTACCCCGCGATGACCAATTGTAACCCCGCCCGCATTATTTGCAGATTGGAGTGGGAATGCTGTGTTCGTCTTCAGGCGGCACGGGCGCTTTGGCAACCCAAATCGGCAAGCCGAGAACCCCCAGATTCGACGACGTGCATGGCCGGTTTCCTCCTGCTCTTTGACACGGATCAAAACAACCCAGGAAATTAGATTCCCCCTGCTACAAACCATTACGGGCACCCTATGCGTACACAAAGAGTTGAGTTTCCCCCTGGCAAGCTTTTCTGGGAACAGGGTCCAAGAAGCAATTGCAATGAACGCCACCCGCGGCGGCAGAGTGCAGAGCCAACCTGCATTGTGCATGAACCCTTCGAGATTCCTGGTGATAATTTTTTTTTTCTTTTTTTTTAAAAAGAACACCAAATGGGAGCTGCTTATGTCAGCTTGACCAGGGACACCTGACTGCCGATCCGTTTCCTTCGATCGTTTCCTTCCCGTCCATTCTTTATGTTCCATGGCCAGGCACAAGATCACCAAACGTAACCTTCGCAAAAGCGATGATCACAAAACCAGGAGGTCCCTTATTAGTTTCAATTTCCTTCTGTCTGCAAGCTGCAAGCCCACTTGGGATGATCAGCGGGCGATGAGCGATGCCAACAAAAAGGGTGGCCACATGCTGACGATGCAAGGAACTGAGTGAACGTTTCATTTGCAGGGAAATCCAAGCCACATCGCAGATTCACTTGGTTGAGCAGGAAATCTGACGTCATAGGTGAAAAGGGCGGCATCTGTTTTTGTCATCTGGATAGATCCTAGATCCCGATAAATGCAACTAACATGCCTCTAATCGCTTTCTAATAAGATATTGATGCTATTCACTTAGGCTGAATCAAATTACTAAGCCGGCCCGGCAGAATAATTTGCCGCTCAATTTTCTCAGCACGTGACCGAGGCCGGTGCATGTCGGCTACCCGAGTTTGAGGTCGGAAGCAATTCTCGTTGACGACGACCCTGTGCCAAAGCAATTGCACTCTCAATTGAGCCCGCAAACCCCCATCATGAACTCCTTCCGCATCGCCCGTGCAGCTCTTCGGGCGCGCCCGGCAGCCATCCGTGTCCCTCTGCAGAGAAGAGGCTATGCCGAGGCCATTCCCGACAAGGCACGTTATTTGTCTCATTCCAACACCCCGGAGCTCCGTCCCATGCGCGCTCGTTCCCTGGCTGACTTTTGCAAACAGATCAAGCTGAGCTTGTCCCTCCCGCACCAGGTACGCAAGGCGAAGTCGAACCGACTATGATTCCATTTCTCTCCCCCGAACGAAACAGCGCGATATGGAACGCATAGGGGCCGCTTTTGAGAAGCAAGGAGCGCGGGAATTTGGGGGAACATGGAGGCTAACCCGAAGTGTGCGAAACAGACAATCTACAAGTCCCAGGATGTCGTCCAGGTCAACATCCCCGCCGAGTCCGGAGAGATGGGTGTCCTTGCGAACCACGTCCCGTCGATTGAGCAGCTGAAGCCCGGCGTCGTCGAGGTCGTCGAGGAGAACGGCGGCAGCAAGCAGTTCTTCCGTACGTAACCATGCCCCATTCATCTCTTCCCTTCATCTCTTCCCTTCCTCTTTTTTTTCTTGACAGGGGAGAAGCGCACGAGTCGTGAGCTAACAGAGAGTTTTTGCGGTGGCAGTTTCCGGGGGCTTCGCCGTCGTGCAGCCCAACTCGCATATGAGCATCAACGCCGTCGAGGGCTACTCGCTGGAGGACTTCAGCGCGGAGGCCGTCCGGTCTCAGATCTCGGAGGCGCAGAAGGTCGCCAATGGCAGCGGCAGTGAGCAGGACATTGCTGAGGCGAAGATTGAGTTAGAGGTACGTTACGCACGCGAGCAAAACCCGATTGTGTTGTCGAGCTGGCTAACCAGGTTATATCTAGGTCCTCGAGAGCCTGCAGGCCGTCCTGAAATAGTTGTATAGCACCTGAACAACCGTTGTAGTATACTCCCCTACCTGAAGACTGGCCTATTTCAGCAGAAGCCAAAGAAGGGAACTCGAGCCAAGTGTATAGAGCCCTCGTTAAAACTACCGTTCCACTGTGTCCCTGAATGCTTGCTTGCCTTACGAATTTCTTGGTGCTTGTTGATATTTGATGTGGATGAGTTATACACCCAGTTGCGCCGTGCATATGTCATAGTCTCTCCTCTCCCTCCCCTTCATTGTACGTAACCCCAGGACCGGCCTCGAGACGAGGGTAGACTCATGCGTCCATTGAGGCGGTCCGATCTTTCTACGGCCTACATGGATGGCGGCCATCCCGCCTTGTACATACATTGTATAGCCAAGTTGACATTGAAAGTCTACCAGTAGATGGAGCTTCACTCTTCGGATGTACGAGAGAGTGTGTCAAAATAAGAACCATAACCATCGATTGAGGCTTAGAATTGGGTATACCAAACACCAGAAAGAATACGCCCACCGTCTCAACCTTCCTCCATACGCCTGACTGGCTATTGAAATACCAGAACCATGCCTACCAGTCTCAAACCATAACATTGTCCCCCGGGGACATTTTCCCCGCAGTGGCCCCTCCAAAAACGCCCGTAAACTCCCATCTTTTTCTCATTTCAGAAAGCCCGAGTACACGCAGAGCACGACGAGCTCTACAGAAACTGGTGGGCTCGAGTGCGGTTCTTCCTCAGACGACGACGTCAACCTCGACAAGCCCGCCAGTCCCCTTCGCCTGCCAGACAGACAGAACGGCAGCATCCCACTCCTCCTGGCTATTGATGCGCTCCTGGCCCTTCGGGGTGTTGATCATGATGATGGCTCGGGTGGCGACGGTGGCGAACGACTTCTGAAGATAGAGAAAGGCACCCGAGAGGATGACCTTGTTAGAGTGCCTGTACGTCACGGCAGGGCGGAGCTCTTCGCTATCGTCCTCGTCTCTGAAGGAGAGTCGATACTTGAGGTCGGCGTCGGCGGGGACCGTGGCAGAGGTTCGCTTTCGCCGTTTGATGCGAGAGATTTCCTCGGCGAGCATGTCGAAAGTGGCACTGGTGGCTGGGTCCTCCTGCCAAAGTTTATGATCTCGGCAATCCGGGCTGCTGCCATGGCACGAGATATCTGGGGTAATGCTGGTGGAGGTGTCGTCGGTCCATGTCGAGGTGGGCGAGCTGGCACAGTTCTGAGATCCGAAAACCATGGGGCAGCACAGCGGAGGATGGCTCAAAGGCTCAGACGAGCGGAAACAATGAGAAGCATATGGCTGCACGCCCTGAGGTGCCGAGAGGGGGATGCCATCGGTCGAGAGGTCGATTGGACATTGTCTCGACCCGCCGGTCGGCAGCTCTTGTGGCTGGGTCGCCTTCTTCTTGGACTTCAGCCGTAATTTCTCGGAGTCGATGATCTTGCTGAGGAAAAGGACAAAATGATAGGTGATCAAGGTAGAATCGTCCGGCCAGTAGAGTTTTCGATTCTGGCCCGAGGGATGATGCCTTCCGAAATATTTGGTTCCCCAGTCCTCCGTCCTTAGGAGATGAAACGCGGATTTGAGGAGAGCGTCCTTCACTTGGATTGGGTTGGCCTCCGGTCCGCGGCTGATCAACCAGTAACTTTCTGGCCTTGCAAGGTAAGCCTTCATGTGCTTGATCAAGGCCTTACCTGAGGCGTTACAGAGCTCAAGTCGGTCGAAGTGCTCTGTATTTTTGGTGCGACGACTGAGTGTTAGGTATGGCGCTAGGATCTGGACATGTTGTTCCTCGAGGTCGATTCGTCTAGGCAACCGGACGCCACGGCGAGTGGCTGCACCGGAAAATCGGAAGCCTGTGAGTGCGTCCAATCCGAGGCCGAGTCCGGCTTGAGATGCCGTATAAGACTCAAAGCCTGCTGTACTCCTAAGGGCTTGGTTCCTTAGTAGTTTGAACTCCGTCAGGGCGAGATCCTGGTCAAATCCGTCCTCCGAGGGGAGAGGATCAGTGCTGGTTGTGCCATAGCCTTCTTGATCGCGGCTGTCATGACTGGTGTCTGTATTAACAGCTGACTCTTTAAGGAGGTCCGACTCCATCATTGCCTCAAGCTCCAACTCCTCCTCCCGAGACATGGTGAAAGGAGCCTCAGTAAGATGATGGGTACTAACCACGTGTAGTCCTGAAGTGTGTCCATCCTGATGACTGAAGAATGCATCAGGAGGATCAGGAATGGTAGGTAGACTGAGCAAATCTGAGCTGCTCGCTCGTGTGCCCTCACCAGAGTCATTTGAAAACTCGAGCTGGCTTTCAGGCGTGGGCAGAGTGATTTTAGGCCGATAGTCATTTTTCTCTTCCATAAAGGGGGAAGAGGAGACATCATCGCCAGGGCCATCACCGAAGAGAGATCCCTCATCGGCAGTGATCTCACCGAAAAGCGACCCTCCATCGCTACCACCGTCCCCGAAAAGAGATCCCCCATCGTCATCTTCTGCTGGGCTAACCGGGTCATAGGTGCCACCTCCAAGTTCATGGCTAGAAGTGGAGGAGGGTGCCAGAGAATGTGGAGCCATTCTGAATTGTGATATTGCTGAATATCGTCGTCAGCCTTCCCACTTTGATTCCCAGAAGCGCCGTGATCCGAGTGATACTGCACCTTTCGAGAATTAAGAATTCGGGCCAGGAATGATTGCTGATCTATGGTCTTTTGAAGCGGTAATGAGTGCGGCACGGATTGTTGTACGCAAGTGCGACAGGTTGGGTGGTGACGAGATAGAAACAGGCAGAAGGCAGGGCTTGGAAGTATCGACCTTGTCCAACCAAGCGGATGGTAGGGGTCGTGGGAAGGAGTGATAGCTTGCGCAGTGAGTGTCAAGGTCGTTATTTACCGAGCGAGGTGACCTTGGCCGCAGTGGCCTTTTGCTACGCCCAACGCGTCTGACTTTCCGCTGATGTGATGTTCATGGATGAAGTTGGGATTTTGCTGCCTGGATGGTCGAGATAATGCGTTGGTTTATACAGTGCGTTAAAGTTAATACTGTGTAGTTACCCACGGAGGGGTAGGTGCCTCTATCTCTTCGCTGCTTATTGCTAACGTCGGCAGGTCGGGTACTGTATGTACAGTATAATACAAACTGCCTGGTAGCCATTGATATATGCCCCAACAATAACATTTTGCTCCATGCTTAAAGTTTACGCATAGCAAACTCATAATCGCACACGCATTTTTGGGTCTATTCTAGGCACCTATTTAGGTAATCATTCTTGTCAACATGGTAGATCCAGCAAAGACCTGACCTCTAGCTCCGACCCCAGACTCGCAGATTAGTCGAGAGAACGGTCGAGAGTAATCCGAACTGGCAAAGGGTCGATGCCGGAATGGGATGCTAAGAGGCCTTCCGCACATCTCCAGGGTGGATCTGCAGGATTCCCAAAACTTCCTTACGAGGCTCGGTGTCGGTACGATAGCGGGGACAAAGAATTATTCAGAACGCACTCGAGGTTGGCGCAGGGCATGTAGTTGCATGAGTGGAGCAAAAGATAACTCCTTATCTTGCTCTCATATTCTCATGACATAAAAGATAGCTTAACACGACAGGAAATCGTCTCTCAGCATTGGACGCATCACCGAAGCGCCTCCCGTCTCCGTGGCAAGGAACGTCGCCGTAGTCGAGCAAGTGGCTAGGTCCACCCACGACTTGAGAGGCAAGAATGATATAAGGGACATTGCAAATATCGTCCTAGGGGAATGACAACCATCCGAGCACGACAGATACGACCTCATCTAGGTTCAGTGGTGTCTCAGCCACCTGACGGACGCGCTGCTGGTGCAGTTTTTCGAATGGTGCAAGGGTGCGCTGAGGCCAGATGGGGTTTCATCGTGGTCAGGGAGAACGTCAGTAGCAGCGGGATTGATCTGTTCGATGACCTGGGCAGCTCTGTGTTCAATTTCCCCCGTCTGTGACGTTGAAAAAGGGGGGTGGTCGTGTGGTTCACGGCTCAACAGGGAGGGATAGGAAGTTTCTGAGTAAATTCCAACTGGCAGGCTTGGAGTTGATCAGGTCTGAAGTCCAGCTTGGCTTTCCCAGGGAATTCCTTCCGGTGACGATGTGTGCGCTGAAATCAGGTAGGAGTTGATAAGTGTGGACCTTGGAGGGTCGGAACGAGTCAATGGATATTTCATTTCGACCAGATCATGTCGCTCACTTGCTCCGTGTCACACGACAGTGAAATGCCAACTACCTACTAACTGGAGTTCACAGCTCACAAGTCAGATGTAGCTGACAGGGTCGAAATGAGGGCACTAGATGTGTATCATTGTATCATAGAGCCGACAGGTTATCCCAGCCGTGATTCGTTGCCAGCCGTGACTCTCAGTCAAGCGTTCAGCTTGAATTTATGGGGGGCGACTCCAGTTGTGCCAACATCGACCCTAAACAGGCCTCCTCCGTAAGACTTGCTATCGCCTTCACCATCATCGTCCGACGCAGTCGTGATGAAAAGTTCGGTCCCGACGAACTCGGTGCAGGTAATGTTTCTGGTTGGCAAATTCACCTGTCCAACAATCTTCCCCTGAGGAGAGATCTTGATGACGCGGCTCTCGCCGTAGATGGCATGCCAGATGTTCCCATCCACATCGACCCTAAAGCCGTCCGGACCGCCTGACCCCTCGTGCTTGTAGAACAAGCGTTCGTTGGAGGCACTCCCGTCGGCTAGGTTGAAGTCAAAAGCAAGCACTTCACCGGCCGAAGAGTGCGTAAAGTACAGGGTCTTGTAATCCGGAGACCAGCCGATAGTATTTGGGATCGTCAGACCAGTTTTGACGGTCTCTCCCGCCTTGTTCAGGTCGAAGCGCAGCAGCGAGCCTACAGAGTATGTCGGTCAGATCATGTACCGTTTTCCATTTTCGGCCACTTCGCATCGGCGATGGCGAGAAACGAGCTTAAGGAGGCGAGGAAAACACTACATCCGACGCCAGAATGGCTTTCACGGCATGTGGCACCAGTGAGGGGTCTGAGCGCTAAGGCGTCGCAACTCAGTCCAAAACAAATTGGGATTGCTTGTCCGACTCACCTTCGGGCTGGCAGTCTCCCAGGTCAAAGTCCGTCATGGTGCCCAGCCAGAGGTGGCCGAGCGGATCAACGCCACCGTCATTGCTTCTGAGCCTCGGATTCCCCTCGCCGTCCACAAACTTGGTGAGGTAGTCGTACTTCCCCGTCTTGCGGTCTAGGATGGCAATGCCGTACTTCACCGCGATCAGGATCTTGTCTTGCGGGTCAACTCCCTCGATATCGGCGGTCACGCCTATAGGGCTGTCCAGCTGGAGGGTCTTGAGCGAGTCGGGCCCTTCGCTAAGCGAGACGCTATGGATCCTCTTCTGGATGATATCAAGGAACCGGAGCGTGTTGGTCGCTTTCTCGTAATAGGGCCCCTCACCGAGCGAGCAGTGGAGGTCAATGTACGGCTTGGCGACGTGCCATTGCTGGAACTCTTGGTCGGCCATCGTGAATATCGGAGACGATAATTATAGTTTGAGAGACGTTGAAGAGGTAGCAAAGAAAATGGCAACGGGTAGAGCACTGCACTGCACTTTTGAAGTCTGAAGAACCCCGCGAACTTCTCCAACAGGCTGAATTGGAATTTCGCGGCAAACAGGATCCCCGCGATAAACGTCCGATGTCCCTATTAACTAATCACGGCCTCGACGAAACAGTGGGGCTTTCTGGAGGCATTCTCGCGCTCCCCTTCTTCTGCTGCACAGAGCCCAGAGGCAAAGTGTCCTTGAATGCGCAATATTATCTCGTTGGGGTCGGAGTGCTGCGGGCCGTGTATATCTCCACACTGGCGGAAGGGCAGAGCCCGGAAGACGGCCCTGGGATCCGCAACATTCCCCATCCCGTCGCATGCGGGGCCGGGTTTAGTAATGACCTGAATGAAGATAAGAAATGCCTTGTGCCACCAATTCGCACGATCGTTCTTCTCAAGGTGAACTTTTCCGGCTGTGCTACTGAGCCGTCAATGTCAGGATTGGGCTAGGAAGCGTGGAAAAGGGAGGCGAACCAATCGGAAGGGGCGCGATAGCACCACCTGCTTGACAGAATATATGGCTGGACTGACTTTAGGTAGCTACCTAACTTATCCAAAGGCAAGCAGAGCAAGGGAAAACGGCTACAACCGTTCCCGCAGCTCTTCCGTTCCTTTGGAACCTGTGGAACTTCCAAGTTCCATCCTTCGACCTGCAGCTTGCCCAAATTGAACCCGGCGAGTGTCGGCAATTCAAGCAAACCACGTGGAGTTACGTAACGTAGGTATCTGAGGAACCTGGAATTCCATAGGAGAGGCGGTGTGGTTGCTGATTGCAGCACATACACATGTACACTAGTGCAGCACAGCAGACAGCCGACGTTGGGCAACAACCCTCGTGTGAATTCACGACAAGCAGAACTTGGAATCACGATGAGAATGGATGATGTGGATTGTGGGGATTTGTTCTGTGGCAGGGACTCCAGTTGCTGGATGCAACATCCCCCGCATAACCCCGTAAGTTGTGCCTGTCCAGAAAGAAGCACGGATTGTATCTCAAATCTCGACAGTGACACAGGTCACAGGTCAGGCTCACCGACACCCACCTTGACCTCGAGAAGCGTGGGGGGTAGCAGCTTTATTATTCCAGTTCCGACTTCGGCACCCCGTAACAAGGCCGCGAATGTGACGCAACAATCCAACGAAATCGACCAATCTCTCCATGGCTGGCAGGCGAGAAAAATGAGGCGACGTGGACCCAGCAGTTGGTTGGCCTCGAGCCGTTCCGCCTGCCTAGTTTCTAGTTTTCTACCTTAGTTCATCAGTGGTTTGACGGGGGCGCACACATGATCGACGGCAGCTGCATGCAGCTCCTTGCCTCAGCGCCCTGTCCTTGACCTTGTTCGCATATTTGTTCAAAGTACTGTACAAGATCGACTCCCTATAGTTCTTGCTGCGTCGTGCCTATTCCGGGGAGGATTGCGGATGCCTGATGCCTATAACAGATACCGCATGGTTAGATGTTGGTGATGTCTTTCTCAGGCGGTCATAGGGTCAGGGATGGCCCTGGGCTTGGGCGTGGGCTTTGGGAACTTGACGGTGTGACCCACCGCCAGTCAACCGGGCTCATCAAGGACTACTCCAGGTAGGTACATTGTAGGTAGGTAGAGATTAGAAAGTCGGGGTCTTGCAGTAATGTGGGGGCCATCACGCCCATAAATCAAACTTGGGGCCTTCTGATACTCGTCATAAAAACGATCGCTTAGGAGCCATTGGATAGGTATTACCACACTGGCTTGAATGGGTAGCCCCGGTGTTGGTCGTCGCTCTGTTTCGGGGGGCGTTCATTATCCCTGCAGCTGCTGCTCGCTCTGCGGTTCGTCCAAGGCCACAGTCACAAATGATGGGGGCGATGGACGGACGATGGCGCTGTGGTCCATGCACCATTGCACGTACGCTTCTGCAGTATGCATGCAATCGACGCCGCTTCCCGCCGGGATTTCTCGCTTGAAGCCCTCATCGTAGTACACGTGTATTCGTTATTGGGCCGCAACACCAACCTAAATATCCTGGTCCAAGGTAGCCTAGAGCCCTTAGGCCTCATCCATCGCGCTCTTTTGTAGCGGTAGGAGGGATGATGTGGGTTGGTGGGCACGTGCCCCATCCATCCGTGGTCCCCGTCCCCTTCTGTGATCGTAGGCAAAGGAAGTAGGAGGTACCTGTTACCGTAGAAGGACCTCACCTCCCTGGTAGTTTCTGGGGGGGGAGCATCTCCCGTTACGACGGTGATGGAATCTGCGAGTGTTCCTGGCTGCAGGCTAGGTACCTCATTAAATTTCCGCTCGGGACTACTTCGTGGCGAGTCCTCAAATAGGAAGGGAACCGTGGTCGAAATGGGTTTCGACTTGCGCCTCGTATACTCCACCCTCCAATTGGGGACTGAAGTGATCTCAGTATGGTTGGTTGGACAGCTTGGGGAGTCGTTGAGTCAATACTTCCCAGGATAGACATCGAAGATCACGAGACGCTTGCCCCACGGTTATCGTGATTCGTAACTGACGGCATTCACAGGCTGGAGATTGAGTGGGATCACGAAATTGGCAATCTTGGAACACGACTTCTTCAAAGCGGGAACTCAACTGGAGAACAGAACGCGGCGGTACCTTCCTTACCACGTTAGCGTCCACGAGAACTGTCCAAAATGAATGGTACCACCCGACAGCCACAGCCACCTACTTATATTCATTCAAGAGGCGTTGTACACATAGCGGGAAACGGAAAGGAAAAGGAAGAAAGAAAGGAGCGTTTCATTAACAAGCCATCTACTCCGCCCTGCGTAGGTCGTACTTATTCATCCCCCTACGACATGACGAACTTTTCATGCACCATGCATGCCATGTACAGGGTATGTACATGTACATGCACGACGTGTCGACCCACGTCTCCGTAAGGACGGGAGGAAAATCATGATGCAACTTGCTCGCAAAATCCACATGTAAGACAGCCCAAGGCATGGATGGAAGCGAGGCAAGGAAAGGTTCAGGCATTAACACTACCGGAAACACTGTGGCACGCTACGTATGTAGGTACAGTACTGTACGTACGTGACAGGAAGCGGAGGGGAATTTTGACAGGGCTTCCTTCCCCCCTTGGAGTGGGAAGAAGGGAAGAGAGAAACAAAACTTTTATTAGCTACGATGGGGATGGTACATAAAAAAAAACAATTGTGTTTGGGTGGGGCGACTCTGAGCTAGACACCAATTAAGAGCGACCCAAGCTGTTGGATCTGCTTAGCCTCTCCCAGAAATCGATATCTTGAGAGCAACAACCTCCTAACTCCTTCGGTCCCCGGCATTCGTCAAAAATCACTCGTCAAACGTGGCGAGTTTGGAAACAACTGATAGATGACTGCTCATCTACACTATGTACGCTGCTGCATACCTGATATGGGACATCGCTGTGCACTCATCTGCCCCAGTTGCCACCAGAAACAGTGCAGAGAAGGGGCAAATGAGGACATTTTGTGTAGCATTCATACTGTGAGCGTGCTGCTTCAGCCAGGGACGGTGAGATCCAGGGGCTCACAGGTTGTACAGAATGCAGATGGCAATCACTCGTCGGGTGACGCGAACTGCAGGTGAGCAACGGTGAACTTGTCGCTGAGGAAAAGCGTGCCAATGGTGACGTGAATGAGCCGGGGTCTTTCCGCCTTCCGCGAAAGGGGGTCCGACCACGTATGTACCCAACCCAAAGCACTTCTGGACTGGGGGTGCTCGGGTAGCTACACCGTCTCGAACAGGTTGACGGAAAGCAGGTACCTCCAAGTATTTGCGCCTGTGCAAAATATGGACTCCTACCTACAGGTGGGACCTCCCGACGAACTACCGGGGTTGCGTGCTGGCCCGTGGCGGCAAGAACGCTTAGGTTTGTTCGAGCTCCCCTCTTCCTGAGACATCGACCCTCTTGAGTCTTGCCTTTGACGACTCCATCGCGCCGCGGGCTGCAAGCCAACTCAACAGCTGCTAACCAACTCACCATCAATCTGGAACATGCCTACAATACTACCTACCTTGCGAACTGCATTGCTTCCGTGTTCTTCTGCCAGAGGTTACCAGGGTCAGCCTGATCCACCGGACCCGCTGCCTGTGCGGGTACACATTTTCGACCCCATCGTCCACGAGGGCTTGCCAGCATTGGATCCTACCGCCGCTTCCATGGAATGAGTCGGACGGCCCACAAAGCGGAAGGCGGTAAGGGTGGCCCCTTGCGGGCTTCCAGCCTTTCTCGTCGACGAGGGTAGGTTAGGTGGTGTATGTACATGTGTACTTATCTATCTACCTAGGTAGCGTCGGTAGGTAGGTACCCAGCACTGGGATCACATCCTCACCCACACCACAGTCTGTCCCTGTCCCGGCTTGGAAATACGTTAGTCTGTGTGCATGACACAATCCATCCGACCGGGAGCTGGTTTCCGCAAATTCGAAGGTGGGAAAGGCTGATGTGGCTCAAACGTCAGGTGGACTTGGGGAACCATCGAGGCTCCCTTCTCCCTGTCCCATGTCTTGAAAGTGGCTAGCCTGCCCAGCTTCCATGTTAATCTCGTCCTTGACCTGGGACCTGGTAATGGTGATAATTACCTACCGAGGTATCTGCTATCTACCTGACCGTTCGGCATACTGCCGGCCAGGCGGATCCACCAGACTGGATGCCTGCACTGCGACCAATTCCGAAGTCAATTATCAAGCAAGCCCCTGCACGCTTCTCAAACCAAAAAGGAAAAAAAGTTGGCAAGGAAGCACGGCGGCGGCACATTGTATTCGAGTCGGACGAGCTCCTAAATGTGGCCCAGGCTATATTTTGAACCACGTTCGTTTATTTACCTGTCTGCCATTTGGGTCGTCCTTGCTGCAGGACTCAATGAGACCACTTGGCTGGGACCGATTCGTCTCGCTGATCTCGTTAACTGCTTGCTGTTGTCCAGAGCGTTGGTACGGGCCTCGTACCTGTCAGCTAAGACGCAAAAGGTATGTAAGACGTAGCGCGTTCGTGGCCGGGCACAGCCAGCAGTCCCGTGGGCCCCGTCATCTTCACCAGGTTCAGGGGCGATGTCAACCCACCAGCTGGGTTTCCCAGTACCGAAGGAGCCTGGTGTCCAGATTAGTGTCCTTTGCAGACACCGACTGGACGGCTATCACCCTCACGGGGCCGACGCTTGCCAATTCTAGTCATTGGATGCAGGCCCATGCCGTTTCTGGACAGCGATCGTCTCCCGCAGCTTCTCAATAGTCAATATCGAGTGATTGTTGATGAAAACCGGAACATACCTTGAGGGTCTCTCGCTTTAACGAAGCAGAGCAGACGAGAAACGATACTCCAACAAGGAAGGAACCTCGTCTATTAGAAGGAATACTTGAGCTCTAAACCAACCAATTCCGCCAGAAGGAGAGTGTCCATCTTGGGCCCTGTCACGATTTTAGCACCACGACGTTGGGCAGGGGGCCCCTGGCCCGAAGCTGCACCCCGGCCAACACCATATTCAACAGTTCCTACCAACTACCCATGTCATGCCCTGTGCCTAGTAGTACCTTCAAGTACATGGCCAGGTAAGAAAACGGGGCGTGGGACATCACAAGGAGAAATAATGATCACTCGACAAGGGCTGTCGAAAAGGCCAAAAAGGATGGCTTTCCATTACTAGCGGGTTTCTGGGGGAAGCTTGGGTCAGGATTACTAGTCTGCTGGAGGGTCCCTACGTCCAAACTATCGTGGACGCTCTGCTTCATATCCGTACGTCAAATCGTCAACCTCTCTTTCTTCCAATACTTGGCCCATCCCCCCTTCGATCTTTCGAAATACGCCAAACTTCTATGGAGTACTGACTACGCTGGTAAGCAGACCAGCTCGTCATCTAGAACCTCTAGGCCATCCTAGATGAGTGGCCGTTCTAGCTCGGCCCATCTTTCACAAGCTTCCGCTCGCACAGAAGAACCACCAGATCCTCTCGTGCAAATTACGAGACCAGAGACCAGAGAATCACTTGGCTCGCAGTTCTACCCATTCGCGCTACGAGGCCTTCTAGCGCTCCCGGGCTTTTGTAGCCATTCAGTGCCCGCGATTCCTCCTACGAATCATGACTGGTCCGCTTGCTGCAGCTCATCCCGCTGGTCACCGCAACTGTTCTTACTCACATCACTCCCGTGCGCTCGCCGTCTTCCTCGACTCGGCGAAGATCCCTCATCTTGCCCCTCGACTTCAGATCGCCGTATAGGCCCCTAGCTTTCCGTCAGATCGCCGTATAGGCCCCTAGCTTTCCGCCTTCCCATTGTACGGCTTGCCTGGTTGTCACATCGATCCACTCGCCGCTTGGCACCTATCCATCCTCACGAAACACAGGCCACCACAGTCACCGCGACCCGTAGCTTTTTTGCCTCCGCAAGCCCCCATCCCCTACCTCTCTCTCTCCTAGATATCCGGTGCTCGAGCAATTTGACCGTGGTTCTCACCCACGCATCGGCAGGAAGTAGTGTTCCGCGAACGACATAGTGGGTATTTGGCTCCCATAGTCGCGGCACACCGAATCAAACGGCCATATCGACCTGATATCTGGTTTTCGAGACGCAAACTGTCAGTCTGGCGGTCCAATCTGTCGTGCGGTGGTGCCCAGATCCTGCCCGGAGTCGGCCTGTCGAAGACCCTTCGGGCCACCCAGCTCCGACCTCTGGCGGCCCTGAGAATCAAAGGGCCAATCTCGGCGGGGACCAGGCGTCCGGTGTTGTCGATTCCAAGGAAGAAGCTAGCTCATCGTGTTCGAAAAGAGGTCACGATTGTCAATGTCCCGGTCCTCGAGGCCACCAGTGCGAAGGGGAACAGGTCTCGATGTCGCAGAGGGGACCTGCGCCTCGCCCTGCTTCCCGCCGGTCCTCCAAGTCCCCTCCCATAGCCACCTTCTCCTCGCCCCATTCTTCGCAGCCCGGTCCTCAGCCCGGTCTCGTCCAACGCGATGATCCGGCAGCTCAACACCACGACCGCCGAGAGAGCGTCGTGGCCGAGGAGGGAGGGAGGCCATACCCAGCCAACCCGAGAACCTCAGTTGTGCACAATATCCTCAACCCATCGGATCAGCGCCACCCCTACAGCGGCACGATACCCCCGGTCCCCAGGCCAACTGAGGGAGGAGGCACCTCCTCGCCGGGCATCGCCCCAAGGCCTTATGGAACGCACTCGCCAAGCCACCCGTACGTCTTCCACAGTCAACAACAGCAGCCGCCTGTAGCGCCACAACCGACTTATTCCCCTTTCCCTCCTTCGACGCTGCCATCAGGGGTACCCTCGATCCTTGAGCGTGGTTCGCCGACCGGCCGACACTCCTACTCGCCTATCGAGGGTGCAAGGCGGATTCTGACGCCAAAGTCGCCAAGAGTGAGCAGCTTAAACCGTCCAGGCCTCGTGGCTGGGGGCTCTCCTAAGCCGCCCCTGCCTCCACATATTACTTCACGGGGCAGTCTAACACCCCACAACATGGGCCCTCGTGCTGGTCCTTCGCGGCTTGGAGCGCAGACGCCATTGCAGGGCCTGCGCCAAGGGTATTCTGAACAGCCACCAACAACAACCCCTCCTCCCTCACGATCGCTTTCACAACCCATTATCGATCATGCCCTGACTTCAGGCCACCAGCACCAGCACCCGCACCATCAGGAGCATCAGCAGCCGACTAGTAGACCCCCTATGCTCCTCTCGGGCTCTCCCTTTATGTCTGGCCTGACTCCGGGGAGGGGCCTCTCCGCGTCGGGCCTAGGAGGTGACGGTCGATGGATGACGAGCTTTCTTGATCAAATGGCTCCCGGGGTCGGGGGGGCGCGGGGCACGCCGATGGACGGCCAACATCTCCTCACTATCACCCCTTCACACGGAGATGAGATCCTGGTACCTGTGGATATACACCAGGCTTCCAAACAGGCGGATGAGAAAAGACAGCGGAACGCGGGGGCTTCTGCAAGGTTTAGAATGCGCAAGAAGGAGAGAGAAAGAGAGCAACAGCAAGGACTGCAGAAACTGGAGACTTCGAACCGCGAACTGGAGAAGCGTGCTCGTGATCTCGAGGCGGAGCGCGACTACTATCGCAACGAGCGGAACCGACTGAGAGACATAGTGTTGCGAACACCAAGCATCAGCGAGTGGGCAAACCGAGGCCCGCCCAGTCCGACGTCAGCACGGAGTGAAGGCTTTGCAACAGAGGGCATGCAAATGGCTGGCCATCATCATCACATCCACCACCCCCCACCCAGCTCGTACCCGACCAGCGACCCGTCGATGCTCGAGCGACCGGCTCGGAGACGAAGAACCGACTCGGAGCCGCACTCCACGGCGCCCACATACGGTCCCCCACAGCCGACGACTCTCCCTCCCATCCCACCTTCAGCTTACGGCATCAACCCTTCGGTACAACACACATCTGGCCCGCCTGGCCCGGCGAGGCTGCCTCCCCTGCGCCTGGATCAACCACCTGTTTCAGAGCATCCCCCCGGATCCGGGGCTCCTCCCCCACCTCCGCTACCTCCACAAACTCAGGGGCCATATCCGCCCTACGGCCGACCAGCCTATGCACCTGGATGGCCAGCTGGACCAAAAGGAGCCCACCACGATGGCAGCCAGAGGTGAAACCCGGCACGATTTATCTCCCAGCACCAACCGGCGAAGCCAGACCGGCCACCGCTCTTTTGTGACTTTACAAGATGACCTCGGACGATGGTCCGAGACGCGTTTAGTACAGGCAATAGTCGATGCCCGCCGACAGCCGCCCAAAATTCGAGAGAGCGGCGTTGGATATGTACTCTCCATTACCTTTGATTTAGACACGCAGCCATTCTCTTGCTTTGTTTGACCTAGAGGATTTGCGCATAGTTCGGGCGACCGACGGGAAGGTTGCGAAAAAGATAACCCTGGAGTTTGATGTTTATTTTTTTCAACCTCTTACTGGCATCTGGGAGACGACCGATTTGGCCTTTTCTTCCCCGAAAATGAATCCCTACCGATGCTGCAGTGGACAGCCTGTCCCATCTCCTTTAGTCGCCTACACCATAAAATCATTCTATTAATCACCTCGACAGCCCCGTCATTGTACTCTTATCACACTTGTTCCGGGAGGCCTGGTCACACTACACATTGGAGACGGAGGACGGACGGATCTCGAGTTTGGATACAGTTTTGGAAGGTGTTTGGGTGTTCACAGCCGGTATCTTGATTGGAAGGCGCTTTGCTTGATCCCATTGTTTTGTTATTACTTTGCCTACCTACGCAGGCCCCGGTAACCAGATTGAATCCTGGGCAGGTGTTTATTGTTTTGATATTGGCGGGGATAAAGGAGGCGTGATACCCGGCAGTAACGGTAGATTTTGGCCTAGACAGAACAGGAATAGCAGAAGAAAGGCTGTATAGTGAGAATAATCTACGATTATAAACTTGGAACCTACCCCCAGGTAGGGGGCATATGAGACTGGTCGTTACCTCGAATCTTGTCGACGATTCACTGTTCTGATTCCAACGCACAGACCACATACCAATGTATATACTAGGTAGGTTGCTAGGGGTGGGCAGGTACCTAGGTACCTGGATTCGTCCGTCGCCATTTTAGATTCCAACTTTCTGCCACACATGTCCACGCCCCCGCAGGCGAACACTACTTGCAGGTCGTTCAATCCAAACAAAAAAGGCATGGCCTGCTCGGCATGAAAACCCCCGCCGGGCTCTCCAAAGCGGCGGCACATTCTGAATTCCATGAACCCCGACGAGGCTGCACCCAGCAGCCACCCCACCGACGACGGAATACCAGCCTCGATGATCCCACCATGCCGACCCTCCCAACAGCAGGCCCAGGCCGGCAGCACGGACGAGAAGCCGGCGTCGCCACGCGACAGGCACGAGACGACGAAGAATGAGAACAAGAAAACGACAAAATTCCGCTTCAAGTCCGAGTCCCGCCGCCGGCCCAGGTCCCGCCCCAGGTCGCGACGAGAAGATGGCGACGGCGACGACGACACATCTTCGCACCCGCGGCGCCGCCGCCAGCGCGATAACACCAACGACAATGACCACCACCGCCACCACCACGAGCGCCACCACCACGGCCGCCGCCGCCGCCACCGACGGTCCCGGCGCTCCGCGTCTCCAGCCGGGGCAGCAGCAATGTCAGCAGCAGACGAGAACGACGCCTTTGCCACTGCCGGGCCCGAGGGGGCCCTGTCCCCCGACGCGGCGTTCCGCGAGTCCCTCTTCGACGCCATGGCCGACGACGAGGGCGCCGCGTACTGGGAGGGCGTGTACGGGCAGCCGATCCACATCTACGGGCGGGGGCGGCGTAGCCGAGACGGCGACAACGACAACAACAACGATAAAGACGGCAAAGTTGGCGATAGGGACGACGGCGACGAGCTGCAGCGCATGACGGACGACGAGTACGCCACGTTTGTGCGGCGGCGCATGTGGGAGAAGACGCACGCGGGCCTGCTGGAGGAGAAGGCGCGGCGGGAGCGCGAGCGCGCGGCCCGGGCTGCGGCGGAGGCGGAGGCGGCGCGGATCGCCGAGGAGATGGAGAGGAGCCTGCGGAGGGGCGAGGAGCGGCGGCGGAGGAGGGACTGGGCCCGCCGGTGGGGCGAGTATGTCGCCGCCTGGGCGGGCTGGACGGGGGATGTTGAGGCCCTGCCGTGGCCGACGACGAGTGCGGGGCGGGAGGAGGTTGCTGCTGAGGGGGCGGTGAGGGAGTTCTTTGTGCGTGGGCTGGGGCTCGAGGAGCTGGGCGAGAAGGAGTTCGCGGCTAGGCTGAAGGAGGAGAGGGTTAGGTGGCACCCTGATAAGGTCCAGCAGAGGCTTGGCGGGGAGGTCGACGGCGGAGTGCTGAGGGACGTCACGGCGATTTTCCAGATCATAGACAGGTTGTGGAGTGATACCCGGTCGAATTAGACCCATAGACCATCGGAATTTGATTTTACGCGTTCACCAGGAAGCTCTCGTTGGAATCTATTTACCTGTTGTATTCCTACACGGCGGCATGGCGCCTGCGGACGTAAGCTGCACGCACCCACGGTTGGTTACTCGTTATCCTAAGGTTTATCAACATTCTACGTAGGTAGGTCTAGACTGTTCTACAACATGAGCTACCGGCCCTTTCCATTTTCTCTCGAACGGCCGGTTCCCTGGGAAACACGAGGCAACCTGAGACCCCACTCAACTGCTGTCCTGCTCCCCTGCATGCGTCGCACACCCGTACCGTTGCCTTGGAGATACTTCCCGGATTTGTTCTTCGTTCCACATGCCCTGGCGCTGTTTAACGGCGCCAGGCCCCCTCTCTGCGGCATGCCGTGTTTGACACTCGGGACACGAGTTGAATAACATGGGTGTATCAAGTCGAATGACCTAGACATTGGTTTAATTCTACACAAGCCAGATGCTAGTATCATTATTTTTACACGCAGAATGATCCTTGGAGGAGGCATGTTCTAGCCTTCCTTGGCGTACTACGCCATCGAATTGTACCCAAGGCAGCTAGATTTTTTTTATGCATGTACAGTACCGTAGCTTCGGGACCATGACTGGATAAGAACGGATTCCTAGGGCCGTTGAGACGCGGTGGAGTGGCTTTCATTGATTCAAACTGGCCAATGGGATTTATTTAGTCGTAATGTATGCAACCTTTGGCCTTTTGGCATCTCGTTTGTATCTCCATGGACAAACGCCAAATTGATATAACGAATTACGGAATACAAGATACATGATTTTAAGATTACGTGACGTCCGTACGGTCCGAACGGGAAGAACACCACATGCACATCACGCAATTATGGGAGCAGCCTCGACAGGAAATCCGTTACTCTAGAATCGTCTTTCTCGTTATTCGAAAAGTATGTTGTAATGACTAGGTAGTTCATACAAACAGAGTCCCGTAGCAAGGGTGACTTCCATGATTAATCGGGACCACAACGGAGACCGCCACAAACACACCACTTTTCACGGCATATCCCCCGACACAACACTTCTCTTTCCCCCCAACCCCAATTAGAGCCGCGGATATCCCCCATAACAGCAATGGCGAAAGACAAAGAGAAAAAAAGGACCGGTGCCCTTTCTTTCTTTACATGTTCGCGAAAAGAGCGGCGCCGCCGAAGAGGGCGCCCATGGCGGCCGCGGCGGTGGGGACGGGAGCGGCGTTGGTGCCGGTGAGCTTGCTGGTGGCCTTGCTGGTTGCGGAGGCGCCCTTGCTGCTGGCGGCGGTGCTGGCGGACCCGAGCTCGGAGCTCAGGCTGGCGGCCGCCGAGCCGGTGGCCGACGTGAGCGCGGAGCTGATGGACGAGCCCTCGGACGACAGCTTCGAGGCGATGCTAGACACCTCGGACGACAGGACAGAGCTGATGGACGAGCCCTCGCTGGCCGCAGAGCTGGCTGCCGATGCCGCGGAGGAGGCGGCGCTGGCGGCGGAGGAGGTGGAGTCCGCGGCCTGTATATATACCAAGAGATATGATTAGCTTTTTGTTGGAATGGCCCGAGACGATCGAGATTGGGTCCTTACCGCAGCCAGGGAGATGAGGGTGATGAAAGCTGCTGAGACACGCATGTTGACGGTTGTTTGTTTTGTGGGACTTTTGGGGTCTTTGATTGTGAAGCGGGTGTTTGAGTTTGATATGCTTTCGATGAGAGTGGACAGGTGGGAGAGTTATAAGTAGTGACAGAGGTAAGACCTTTTAGTGGGCAGGAGCTGGGGGAGGCGGGTTTATATACGCTATCCTAAGCAAAACCTGAAATAGACCTAGGCGGGAATTCTTCCCTCAGCCCCACAAAGCTGGGTGCTCGCTGGCTGCTTCCCTGCATTCCGCTCGGTCGAATGATCTCATGCGGTAGTGCGTAAGACGGCATAAACCCATGGCGCAAGCTCTGTCCAGCAGTTGGCCGTCTGGGCTTTGTGGCGTATGACGGAAGACGCAGCGGGGTGGGGCTTGGGTGAATCGCATGGCCCTGATGAAAGCCCTGTTGGACGGCCGGATTCCTGGCCCAGCTCATCATGCCTCCTTTGGGCAGCTAGAAGTCCATCAGTGGGGTTAGGGGCCGTGGACTCCGCCAACCTTCCTGGAGAGAGCAAGGCTGAGCAAGCTTTCAGGAGTGTAACAGGTTTGTAATGAGGACGTCATCCAACGGCACCCTGAGGCTCCGCCGTAACCGAGGGACCTGTGGCGGTGATACGCCCGTCAGTTTTCCCAGCATGCGCTACCTAACCTAACGCAGGCAGGGCTCAGCTGTTTGTTTGTTCACCCGGCTGCCAGCCTCTTCTCACCCCCCCTCCCCCCATACCCGAACCGTGATACACAACGGAGCGGCGGGATCTTCCAAATTGGGTGACACAATTGTCCTGGCAACTCAAATCACGTTCCCCCGAGCAACCCTTCCTTGGAATTCAGGGCTAACTCTCGAGTAACTTGGATGATGATCTTTTAACTATCCGAGAAAGCCCGTTTCGAGTACAAGGGAGTGGCGTGCATGGTGACGTCATGACTTGCTGTGGAGCTGCGGTCGACGTTGCATAAATGGAAGTGGGTGGAGACCGGCTAGGAGTGTCAGAAGAGGGGGGCGGGAACAAGCAGCCATTAAGGTGGGACCCCGCCGTCCACACCAACGACCTCGCCATCCGCGTCACCAATAGTAGCCTCCGCGCCAGCACCATCACCAGCTTTCCCATTGGCGGGTACAAGGAGGCCCGACTAAACGTCTCTGTATGGGGAAATGCCCCTTTTCAGCTCCCCGACGATCTCTGAGGCCTCGTCGGCATTCTTTGCCTCAAAGTCGTATCTTTTGCTTTCGGTCGCCTTGTAAACCACCAGCTGCATGATTGGCACGCACCTGTCAGAATTGGGCTGTTTTATGGGCCAGACCGCTGTGGATAGAATATTGCTCACCTTGAAATACGTAGGGTGCTTTCGCGAGACCTTGCACCCAACAACGTTGCTAAAGTGCACCGTTGTCGTCTTGCCGGCTCCCTCCAGGATCCTGCCACCAGACCCCGGCATGATGTGGATGTATTCGCCATCGATTGCGAAGATCCTCTCATTCATGCCTACAAATCGCATCGGTTGTTTGCGCCAGACGGTATATTTCCTGTAGCTGCCATTGCCCCCGAGCTCATCTTGTTTTAAAACCTCCTTCGCTAGCGGGTGAATCCCCATGATCTTGCCCTTCTTGGATTTCCCAAAGCTATGGTTTTCGGTGAAGAGGAAAGGCCTCGGCGAAGAGCTGCTGGGCGACCCGGTCATGGTCAGCGGACCGTCGGTGGCGAACCGGCGCCGGTGCAAGTCTAGGTCCGAAACGTTGCCGATCGACGAGACGGCGCGATCTAGGAGTACGACGGCGCCGGAGCCCGGGAGCTTAAGGACATGGTTTGCCTTGTCGAGTTGCCTTTTCCGGCAGACGAGATCCAGCACTTCGGCTAGATATGTATCCGTTGTCACATCTAGCGTGACCATCTGTCCTGGGGCGACGTCTGAGGAATGGATGTGGATTCTGAGGAGCTTATGTTGGCCGCGACTTGTGTTTTGTGCCGAAGCAGTCGGTTGCAGTTGGGGCATATCCGCGAGTATCAGGTTCTGCCGGTAGGTCGTCGTAATGACTGGGTTCAGCCGTGGCTGGCCCGGTGGCAGCCGTGAAGAACTTGGCCGCGGCGTGCTCCTCGGCGTCGTTTCCTCGTCCTTGGCCTCTTCGTCGGCTTCCTCTCGCTGGAACTGTGGCGCTGCCCTCTGGTTATCGGCAAACTCGGACGGCGAAGCCTGCACCAAAGCAAAGCTGTCGTAGACTGTGGAATTCGATCGCGACCTCCCCGCTCTGTTATTAGCAGTAGTGAAGGATGTAAGCTGCTTCTTGCGTTCCAATGGCGGGAAGTCATCATCCAACTCGCCGTCCTCCTCGACCATTCGTAGGGTCCACCAATTGACGTTCTGCTTATCGCTGGGGAGAGCCGGTTTTAGCTTCTCCTCGTTATAGCGCCAGAGACTCAGGCCGATCAGGTCGGCAACGTTCGCCGGCCTGTCACCACCTTCACCCTGATGTACAGTGCGACGAATGAGAACCTCGAATGGTTTTGCATGGTTCTCCGAGATGTGAGCGTAGATGCGAAGCCTAATTGGATCCGGGTCGCCCTGGCCAGAGAGCGAGGCGAAGCTATCGAAGGGCATCGCGGGTTTGGTCTTCTTGGCGCTCAGCGCGGCAGACAGCAGGCTCCTGGGCTGGACCATGCTCATCGGCCTGAGCGTGCTCATGGGGCGGGGAGGGGGCAACTCACCCACTGAAATATGTAGCGGAGCTGGCATTGCAGACCTGCGGATGGTGGACCTTCTCGTAAACTCCCGTGGCGGCGTGCCAACCACCTGCGCCCTTGGCGAGGCGTTGATGGGGTTGTCCACGGCATCGAGGATGGACGTGGAGTCGACACTCTCCACGAAATTAGACGATAGGTCCGACGCATCTGAATCTTCCTCTAGGAGTTCCCTTGCTTGGCTCTTGAATCCCATGGTGGGCTCCGTATTCAGCCTCGCCGACAATTTCATAGCCCTTGCAGCCGCCCGGGCAGCCTCCCTATGCTTGTGAAATCCAGAGGCGTCGAACTCATTGTCGGAAGATACCTCGCTGCTCGTGACGGTATCGCGTCGCGCTCGTTCCTTGACCGTTTCAAGCGCAGACTGGGAGCCTCTCCTCGGGGCTGCTCGGGGCGAGGGCGCGACAGCCGATTGCCGCAGGTTAGAGGACTGGATTGGTGAAGACCCAGATCGGTTTCGTAGGGGCATCTTGGCGAACTTGATCTGCTGGGCAGCACGATGATCTGTCTCGTCCTCGCTCTCGTCGCTCAGATCGCTACTATCGTCTTCCTCCATCTGCTCTCGCCGTCGCCGGCGCTTTGTTGCAAGACCAGGCCCCACCGTGTCAGCCCCGCCCCCGGTGAGCATGCCCGCTTCCTCAGCTTCATCCTCGAGGGTCAGGCCAGCGGATCTCGGTGCTTGGAAGTATTCAGAGGCAATAGCGGTGGGAATCGGAGGAGAATGGGTTCTCTTGATGAGAGCGGGGTTCGGGCGCCACCCAGCAGCTTTGAATGGAGCCGAGTTGAGGAATCCTTCGTTTAGTGTGATGAGTCGTTCGCCGACGCCATCAGCTATCTCGTTCAGGTAGCTTGTTCGTAGCTGATAAGATACGAGACTAGAGTATTGTTTGTCAGTCAGGGAACCTTGCATGCTTTAAGATTGCGGGGACGACGGACTCTTCGACCTGAATGACAGACATAGTGTCTCGATATCACACGGCAGTGGGGTGGTTCAGAATTGGACCAGCCAAAGGTTCACGGATTGCAGGAAATTCGAAATCGGCGATGGGAGGTGGCCCTTATCTTTCCCCTTGTCTGACATGCATCGTGGGGTGGGGTTAGTGTCGGGACAAAGTTCCCTCAGCCTTGTGAAGCAAGTGGAGCCAGAGGGCCATGGCTTCAAATGTGGCGCAGCTGAGCTAGAAACTTTGTAAAGCGCCACAAGAACTACCCTATCAGCCTTGCCTCACAGGTTCACCAACCCAACAACCTAAGATATTTTCAGATACCTAAGAGTCTGACACACAGCCAGACAGCAGGATGGGCCTCGTCGACTATTCCGACTCGGAGTCAGACTCCGAGTCTCCCGCTCCCAATTCGCAACCCGCCAAGCAGCCGTCTTCCTCCTCCAAGCCCTTCCAAAAACTCGTCTCCCGCTCCAACCCGGGCAAGATCGTCATCAGCCTCCCCACCGCAAGCGGCGGCGCCGACGGCCCAGACCAGAAGCCCAGCGACGGGCCCCCGCCAGCGAAGCGCGCGAGGACGGGAGCCGGCGGAGGTGGCCGCTTCAGCAACTTCGGCTCCTTCCTGCCGGCGCCGAAGACGACGACAGCGACGACGACGGCCGGAAAGACTGCATCATCATCATCATCATCATCATCACCCCAAGCCACCGCTGGCGTTGGTGGCGGCGGCAATGCGGCGCCGCGGCCGGGCATCCACTTGAAGACGGGGGCAGAGCCGGCGTTTGATAGGGAACAGCCAGTGGGGTCGGGGTCGGGCCTGAACCTGCCGCCGCCGAAGCAGAGCAAGGGCCCGAGCATACACCCGGACCAGAAGCCGGAAGAGGAGGTGAAGCTGGTGGGGAAGCCGCTGATGTTCAAGCCGCTGTCCGTGGCGAGGAATCCGGCGAAGAAGAAGAACCAGGGCGGCGGCAGCGGCAGCGGCCTCAACGGCGCGGGGGTTGCAGTGGGGAAGTCCCCGGCGGCAGCAGCAGAAGAGACCAAGGCAGTCCAAGAAGAGCCGGCGAGGAAGAAGAAGATATCCCTATTCTCAATACCGGACGGCGGCGGCCCCGCAGAGGACCCCCTGCCGGCGCCGCCCGGCAACGGCGCCTACGAGCCGCTATTCTTGACCCCCACCGCCGAGGACGGCGCAGCAGCAGCCGCGTACGGCGAAGCCGGTGACTCCTCCTACCCCAGCCACGCCCAGCAAGCCCCCGCCGCGCCGGCCCCTCACCACCGACCCGACACCCTCTCGTCCATCGCCGACGACATGAACCTCTCCGCCGCGGCGCGGCGCGAGCTCTTCGGCCGGGGCGGGCCCTCCGAGTCGCTGTCGTCAGCGGGGGTGATCAGGTTCGACATGGAGCGCGAGTACGCGCACAACGAGACGGTGCGGGCGGCGGGCGACACGGCCGTGCACAACCCGGTCCGCGCCATCGCGCCCGGCAAGCACAGCCTGCGCCAGCTGGTCAACTCGGTGCAGAGCAACCGGACCGCCCTCGAGGACAGCTTCATGGCGGCCAAGAGCGGGAAGAAGGATGCGGCGGGGAGGTACGGGTGGTGAGGGGGTGGTTGGCTTGGCAGGGAGAGGAAAAGGGGAAAAGGGGAGAGTTACTGCCCCGGTGTTGTTTGGTCAGTCTTTTGTTAAAATGATGCTTCAGTCATGTCATGGCAATAGAGAAATGAGTGTGCATGGAAAACACAGTGAAAGCAGAGACGTTCTGACTTCTGAGAATATAATCGCCTGTGTGGCTAAATCAGTCTGTTGGGTATATTTAATTCCTAGATGTCCTGCCCAGCCCACCCAGCGTGAATTATTTGCCATGGTGCGGCTGTGCGACTGGTACGTTGCGTCATGCATCTCAAGAGAGTAAGTAGGTGTGGAAGAATCGAAAGCGTTTGTCCAAGAATGAATGGTAGGCGTATAACGCCCATGCCCTCTCCCGATACTTCTCAGCCCGCGAAATCCCAAGTCTCAGCACATCTCAACAGCAGCCGTCTTCCCCTTCCACCCGTCGCTGACCATTAAGAAACCCCACTCCCCCCTCGTAATCGGCGAGATATCATCATACCCATTCGGCGTCATGGGGCCCGCGTCGCTCGTCCTCTTGGACTCCATGTCGTTTATGATCTCGTCGATGGTCATGCTATTCCACCTCCCCAGGCTAGCGGCCAGTGTATTGGGGTGACCACTCTTTGGGCGCGCCGTCAGCTCCTCCTCCTCCTCTTCTTCCCGCGGCTCCTCCTCCTCCTCCTCCTCCTCCTCCTGCTGGCCCGGAGCCTCCACCGCACCACCGCCGGCCATCTCCACCTCCGCCTCTCCCGACCCGCTCGCAGCCCCTTCAGCCCCTTCAGCCCCAGCAGCCATCTTCAGCGGCACGGGCTTCAGCACGCCGGTGGGCCTCCGTTCGAATGTTGTCTGCAGCCTCAGCACGGGCATCTTCGGCGGCGGCGGCGGTGAGATCTTGGGCGTCGTCCGCCTCATCTCCTCGAGGAGCGCCGCCTCTGCCTCCGCCGCCGCCGCCGCCGCCGCCGCCGCCTCCTCCTCGGCCTGCATCTCGCGCGCCCGTTCGCGGTAGTACTCCTCGATCTCCATGTCGAAGTCGAAGTCGATGCAGAACCGCTTTTCCAGCTCCCTGCAGCTGCGCCGCGATCTGGTGGTGGACGAGGATCCGGACCTGGACCTGGAGCCAGAGCTGGGCTCGTCGGGCTCGTCCGGCTTGTCGGAGTCGGTGGGCAGAGCGGGGAGCGGCTTTTCGTTCAGGTGGTGGTGGACGACCACGGTGGTTGGCCGGTGCGGAAACCGCCAAGAGGCAGGGTGCTCGCCGTCGTCGTAGTCGTCGTCGTCGTCGTCGGCAGGGCTGGCATCGCCGGTGAAGGCGTCGCCGTCGACGTCGTCCTCCACGCCGCCCTGCCCCGCGTCGCCGCCGTACGCCCGCGCGTACATGCGTGACACGTCGCGCAGCGCGCCGTCGCTGACGGGGCCGAGCCACGCGTAGGCGCCCAGCAGGGCGCTCTTGCGCAGCTTCTGCCGGCCCTGGGAGAGGACGAGGCGGCGCAGCTCGTCGACGGCGTCCTCGAGGCGGCGGGGCGACTGCGTGTGCGCGTACGAGGCGAGGGCCACCTTGAATGTGTACAGGTGGTCGAGGGAGAGCAGGGTGAGGCCCTCGGAGGAAAAGAGAACCTCGTTTTGGGCGAGTGAGCGGTGCATGAGGTTAACGTTCAGGCCGTAGGCTGAGGGCGACAAGGGGCTCGGAAGCCAGTTATTTCTGCGGGGGTGTCAGCAGTTTCAGAACTCGGATTGGTTTTTGGTCTGGTAAGATAAAGAGAAGAGTCACACGTGCGATGGCCGAGACGGCGATCGCTGAAGCAAGCGGGAAATGGGCAGTGATCGGTATATGATGGGTTGACTCACCCAATGCGGAATCTCCTTCCGGCCTTCTCAATGGAGTGCTTCAACAGCCTCTCCTCCCTCGTGCTCAGCGGGCTGACATGCACCAGCCTAATCCCAAACGGATCTGGGTATTGCGGGCCCGCAACCCCAGACATGGCGCTGCCAGCGTCGGTCGTCGTGGCTGTGGACGACCCAATGGTAAAAGGCGTCGCCGGCGTCATGGGCATGCTCAAGCTCGACGGCGTGGTAGGGGAGAGGGGCCACCGGAGACGCGGGCCAAAGCTGAAGGTCGAATCGGCTGCCGACGACATGGAGGCGGTCGAGGCCGAAGACATGGACGAGACGCTGAACGCAGGTGACACCATGCCATTGCGCTGGAGATCGAGTGCGATGGGGACGTGGCGCTCTTGGGTGCCTTCCGAGGGCTGAGGCGTGTTAGACCAGACGAGGTTCTTAATGGTGGCCAGGTTGAAAGCCGGGCGTGCCGGCGTGCTAGCCGCAGAGACGGGTACAGAGGAGGCTGCAGACGGGGGTGAAGCTAGGGTACCCGCAGAGCTCAGGGGCGAGAGGACCGATGATGGGAGCTGATAGTCGTGGCGAACTACGACGAGAGTGAGGTGGGCGGCCTTCCGGGCCAACCTCTTAGATGCGTATTCGAGGGCCGAGTTGAGATGAGTGGGCAGGTTGTGGCCGTCGAGAATCGAGGGACCAGCCTCCAGTGGAGAAGAAATTCGGTCTTTCAAAGACATGTTTGCGAAGCGAAGAGTCGTCGTGCCCGAAAATGAAGGTAAGTATAAGATGGGGACGAAGAGGCAACTGGCAGAGACTGTGGAGCTTCTCTCAACTTGATATAGCTCTTGTCAAGAATAAAGCAATATTCGAGCTTGGGGAGACGGGTGTTGCCAATCTCTGAACCCTGGCTCTCTTACCATATCAAAGTCGGACCAAAAGGGAAGACGAGTTATAAGAGATTATTCCCAAACTTCAGCCATGCAAGACCAAGATAGGATGAAACATTTGGAAAGAGCACGACGGGATAGAAAATAAGGGGGCAAGAGGGGGTAGAGATGGGGGAGAGATAAAAAAAGAAGGGCGGCTAGGAAAAGCGAGAAACAAAACAACAAGGATGAAACAAGCAGCCCGAATACACGAGAGGCGGGATGGCTTGCCCAAGCTGCATGCATGGTTCCCTGACCTGGGAATGGAATACCTAGGCGGTGGACCGTGCAGACGCCGGCGAGAGCTACTGCAGGCTGGGTGAAGCCTGATGGAACCACGAGTCAACCTGGCCCGTTAGCAGAAGACCGGGCGGCCAGATAACCGCCATCGAGACAGCCTGGTGCAGAACACCACGCCGATCTACACATCGCGGCAATGGTGGGGCAGCTCAAGACTAACACCAAGCCAAGCTCAAGCTCGGGTACTGGTTCAAGGGCGCTCTGTTCTTTTAAGACGTCACAGCCGAGCTAACGGGAGCTAGGCCCCAAGGGCTCATCTCATTGGCCGGCCCTGTAGTCGGCGGCTAATGGGTGCTATTTTCAGCGCCCATCAACGCGGGGTTGATCGTCGTGGTGGTGTTGGGTGGGGAGACAGGGGTTTGCTGACCAGGGGTAGCGGCGTGACGAGGTGCATAAAATCTTGCAGCAACTCAAAATAGCTCCGCTTCGAGCCAATCAATGCTCACAACTGGACATGTTTCGATGGTTCGCGGCGCGAGAGGGAGAAGAGGAGGAAGAAGAAAAAAGAATGGATCTCTGGCAGCGCAAGAAGTAAAGACATGTATGTTCCCAAGATCCCAAGATCCCAAGATCAATAATAGATGTGAGACGAGGCGATTGATTACCTGGGGAAGCACAACCCCTGACACACAAATCGACCGTGGCAACCTTCGCGCGACTCGTTTCCCTGACTTGTGCACCAGAGCACATAATACATTACACACAACACCATTCAAGAGACCACAGCCCAGAAGTGGGCATGAACGAGGAGAGGCGTTTCAGTTCCACAGTGGGTACTGTTTTTGGGCCGGGCCCATGTGGTCGGCCGCATCGAGGGGTTCCCCCATGCCCACAACACTCCCCATTCTGCATGGTGGACAAGGGGCGGAGAGCAAGCACGCCGAGGAACCACGCAAAACCAGCTCGCCTGTCTACAATGCTGCTGTTCCTGCGGCCTGCTGTTGGGCCCTAATATCCACATGTAAAAGGTCTGGATGGATGCCCATCACCCAACCAATACCCAGTAGTTTAAGGAAGGGGCTGCGAAATCCACTCGTTGTAAATTATGTCGAGGGGCTTGGTATCTGCTGTCATAACCATCGTGCTTCTAGTTTCCGAAACCTCCCCAGCCCTGTGTCGCATGAATTACCCTTCCCTCGTGGTCGATAGGCTTGCAACTTTGGATAGGGACTCTCGTCTGCCTCGTCGAGGCAGAAAACGACAAATTTCATCCATGTATGTACATGTACATGTAGTGTAGTACACTGACAAGCAGTCCAAAGTGACCGATGTATGTGTTCCGGATAAAGCAATCGAGGCTCTCAGGTCATTCATAAGTAGTCATTGGTGATTTGATTCCACCTGTCGAATACTCCAGGTGCTGCCTGTCTGTCTACCGCATAGAAAACCCTCATTATGCAATCTAGAAGCAAGCAGCAGGTAGTAGTAAGGGGCCACGAAGCACACCCAGCAGGAAACCTAGCAAATCCGGCATCCCTTTCCCTATGCATTTCCGGATTTTCCGTATCCATGACCGCAACCAGGGCCATACCATGGCCGCGCGGATGATAATCCAGCGCCCGACGACCGCAATGAGACAACGCAGAGAAAACTCCACCTTTCCGAGCCTTGACGCCAAAGCTCCCCAGTCAATGTAGGCAGCATCTTCGGTTCTATCTTCCGACATCTTGTTGACCCACCACTTTCCTCTGACCATTTCGTCCTTCATCGCTCGTCCACATGAAAAAGAAACAAAAACATTGAAAAAGCAAGAACGGGGTAGGAAAGAATAAAAGGGTAGGGCCCCAGGAGGGGGCAAGGCGAAAGGGGGGGGGACAACCCCCCAACCCCTCTGCCGCTCGCTGAGTGTGCTCCTATTTGGTCCCCAATTATCTCATCGGAACGGACCCTTTTCACTGAAAGTCTGGGTCGTTAAGAACACCCACACCGGGCATAACGACGTCGCCCAGACTGTCCATCTGCTCCGAGCACACCGACGAGTTCTCCCAATCTGTGGAGCCTTCGCAATCAGTCGGCCGTAACGCTTGACGTGATACTGGATGAGTCGCTATAGAACATACCAGACCCGTCTTCTTCCGGATCTTCGACTGTGAGCCTGCGTAAGGGTTCGAGAACGCCTATTGATTGGTTGCATGGTTAGCTTTCCCGAGATTTCTAGGACAGAGAGCATCCTGTGTTTAGGAGGAGAAGTGGCCACCTACTTTGGCCAAGCTTGATAAACTCGATCGTCATGTCATCCTCATTTGCACCGCCGATATCGTAGTACTTGTTGCACTCCCTAATGACTCGCTCAAAGGCCGCCACCAGTTGCACGCCCACGTTGACTCGTCGGCTGACATAATTATCTCGTAGGAAGGCAAGGCATTGGATGCCCAGCGACCGCGCAGATCTGACCAGAACCTCGGCCCTTCTACTGTCCTCGAGGCTGTCCCCGAAGTCGGGCGACGGGCCAAACCTGAAGACCCTCTCCTGGAGGAAGAATTCGACGTCGCTGACGACGGTGGAATCAAAGTATCCAAGAAGACCTGGCACCCAATCGGACAGATTCTCCAGACCGATGATGAGGACCTCGTCCGGAGTCTCGCCTGAGTTCTCGCGTGGACCGTCGAAAACATCTCGTTGGAACTCAAAGAACGCCTTCCCCTCGTTGTTCTGCAAGCACATGCATTGTTGGCTCACGTGCGCGATCAGAGCATTGACCAAGTCGGCATGAGTCCCCATACGGCAGAAGACTCGTGATGCAACCTGGAGATAGGGTGCATTCTGATGGCCCGGCGCGACCTGGCCGCCGATGGCGAGTTTCAGGGTGCGTAATATCTTGCCCTCCATCATGCGGCCGCAGCGCATGAGGCTCGCAATGATCGAGTGCGTCGCAGCCTGGTTCTGGTTGATGGCGATCAGTTTGTCCACAAAGATATTTGCCATCTCTCTGGCCCAGTCTTGGTGGAGGAGCTTGCTCTCGGACCTCGTGAAGAGAAATGGGCCCTCGATATTTTCTGCCGTCGCGAGGCGGTGCTCGAGACAGTCCAGTAGGATGGGCTCCCCCCGTTCATTGAACGGCATATGCAGGGCGGAGATGAGCACGTCGAAGAGCCCAATGATGCTTTCGTAAGAGGGAGGCCGGGTGGCCAACCTACGGGACACCGTGGCTATCATTCTCGCGAATTGCTGCGGCAGCTCCAAATTGGGATCGGCCGATAGGATGAATATGAGAGATCGGAAGAAAGGCTGCTCGAGGAAGAGGGCCCTTTCGTGCGGCCCCAACCGGACGAAGGAGAGCATCAAGCCGAACACTTCCTGCCAAGACCGAATGCTCAAGTGGAAGAACTCAAACAAGAGGCTGAACATGCGAATGACGCCGTTGAGGACTAGCGCGCCACCGTCGAGTTCGTCTTCGTCGTCCTCGGGCATCCCATAGTGCCGAGGAAGGCGGGTTTTGATGACCCGCAGCGCCTGTATCAGCAGATCAGACGTTCCTTTTCGGACCAATTGCTCGGCGTTCTTCTGGACCATCAGGCGCAACACCTCGTTGTGGGCGTGAAAGTAGCCGTAGATGGCGAAACTGCATCGGGAACATGCTTGGGCATACAGCCCCAGACGTTTGAGCAGGACTTCGAACTCGGGAACCTCCTTCGTCCGCGACGCAACCTGGTCAAGGTGGCTGAGCGCCATGTAGATCGCCTTGTCCTCCATCTTGTGCGACTCGGAACATTGTTCGCCAGCGATGGTCTTCATGTGATGGAGGGCCATCTGGACGAAGCGGATCTGGGCGGGGTCGTAAAGACAATGTCTCCGGAGCAACGCGGTGTTCTCTCGCTGGATGAGCTGCCCCAGATTCTGGTGAAGCGAGACTCGCAGTGGGCTCGAGATGCCCGACTCCCGCAAGAGCCCCTGCTCCCTCCTGAGTGCAGAAGACCTCTGGTAGAAGAGCATGTAGGCACTGTAAGTCTTGTCGTAAACAACACCGTTGCCCTCGAATGGTGGCCGGAAGTCGGAGCCGCCGAAACATGCGTTTTCCATTTGCCCAAAGTCCCAGGGGCTCACGGTATCGTCATTGAACTCGAACCAAGCCTCCGAGTCGCTGCTTGTTGGCCGCTCCCGAATGTACGAGTAGTAGTGGCCAGACTCGGCAGTTCCGGAATGAACCAGGACTCCGACCAGCTCGAAGATGTCCGCCGGTCTATCCTCGGACGCGTTATTTAGATGCTCAACCGTGTACGGCCGCATATCGAACTTGCTGGGAAATGAGAAGTAGTCGTTGATCTTGCTACGCTGGAGCGTCCTGAGATTGAAATCGAACCGCTTGAGATGGAAGATGAGGTTATCCGGTATGTCCTTGAGACACGCCCTATACGATTTTTGTGAGTCAAAACATATCAAGCATGGAAGAACTCCAGGGTGCGGACGAACGAACCTCTTGACAGCATCCACATGGCGGTCGCAGGTGGAGCATTTATACTTGTTGTCTGTACAAAGGAATATAAATAAGTACGGGCAGAGACAGGGAGAGCGAGAGGAAGGCTGGGAAGGGCAGGGGTTTCTTCTCTTCAATGCTTACCACCCTCCATGATTTCGCCATCCACATACGCCTGCAAGCTGTCCTGGAGGCTGCTCTTGCCCTTAATATCGCACTGGATCGCCGAGAAGGGCTCCAGCCGTTCCGAAATGTGGTCGCACTCCTTTGACGCGACCTGCTGGACCAGATGGCCACCATAAAAGGATCGAAATCGCCTCTTTGCCTCGGCGGATGAAAGTTGACCTTCCCACCGGTCGAAGAGGAGGTTGTAGAACTCGTCCACATCCATCTGGTTGTGGATGTCGATCTGGGTATCCTCGTATGTCTTGATGGTGGCGACCAGCTCGTCGGGATTCAGGGAGCGCCGAATGCTTTCCTGCATGAAACCGAATATCTTCTGCGTCTGGAAGAGCAGGCTCTGCGAAAACTCGGGGTCCTGGACGACGGTGTCGAGCATGAATCGACGGAAGCCCGTATTCATGAAGAGCTGGGTGAAGAGAGAGTTTAGGTAGCAGGTGTTGGAGAGGTTCTTTAGCCCAACATACCCGCAAGGGGCTCGGATCGCCTTGGGTCTCTCGAACTGCTGAAGGAGCTCATATGCATAAATATCTCCTGCGGATGGACGGACGCCTGTGAGTACACCTTGCGCACGCTTTAAAGGGGAGAGAGGGGCTTGATTTTGCGAGACTCACCACTTTCATCGTCAAAGATAGGAACCAGTTGATCAAGATCGTCAAGAAGACACCGTAGCTGAACTGGGTCGTCCCTGATCAAGAAGAAGATCATGTCCATCAGCATTCCTCGGCTCTGGTGACACAAAACCGGCTTGACGGGATCAGGGCGGCCATCCATCTCGAAAGGGGGGAATAGATGCTTCCAGAACAGCTTTCTCGCGAATCCACTGAGAAGGGTTAGACATTTTCTTGAGTGGGGAAATTGGGGTGGGAGCGGGACTCACGCTGGCGGCAATAGGTGTCGCTCCACTGGATACTCTTCCCAGGAGAGGATGCAGTGTAGAAGGCGGATCAAGCCGTTGGCAACGACATCTATCATGTCGGGCTGGGTTACATCCTATATGCGCGTCAGCCTCAAGGGGTGGTTCGCCTAGAGAAGAGTCATGCTCACCTCGTATGTAGTATACGACAGTAGCAAGTCGCCCCAGTCAGCCAGCAGCTGCTGGACGTCGAAGATTGGGGATCCCGAGCCCCGCAGCAACTTCAATATCGACAACGCAAGGCTGAGAAGCTCGCCCGAATTGTGTGGCTGGCGCATGGCTGGTCCCACGAGTCTCGACACGAGTGGCCAGAAGAACTCCCGAAACTCGCCGGCAGCGGCATGCAGCTCCGGAGATTCTATGATTTTCTTCCCGATCAGCTCTGCTGTATGTTGCCTGACTGCCGGCCGCGAATTATTGAGGAGCAAATCGGCGACTAGCTCGGGGACTTGGTCGTGTTCGCGGAATTCCTTCCAGAACTCGGGGCTCCTTGAGCAGCATTCGAAGATGCCTAGCAGGCAGAGGCAGGCGTGCTTTGTGGCGCTCTCCGGAGCGTCGGCAGTCATGGTCGACGACAGGATCTGAACGAGGCGCCTCAACAACGATCCGTCGAGGAATCTGGACACAGACGCAGGGAGAAGCGGGTCTTGTAGAATACGCACAAACGAGTCTACCAGGGCCGAACTGAGGTCGATCTGCAGTTCCGGGGTCGGACACCGCCCAACCACTTCTGGGTCAGAGATGGCCGCGACAACCAGAGACATAGCTCCGGTCAGGAACCTAGAGAACGGTGCCTCGCCTCCGGCTGTATGGCCGTCATCTGGCTGCGCAGTGAGGGCCTTTCGCTGGGAGGCCAAGTGCTCCCCAAGTACGTGCACGGCATACAGTGACTTGAGGGGCTGACCCAGCGGGAATATTTCCGTGTGAGATGCGCCGGGAGACCCGATAGACTCGAGGATGTTGTCGTCCGGCGGTAGCTTGATCAAGAAGCTGTAGATCTCCTGGGCCAGGTTCTCCTCCATGCTCAAATAACCCCATAGCTCATCAAAGTGCCCGAGGATCTCGATCTCAACAGCTGAAGCCCCGGGCCGGACGCGGGCCGGTGTCGAGGCCACGTCGGATTCGCGCTTCACCAGTATGATGCCGTTATGGATTTGTAAGTCCTCCAGGGATTTGCATATCTCGCTCTCCTGCGGCACAAATGGCCTCCCTCGATAGTAGATCCGATAGTTGCTGAACCCGGTGGCCTTCTGCAAGCTGACCAGCAGAGATGCGGCAGTATTGCGCCTCCCAATGTTCAACGGCTTCACCTCGGTCTGAGTGTCGCCATCAAAGGACTGGTACATTAGTTCGGCCGAATCGCCTTGCACATCCTTGCTTGGGGAGTCCAGGATGAGCGATCTCAGATCGGGGGCGGAGAATTGCGCCTTGGCCTGATGAAGGCGGTGGAACTCCCTGAGGACGGCGAGGGAGCGAACAAACAAGAGCTCTTGCTCGCGCACCTGTTGCTCAGAGGCGACGAGGACCATTGGCTCGTCGTCCCCGCCGCTCGTAGTGCCATCACTGAACGCTCTCAGCTTGACAGCTGCCTCGGAGAGCTGCTTCAGGCAGCGATTCACCATGGCCAGATGCACCTTGCGCGCTCGGTGATGGGGGAAGGACAGGATAGACCTGCTATCCATGTAGACATCGTTGACGAGGGTATGGATTGCCTGCTGCTCGATGGTATTCGGAGCGGCGGTGAGGATCATGCGCCACAGCTGCTCGAGGCCGCCTCGGCCACTGCTGTCGTCGTCATCATCGAGAAGGATGCTGCCGGCATCGTTTACCAACGGCAGCACACACTCCCGGACAAACTCGAGCGTCCCGAGGCAGAAGCATTCGGGAGGAAGATTCGGCAGGTACTCGGCGAAGCATGTCAATATGAACGGGTTCTCCATTGGGCTTCTCCTCAGGGAGTGGTTCAGGATTTGCCACCCGGCTTCTCGGTCCTCCCGGCAAGCAGCGCCACTGCCGACCAGCATATCCCAGAGCCTAGGGCCAAGGTCCTTCGCGACGGTCGACGGCTGATGCACCAGAATAGCCATTATCAACTCCTTCCGGGCGATGTTGTGAGCGCCGCTGATGACCGCGGGGAAGCGTGCCGCCCGTGCTGCAGGGATCGCAGCTTCAAGCTCGTCCACCAACAGCCTCGTGAAACCATGTTCCGCAGTGAGGATCTGAAGCTCCCGAGGAGCAGTTGGCCGCAGCATATTGGAGATTACGCAGAGACTACCCAGCGTTGTCGGCGATGTCTCTGCGATGTCCTGCAGGCAGTCAAGGTAGATCTCCCTGCGACCGTTTGAATCCGGTCCGTTGATCAGCACGTCCCTGAATTTCTGCGTGGAAAAGCTCAGGAGGTCTGGGTGGGCCACGGGCGACTCGCGCCCGAAGACGGAGGACTGCCTGATCAAGCGAACGCACAAGAGATACGGGGGAGTATCCAGGATGGTTTGCTCAGGAAGGAACTTCCCCGGGAGGCACCTCAATATCTGGTCCAGGAATTCCCGCAAGGTTGGGCCGAAGGCTTCCGCGGCAACCGAGTTGAGCTTCTCGCAGAGATATATCAGGTCTTCGTATGAGAAAAGGTTTGTGATGCGAGTCGCCATGCGAATCAGGGCATCCGACACACGCGGGTCTTGGCTCGATGTCACGGTCTGCCACAGGAGGTCCGTGTGCTCTCTTGTGTAGGTTTTCGATACCAGAAGAAAGCCGATGATGTTGCTGCTGTCCATTGTGATCTCCGGGTGGCACGTTGGGCCGAGAATATAAGCGACCAGTCCCGTCCGGAGGAGGAAGTCGGCTACATATTTTAAGAGGGAGGCGTTTGACTCATCCGCGGGTTCGTTGAGTTTCCTCCAGTAGGCGACAAGCTCGTTCGACATGGAGCTGGCTGCCATGACTCGCAGTTGCATCTGGCTCGACATGATAAGTCGACTGAACACGGTGAAGCGCCAATGGTAGGCCATGGCTTCAGGCACGCTGTGGTCCGCAATTGGCGGGTGGTCCTGCCGATGCTCTTCTATTATAACCTGTGGCACGACCCGCTCCGTCGACAGACACATTTGATAGATATCTGCCAGCGCCGTAAGCTGGCTCAAAGCAGAGTCGCTCGAGAGGTGGTTGACATGCTTCTCGATGATGTGCGACAAGGTGCCGGACATGAGGTTGAAGAACTGGTATCCTCTGGCGATATTACTCCTTGCCCGCTCGACGTCCTGAGGCGAGAAATCAGCCGGGTCTTGATATATTCGAAAGCTCTCCCTCATGATGTTGCAGATCAGGCCGCATATGGAGCCCAGATTGTCGGTGAGCTTTGGGTAGCGGGCAATGAGCTCGACCTCCATCTGAGCCAGCTTCATCAAGACTGCCAGGGATGCTCCCTGGGTCGGGTGGTAATTCTGGAAGGCGGCGAGGATTTCCATCACCTCTTCGGCATAACTCCAGTCTGATTCACCATTGTGCAGGTGGTTCGCATGTAGGCTCGACTCTTCTCTCCGAGTCAGTAGGGACAACGCGTGTGCATAATATGGAGACGCGAGGTCGGAAATGCGAGGCGGGTCGGTGGACGAGGCACGCAGCCACTTCACGTCAAGCTCGACGAAGTATGCCGCCAGTTTCGCGAACCATTTATAGAAGGTGAAGATGTCAGTGCGTAATGCTGGGTTCCGTGGATATGGCGCCCTGTCAGGGGTTAGAAAATCCGGTGCAAACCAACATTGCCGCAGCCAGGATACTCACCTCCGGTTGATCATAAAGATAACAAGATCAGGGAAGGTCTGCCAAAGACTCCGATGCGCGAAGTAGGATTCCAACGCCATGCGATGGCCGGCTTTTCTAGCATAATATAGGTATTTCTGGATCCAATCTGTCATATTCTTGGAGACCAGGTCGTCTGGGAGGGACGCCCGTGTCAGCAAACAATGAACAACTAACTGCCATGGTGGAGGGGGTAGAGGGCAGGGGCAACTTACGAGTTGGCATGTATGGTGCCAATCTGGTAATGGTCTCTGTGTAAGTCTCGGCGGCGTCGTGGAATGGGAGCTCGACGGTCGGATCGTCGGGAATATCCGCAGCCTCGTCGTCTTGCAGCAGGGTGACCTGAGGGTGAGGACCGTCGAGGTCGGTGTCGTCATCGTGGTCCACGGAGATAACCTCGAGGGGAGGGCTGCTGGCGCCCGAGCTACTAGAAGCAGCCGTGTCGGCAGCCGCGTCTGCATGTGCCATCTCGACTTCGGATTCCTCGACGCTGATCTTCACGTCGTGGTCATCGTCGTCGTCGTCGGCGTCGTCGGCGTCTGGGGACACCGACACCACGAGAGGAAGGGCTGAATTTGTTGCGGACGGTGGGGAGGAGGGAATGGTCTCTAGAGGACGAGATGGAGTCCGCACATTTATTGTGACTCTGCTAGATCGAGCTTCGGATGGAGGCTGCGAATCGGCAGGCTTCTGCTCGGGGGTTTGGGGGGTGGTGGGGTCTGTATCAACCTTCATGGTGGTGGGGTCGTCGTCCTGACCACCTTCCGACTCGGCTCTTGTCCGGCCACCTTCGTGGGAAGAGGTAATGCTATCGACGGATCGGCTTCGGGAGGCGCCGCTAAGGGAGGTGCGCCGCCGCTTTCTGGAGGAGATATCGCTGTCGTCGAAGGGATTAGGGCGGGTTGAGCAAGGCTCAGAGGAGACAGCGCGTTCTCTCGACTGGGCGGGGCTCGAAGCTTCGTCCATCTGGCTGGTGCAAACCGAGAAAGCGGGAAGGCTGCTGTAGCTCCGGAGACGAGGCAGCTTTCGCTCGAGGAAGCTCCGCTGCAGCTTCTATATCCCCTAGGACTTAGCATAAGGTATGTGGAAGGATAAAGTGGGGAGTGATTGGGGGAAGAGGCAAGCTGAGAGAGTTCGAGAAGAAGCGGATACGCGGAAAGGTGAGGGGCAGTACTCGAAAATGAGTCCAAGAGATCGAACCCCAAGGCCTGTTTAAAATGGGGAAAATGGGGAAGCTTTTGACGTTGGTGGGAATGAACCTGGGGCAGGGAAGGCACACAGGTTGAAGGCAAAGGAAGGTCCTCACGCGTGGCTTGCGTGTAGGTAGTCGACCAAGGTGGGGGAGGACGGGAAGGGCGAAGGTATTGATGTAACTGGGGCTTTTAGATGAAAGAACTGCAAGATACCTACCTAGGTAGCTAGGTACCTACAAAGTAGGTTATTGCTCCTTACCGAAGTGCGAGGCTGCGAGAAAGGACGAGGCCGATGTCTTTGCAATGACAAATGGGATCTTCCCGAGGGAAATGCAGATGGGTGACAGGCTGCCTCTGTCACTAAGGTGCTGCATCAAAGAAAAAGTGCTTGCTCACTGAATTCGTTCGCTGGAAGCTTTGTCCATGTACAGTAGGTACGTGCACAGTAAATGGGCAGGCGCTGCACTTTTTTTGGTGGGAGGGACCTAGGTACCTATGTACGTCCAATCCGTAGGGACGGGGCATGAGATATGTGGATACCGAGGGGTGAAATCAGCAGGGGTTTGGAAGGGGTGGTTGCAGCGAATCCGAGCTGCTGTCAGTGTCGGTATTCAAGATTCTGGAATATATATATATAGGTATGTATATATAAATATGCAAGTGAGGTCAAATCAGACACATGTCAGAATCCGTGACAGGTTCATATATGGCTGAGAGAAACACCTCCAATGCGTTCGTGCAGGTGAGTGAGCAGGCAAGCTTTACCGTGGTTTGACCAGGGACGCTTTCCAAGGATGGCATCTTCAGTACCCAGGCTGCCAGGTAGGTAGGTATCTCTGAAAGGGAGGGGTCTTCCAGAAAGTCGTACGAGCTCCATCTGACCGCGATTTTATAGCTTGAATCGTGGAATTGCGTCTGTGCTGAGTGAGTTTTTGGTTTAAACTTCGCTCTAGTTCCTGTACGTTCGTAATCCTCCTGGCCCACTACAGCTTCATCGCCGCTTCTCCAGGAACCTTCATCTGCAAGCCTTTCGACGTGGTTGGCAATCCGTATAAAAACGTATAGTACGTGCTAGCCTGCGGTAGCTCTACGTTTGTCTGTGGTCTGGAGATCGCGGTGAAGGGTCTATCATCAGTGTATCTAGGTAAGGGAGCTCTAAACTACTAAATAAATACCCCCGAGCGTGAATATAGTAACGATTACTTGTAAGACAGAAGATATAACTCTGCCATGTCCATCTTTTGTCATCCAGAGAGCTAAAGCAGGGGTCCCAAGACAACAGAGACAGGGATGCAGGGGAATTTCTGGTTGAGTTCACCTTTCGATTCCCGAAATTTGCAGAAAAGGCAATAACTAACGGCGTGCTAAGCGTGAGCTGCTCGGTGTGGGCAGACGGGAGTATAGGAGCGCCATGAGCAAACGTCATAAGTCAGCGGTGATAGGGCTGCCAAGAGCTAACGTTGACGAAGAGAGCTAGCCGGGTAGGTCCCTCACTCCAGGCGAGCATTCCGTGCCAAGACTTTTTACCTAACCCCAAATTTTATTCTGGTTTGGAGAATACTTCATTACTTGCTCAGATATGCGCTTAGGAAACTAAATACCCAACCGTTGATTGCATCTAATACTTCTGCCCTTCTATCTACCAAGGACAAACAGAAGACAAAACTCCATTCCACCTTCCAGGGACTGCGACTTGGAGCGGGAAACAAGCTTGGGACTGCAGGCATGGAACGAACCAAGATCATCCATCAGCTGGACACGCCGTTTTCAACGGCCCATTGGTCAGCACCATGCCCCTTGATCTGGAATTTTGACTTCGGGTTCGAATATTAATATCCCAAAAAAACAGGCCTCAAATAAACCAGGAAGACCAAGCGGCAATTCTTGAGCTCCTCTGCAAGTACGTTTTTTGTCTCTTGATGGTCCACTGTGGATTCTGCCATCAAGTCGTTGACCCATCCCTCGTCTAGTCTTCTTTCCCCACTTGGCCAGTATCGCAAGTCCTTCATTACTCCCTCGAAGGGGAAGAGGGACAAATCTCGGAAGCGTAAGAGTCGAGATGATTCCGTCTCGCATCCCGCCGTCCCTCCAGCTGTCCCTCCAACCCCTGAGTTGGCTACGTCTCTGGATGTAGGGCTGGCAAAGATCTCCAGGTCCTTGGAGAAGCTGTCAAGCAGGGCGACCCCATCTCATTCCACAGGAGGTGAGGACCAAGAAGACAAAAAGACGTCAGCTAGTCCTGGCCCTGGTCCGTATGCGGTCGTGTTCGTTGCCCGCTCGGGACAGTCTTCGGCGTTTCACTCCCATTTTCCGCAGATGGTTGCAACGGCATCCAGTTGCCTGCCAGAAGGCCAGTCTATCAGGCTTGTTGGCTTCTCAAGGGCTTGCGAAGACCGGTTGAGTTCCTGTCTCGGCATTCCTCGCGTCTCATGCATTGGTCTGCGTGAGGGCTCGCAGCTGGCCAAGGGAATAATCGAATTCGTGAGAGACCATGTTCCGCCTGTCGATGTTCCGTGGCTTCGAGAGGCGCGAGACGGCCAATTTCTCAAGCCCAAGATCAACGCCTGCGAGACAACGGTCGGGGTGAAGCGGCCGAAAACGTCATGAATCCAAGCTTATTCTTCGCTGCTTTTTGAAACCGCTGATTCAGCAGCCGCCGAGGTGCTGTAGTAGTCCAAGCATTGTTCTCCCTGCTGGTTGAATTGCCATCCTCAAACTGCCAGAACAGAAAGGCCACGCTCTTATCCGAGACAAACAGAATGGCTGTCCTTTACGGGGCTGCCCAACCAAGTCCAGCTTGCTTTGTCTCCTTCACTGTATATGTACTTACCGCTTTGCAAGTTGGCGGCCATGGTAGCAGCCCAAAAGGTCATGCAGTATAATATGTCCTACAAAGGTTCTCAAGCCCATATATCTCTTGACTTATCCTCTTCAGAGGATCCCAGAGGGAATGGACAGATGAAGTCCGATATTGTGATTCGGGTGACTTGATCTTCCTGTTGTGGGAGCCGAATCCGTGTAAGTCTAGCCCAGATCCACCCCCATCGATTGGAGTCCTGTCCGACTGTGCCATTCTTAGATCCCATCGTCATGAACCATGCATGGGCCCGCGATGTTTCCGAAGGCTTCAAACAGATCGCCCTGGCAACTTGCCTTGTACCTTCCAGCCTACCCTTTCGGGTTTTCTCCAGTCCTTTTCTCTTCCATTGTTTACCATCTTTCTTTCCACCTCAGAATTTGTACCACTCCGAAGATCCCCAAAAATACCACCCCATCATCTCGCCATCTTATCACGTATCCAGCCTCCTCGCCAACGCGGATATTCCGCTGAAAAGTATCATCACTCTGCCACGATGGATAACGAAGAGCAGATTTGCCTGGCCCGTGAGCTACGGGATGAGTTTCAAGCCAGCGGGACATTCCGCAGCGAAGGCCCTGCCGCTGGTCGCGGTCGCCAGCCCAGAGCCCGTGGCGGCCAGACCACGGCTCGTGGCGGTCAGGCCACGGCTCGTGGTGGTCAGGTTACGGCTCGTGGTGAGCAGACCAGGATTCGTGGTGGTCAGCCTGCCGCTCGCGGTACCCAGCCCACGGCTCGTGGAGGACAGCATGCCGCTCGTGGTACCCAGTCCAGGGCTCGCCGTGGCCGAGGCCAGAGGGTCTCCCGCGCTGCCACAAATAGCAGTGCCTCGCAATCCACCTCGGTCATAGGTACGTGTCTATTTTTCGTTTCCTGCGTCTCTTTTTGCCTACTGCTCTCTCATTCTTCCCTCCACCTCCACGCCGTTTGCTTGAGACTCTCGAAGCCAACTCCTGACTCTGAATAGGCGATAATCATGGACATGGAAGCGGCTCCGTCAGTACTCCTGCTTCTTTCGTGGACAACGATACCAGTGACGACATCGCTCACCAGAATACTCAAACTGGGCGTGGCCGCGTGTACTATTACCAGGACTATGATAGCCTCATCGACCAACCAGTCCCAAGGGCCCAGAGCACCAATCCGCTCCCAAACCCGACTTTTGTATCGTCCCAGACGTTTACTGCCATTCCTGGATTCCAGGTCTTTCCCTATCCGGACAGCAAGAACCGCATGGGTACCACCTCTGGACAACTGGTCATGGTCCAGGATACGGAAGTATATGGCCAGCCCACCCTGTCCAGCAACCGGTGTGAAGCCCCTGTCAGCACGACCCAGCAGGGTGTGCACATGGCTGGCAACGCCATGCACGCAGCCCACGCACCCACTCCCCCGACGACCAGGGCCAGTTTTGCCACCGTTCAGGCCACAGTCGACCATATAGGCCCCGTGGTCTGGAACTACCAGGATCCGAACGCACAGCGCGAGCCCCTTCCCCATCATCTCGGCCACCAGGCCGTCTTGTCCCCACTGACCAACCTCAGTGGCCAACCGCGCAACGAGGCTCCTCCTTCCAAGCCGACCGTCAAACCATCAGTCACTGGCCTGACCCTAATGGATATGGACATCGATGAACTCGAGTGCCAGGCCAGGGCTCTCATGCCGATCTCCTCCGCCCCCTCTCCTCCCCTCTGGCCGCTCCTCTGCCCAGACGAGTTGTCCGCCGACCCTCGGGCTTCCAGGACTCCGACTCGGTCCCCTCGCGTCGATGGCGAGGGAGCAGTACGCGATGGCAGTGCCACGCCGACCGCTTCGGTTGGCGAAGTGCGTCGCACCGGCCTCTCCCCCGCCCCCGGAACTCCCCGTCCGGCTATTGTGCGTGTCGTCGGTGGGACTTGGCGGCCGTCGACCTGAATGCCGCAGCGCGTGTGGGCATGGTGTCTCGGATCCCGCTCCCGGCTGAGTAGTATTGGGTGTGCCGCCGTCGATGCTTTGTTCCGATGTTCCGAGGATGCCGCCGTGCCAGGCTTGCTGATGCTGCAGGACTAGGGTTTATTCTTTTTATTATCCCAGCCTGCCGCCTCTTGGCCGACTCGAGGTTGGGTTGAGACGCCCCATACCAGTTGCCATCAGCATGTTTGCTGGCCGCCTCCATGGCCACCGGAAGGCACTTCTCCTCGTTGTATCTTATGTTAATAGCACCTCTACTAGCATGTAGAACAGGCAACTGATCGTAATGGAGGGCGGATTGAGATAAATCACCACGCCGTAGCTTGCGTCTAGTATGCATCTTCTATGAGTAGGGTTTCTATGTTACAATTATGTAGATGGGTAGAATATCTGACAAACACCTGCTTTTTTTACATTTCCGACGCCATCACCCCCCTAGAACACCGCGAGGAATGCAATGCACCAATTTAGCCCATCCCCTGCCCATCCCTCCCCTCCTCAAAACCGCGATATGTCCCGCCCAAACATCCACGATATGGCCCAGTACACGGGCACCATGATCTTGTTCCTCACGCTCATGCTGGCGGTCAGGTACGCGCCGCGCCAGACGATCCAGGCGACCCAGCCGCGCAGCTCGTCGGCGCTGCTCTGGTGGATGGCCTTGCGGCCGCCCAGGTACGTCAGCGTGCCCCAGTCGCGGTACCGGAACGCCCTGCGCGCCGCGTCGCCCGCGTTGAGCTGCACGGCTAGGTGCCGCGCCTGCTGCGACGCCACCTGCGCCGTCTTGGGGAGCGCCACCGTGGGTGGGCCCCCGGCCTCGCCCTCGCCCAGGCTCTCGATGACGGCGCAATCGCCGATTACGAACACGTCGTCCAGGACGCCGGTGGCTGGCGAGTCGGCCGTTCGCCCCGCCGCCGTGGTCGTGCGCGCCCGGAGGTACGGGTCCGTCACTATGCCGCCCGTCTTGGGATCCTTGAGCAGGTGCGACTCCTCCTCTCTCTCCCCCTGCCCCTTGCCGGCCGCGAAGGACTTGGAGACTAACTTCTCCACCAGCGGGTTCTGCATCAGGCCCGTGCTCCAGACCACCAGGCCGGCGCCGACCTCCTCGTCGCCGTACTCCTTGATCCTGACCCGCAGCATCCCGTGCTCATCCCCGAGGTGGCCGTCAGCGAGCCGCACGCGCTGCAGGTGATGCTCCGTCTTGACGGCGATGCCCTGGCGGGCAAAGATGTCCATGGCGTAGCGGGCGAGGGCCTGGTCAAACATGGGCAGTACCTTGGGGGCGATGTCGTACACGCTGATGGACACGAGCGGCAGCAGCTCGGGGTAGATGGTTGCGAGGTCCTCGTGGATCAGGTCGTGCAGCTCGGCCGCGAACTCGATGCCCGTCGGCCCGCCGCCCACGATGGCGAAGTGTAGGAGCGACCGCTTGTCCTCCTGAGTCAGCGGCGTGCCCCCGCCGCCGCTGCCGGTGGGGTACGAGCACTGCTCGAACAGCGAGAGCACGCGCAGCCGGATGCGCCGCGCGTCGCCGATGTCACGCAGGAAGTGCGCGTGCTGCCTCACGCCTTCGATGCCGAAGGTCTGGCTGTACGCGCCGACAGCCACGACGAGCTTATCGTAGGCGACGTCGAACATGGCGGTATCTTCGGGCTGCCGGTCCTGGCCCTTCGGCGGTCGGGGCGGGTGAGGCCGGGGCATGCCCTCAGCTGTGGCTCCTCCTTCGGGCTTCGGGGGATCTGCCAACGGGACGGGCCGGTTGGACAGGTCATCCGTGGCGTTAGCCTCGACGCGGATGGTCTTCCGTGAGAAGTCAATATCGTCGGCCCAGCCTTGGTAGAAGGCAACGCCGGCGCGGCGTACGGGCTCGAGCACGGCTCGGAACTCGAGCGTGCCGACCGCTGTGGAGGCCAGCAGCGGGGTGAAGACGAAGTAGGAGCGCGGCGAGATGACGATGCGCTCGTACTTTGCCGGGTCGAGCTTGCGCGCGAAGGCGTAGCCCGCCCAGCCGGAGCCGAGGATTACGACCCGCTCCTTCTTCGGATCTGGGAGTAGGTTAGGATGGCTTGCGTATCCATTGACGGCTTCTGGGCTGCTGCCAATTGCCCTACATGGAGATGAACTTGCCTTCATTCTTCCGCTTGGATGTGATACTATACCATCTCGACACAGTGGGGAAACTGTTAATGGATGCAAGCTTTCTGAGACGTAACCTCGATGAACCAGAGTATAGACGCAATGCCGAATTTGAAGTCATCTTGAATGCCTACGGTCCATCATAATGGTTCCGCCACGCCGGGTGGACTCCATCATATAATAGCTTTAGAATCTTGCCAAGGGCCGATTAAAGATGGAGACACAGCCTTGCTGTGGTGATGTCAAAGCAGCGTCAACTTCCCGATGGCTGACAAACGGCCAAGCTTGGTAGGCGTGTTGCCCCGATTCTACACGAAAATGCGCCGGGATGACCGGGATGCCCAGGAATCGATTGAAAGATCCCCAACTGCGCTGTGTAATCGCACAATTGATGGAAACCGACAAAGTACGTAATACCTGGCATGTAGATGCTTCGCAAGGGACATGGATGGTGACAGCAACTTCATCATCACCAATGAGCACTGATATTATTGTGCTGCGTGGTGTGGCCTGTAGTGCGAGAGCGGCAGCTGGCCAATCTGTAGGCCCAGTTAGTCCCTTGAGAAGGGGAGTAAAAAAAAATAGATAGGGGACGGATAGAAAGGATGGAGGATTCGCAAAGGAAGCTGAAAGAGTCTCGTGATGCCGCAGATTAATAAGTGACTGGACAGTCCTTGGCATGGTCCAATCCATTAGGGAAGGCGAAGATGAAAGCACCCTAACCCAGTCATGCATTAGCGCGGGGTTTCACAGAGGGACGGTTGCGATTGCCAGCGGCCGTTGACATGGCAACGGCGGAAGGAGGCATGCTCCCTCTGTTTACTTTACCCGTCCAATCAAATCAGCCGACACATTGGTAGACAAACGGGCGGCCCATATCTTATACAGTACCTCAGGCTTTCGTGCGGACCATATCCCCACCTTTTTGGATCAACAACTCACCAGCTGAGGAACGTCGGCCAATATTGTCGCTGATATACTTGTGCCCTTCTTTGTCTCTGCGAGTCTTCTTGGTCTGCCGAGTTCCAATTCCCATAAACACGGCATCCAAACTTGCCCGTCCAGAGCAACCCACGTCTTCTTGTGCATATTTCGCGCGGGCATGATTCCCTTCTAGAAGTTTAACTCGATAAATTACAAACAACTCCCCAGAGGAGATGGCTTCAACGGAGCCGGTGAGTCCCTTCTCCCATCGCCAGAGACCGAAGAACTGCCCAGTCCTGACCCATTCTCCCGCAGGTGCACCCGTTGCGCCTATCCAGAGAGACTCTCACCTCTTCACCAAGCAAAGGGTCGAATGCGATCCCGCGCCCGTTGTCGGAATTGTCATCAACTGAAAAGAGACGAAACTCGCCGAGCTGGAACCAGTCCACCAAGGTAAGACATGGCCATTCCAAGGGCACCCTGATTGACGTCGGTCACTTACCAGCGTGTTAGAAAATGAATCTGAATACCGATTCATCGCCATTCCAGTCGTCGCCAATGGACGGCACAACTTCCCCCCGTCTCTTCTGGCAGAACCGAGGCATGAATAATTCCGAGAATACCCCCTTCGGCGCAAGATCTGGGTCCCCGTCTCCCACGCGACGGTCCTCCATTGAGCGCCTGCAGAGGGCGTCCCGCGTCAAGAATAGCAACATCCTGGCTCTCGAGCAGAAGCAGGAGTACGACCCCACCAGGCTACCGCACATTGAACGACCCCTTAGTAAGGTTCAGGGCAATGCATTCGGTGGAACTGGAATCAAGGGTCTACGATCGGAAGGCCGGGGCGTTGGCCACCAACGGAGCGAGAGCAAAACCAACATTCCTCTCTACAGTCCCACCAAGATGAATATTCCAGATTACACTAGCTCCACCAACGCGCCTCGGACTCCAAGCAAAGACCAAGCCTCTCCCATCAAGTCCTCTCTCTCGACGGCGCGTTTCAAGACAAGTTTTGACCCCGAGACGGGGGCCTGGTCCGCCGACACATCGTGCGACGAGCGAGAGCTCCCAGTCGGCAAGACGCTGCATCGGCACGCAAAGAGTGTCACCTTCGACGCTGCACCTCCTCAGGTGAACGAGTATGAAATGGCTACTCCGGATCTTTCCTCGGTAGGATCCAATTCTCGCGAAGGCAGCTATGAGTCCGAGGAAGGGGATGAAGAGGATGAGGACCACTACGAGCTTCACGATCATACTGGTCACGATGACAGCTTCGACGCGTCGCTGGAGGACACGGATAAGACTCCGGTTGTCGGCCCCGATGATTGGAGGCAGAGCAGCCACGATGATCCGTACGAGCACAGTCCCATGCCTGACGAAGCCCCGACACCCAACCGGCCGCAGCATAACCGCACCGACTCGACAAATTCGAACGGGGACCACCGCCCACTGCCTCCGTTGCCGGGTGCTGGCCAACTGACGCGGAGCCATTCCACTTCCTCGACTGGCTTGTCTGCAACAGCAGAGCGCATGCTTGGAGCCCATCGGACCTTGCCCTCTCCCCCGCCAGCCTCATCTACCAAGTCAGAGATCCAGAATATTGGCAATGGGAAGATGACGTTGGAAGAGAGGCTGAAGCTCATGATGCTCTCTGACGACGGCAAGACCGCGGCGGAGCAGCAGCGCGAGCGGCGCATGAGACGCGCCGGGACCCGAGAGCGCGTCGGCAGCCAGACGCCGGAACGCGAAGTTCAGAGTCAGACCGCTGAAGAGGAAGAAGAGGGCGACGATACCATTGGCGATCTTTCCGTGCTCGAGGACTATCAACTCCCTTCGCGCATCTCGCGCGAATCGATTCTCCGCCGAGTCAATGGCAACAAGGCCTTCGAGCGGGAATCAGACTACAACTTCTCATCTCCTGCGCCTAGCTCGTCTCCGGAGCGCCCCATCTCTTATGATCCCGACGTACCCATCCCAAGCACTGAGGACTCTATGCTTGAAGATGAAGAAGATAATGGGAGTGTCATTGTCACGCCTCAGGACGACGACGACGACGATGACGATGACAGAGAAGTTGACGTTTATTCGATTCCGGATCTATACCAACGCTCTGAATCTCAGCTCTCCGACAACGAGAATGACGAGGTAAACCAGGTGGAAGATGATGCTGAAAGCCATTACTCGGACAACGACCTCCCCAAGCCCAGAGCCGAGAGTGTGGAAGAAGACTCGCTCCCAACTCCTCGTGCAACGACCCCTGTCGCAGAAGAACCATCCGCATCCAGCAGCAAGGAAACCGGCATCAGCGGCGCCCTCCAACTCCCGAGCGGCAATGACGAATCAGGATTTGCGTCGAGCCTCGAGTCTTACATGCTTCCCAAGCCAAAGGAACAGGAGGCTACGAAGGAGCCGGAAGGCCGGACGATGGCTGAAGCCCATGCTTACCTCCAGCGGCCCTATACTCCCCTATCCAAGCCGGAATACGACGGCTCTGGCTGGGGGGAGCCTGAGGATGAGTACCAAGAGGAGCCCGGGACCCCCGACTCGGTTATCCACCATCCGATGGACGATTATGAGGAGGAGGAGGAGCAGGAGGAGGCACGCGACTCTCCGGTCATCCCCGAGCGAGTTGCCACAATCAAGTCTGCGTCCGGTTCTAAGCTCAAGACTCGCCCATCCGCTACCCCATCGGATATCATGTCGATGCGTGAGGCTCGCCGTCAGGTTAGCCGTGAGGTTCCCAACGTGCCTCCCATCCCTGAGCGCCACCGCAACAGGATGTCCCGAGACTTGGATGAGCTGTCCACTAGTGATGACTTCCTCGAGCGTCACCCTAGCTTCAAGAAGCGCAGTCTCACGTTGGATCTTGACCTCGGCCTCAGCCTTGATCGGGACTTTGATAGGGTTATTGAGGCACAAAAGGTTGGTTTCCAACGACTTACTCTTCAGCCCCAGACAGACGTTACGCTTCCATCCCCCACTATGCAAGAGTCTAGACAGGAGGGATTGGCTACTCCAGCCACAGAGGCACTTGATGCTGACATGATATCACGCAAACAGCGCGGTTACCTTATGCGCCAGAACACCAAGCTTGTGGCCGCCAGCGACAAGGACGGCGACGACTTCCGCGGTTACCGATCGGCCGGAAACTCCCCTGTCAAGGCGACGCGCCCTCAGTCGTGGACAGTTGAGCCCTGGAACGGCCAGGTCAGGCAGAGCTTGAGAAAGAGGCCCGGCATGCCTGGCCCGGTTCCTCCACTTCCAGGACAAGAGAGTAACGCTGCACCTTTCAACCCACTGACTGAAGAAGCTTCCGGCGCCGAGGTTGCCACCGAAGATAGTGGGGAGAGGGGAAGGTTGTTCGTCAAGGTGATGGGGGTGAAGGATCTCGACTTGCCTATGCCTAAGAGTAAGTGGACGCCGTCACTGTTCCCCCAATGCCACTCCCCGCCGCTAACAAGTCTAGATGAACGGACATGGTTTAGCCTGACCCTCGACAATGGAGTCCACTGCGTGACCACCGCTTGGCTGGAGCTTGCCAGGAACGCCCCAGTTGGGCAAGAGTTCGAACTCGTCGTGCCCAACGACCTCGAGTTTCAGTTGACTCTCAACGTCAAGCTTGAGAAACCGGCACCGAAGAAGGTGCTCCAGTCTCCCACCAAGGCCAGCAAACCCAAGAGCGTCTCGACCTTTAGCCGGGTGTTCGCGTCGCCTAGGAAACGCAAGGAGATGGACCTCCGTCAGAGGGAGGAGGAAGAGCGCCTAGCCCAGCAGCAACGCGAGGCGCACGCTAGGCAGATGAACGCCCAGCCTACCGCATGGGACCTGCTCTCTCCACTGGTAGCCGAAGATGGTAGCTTTGCACGGGCTTACGTCTGCCTAAAGGAGCACGAGACGCGATGCTTTGGCCGCCCATACTTGGCCGAGGTAGCTGCATTCAACGAATGGGCCACTGAGGAGGCCAGTTTCGCGTCGAGCATCATGAGCAAGCGCGGTAGTACCGCCGTCGTTCGACGAGCACCGTACAAGATCGGCAAGCTGGAGCTTCAGCTGCTCTTCGTGCCCCGGCCCAAGGGTGCAACTGATGATGACATGCCCAAGAGCATGAACTCGTGTATTAGAGAGATGAAGGCTGCTGAGGAGCGCCTCGCAAGAAATTGGGAGGGCCATCTAAGCCAACAAGGAGGAGACTGCCCCGTAAGCCCTACTCCCCACAGCTAGAATTACCATGGGAATGCGAATGCTAACTCTGTCACCTATAGTACTGGCGCCGTCGCTACTTCAAGCTCATTGGCACGAAGCTCACGGCCTACCACGAGGCCACCCGGCAACCCCGCGCCACCATCAATCTCGGCAACGCCAAGAGATTGATTGACGATCGTCAGGCCCTCACGGAGAAGGAGACGACGGGCAAGAGCGGAAAGCGCCGGCGGTCAGCCTTCGCCGAGGAAGAAGAGGGCTACATGTTCGTCGAGGAGGGCTTCCGCATCCGTTTCAACAACGGCGAGGTTATCGACTTCTACGCGGACAGCACCAAGGACAAGGAAGGCTGGATGAGGGTCCTCTCCGAGGTCATCGGCCGCGACAGCATCGGGCCCGACGACGACGACGTCTCGGGCGGATCCTCCAAGGCCAAGGGCAAGTGGTGCGAGGTCGTCCTTAAGCGAGAAGACACGCTCCGCCGCCGGGCCGAGGGAAAACGGGTCCACTCCCGGACCAAGAGCATGCACATCTGAGCTGGACTCACTGGGGTGCCGGAGCTTCTCTGGTCCCATGACTATATTTGCATGTTGTCCGTTGTCTTACAGCAACGCGAAATTGACGAGGGACGAAAAAGGGCACACGAGATTTTGATGACACAACCTCATGAGGACGATGATGCGATACGTGACAAGTCAGGATGCCTCATGTCCATTGGTGACGGGTCTGTCTTTGCTATTCTCAAACCCTGGTAACAGCACTCGGTCTCTCAGACACAAAACGTTTTCTTTTTGGCTGGGGCTTGTTAGGACACTATCTCCCGACTCGTACCCGGCTGGTCACGTACAGGTTTTAATATGTATGTTATTGGCGTAAACTTGGGCTTGCCAGTATCATTGCTCTGCTCGTGTTCGGAAGCAGGGGGGGGTTGACGTTTTCCAGTGGTCTACAACAGACAAGTTGTTGAGGAGACAAGACTACTAAGGGGGATATCTATCTTCCACAACGAGGCCGTCTTCCCAGGGGAAAGCGGCCTTCTTACTTTGTATGTATTGGTCTGTACAGGGACACGAGAAATTACATTTGGTATTTTTTACATCTCCTCTCGCTGTGCTCATAGTGACCCCATCAATCTTCCTAACCAATCAGCTCCATGTGTAGCTCGTGGCCGAGTAGGACTACTCCGGAAACAGGCTGGAGCCCAGCACCTTCAGAAAGGGGAGTAAACGATAGAGTTTTAGACTCCGTGATCTAATCTGCAACAAGTCAAACGCCCCTCCTATCCCTTCCGCCTGTTCCACTCGACGCACTCCTCCAGCGTCACCCCGCTGCCGCCGAAGCAGTCCAGGGCGCTGCCGATGGTGAGGTCGACCCTCCCCCCGCTCAGCGCCTCGACGCGGTCCAGGTCCGCAAGGGCCCGGCCTCCGCCGGCGTAGGTCACGGGGATGGTGCACCACTCGGCCAGCCGGCCGACCAGCGCCTCGTCGATGCCCCGCTGCAGGCCCTCGTTGTCGGCTGCGTGAATGAGGAACTCGGAGCAGTAGGGCTCGAGTCGGGAGATGGATTCTGTGCGGGGGGGTCAGCTGGGGAGGCACTGGTTGGCGAGGAGGGTATCTGGGGGTGGGAGATGATAGCACCAGTTTCCTAAACCGAAGAGAAGGGTGGGGCGGGGGTCTCACCCTGGTTCACCTCCATATCCGTGATGGTCTGCCACTTGTTCATGGCGACGAACCACCTGTCCTCGCCGCGTCTCCGACAGCTGAGGTCGATGACCAGCTTGCTCTTGTCGCCGTCTAGGGCCGCCAGCACGGCGTCCAGGCGCTCCTGGCTGAAACGCCCTTCGGGGAAGAGGAAGGACGTTATGATCACCTACTGGATGGTTTGCCGTGTCAGCAAACCAAATGCCCGGCATGAGATAAAATAGTTCCCAAAGGAAGTTGACCTCATGGGCACTGCCTCCTGAGACCGAGGGTGGTGCTGGTTCGCGGCCCCAAACAAGTCCATCACAAGCCGAACCCCTAAAACCAGTCCGAAGGAAGAGGAAAAAGGGAAAGGAGAGACCAGCCAACCTTCTCAGCACCAGCCTCAATCCACTGCCGCGCGTTCCCGTCGCCGATCCCGCCGCCGACCTGCAGGCGACCGGGCCACTCGGCCAGTGCCTCTCGGGCGGCGTCGGCGTTCCCGCCACCCAGCATGATGACGTGGGCGCCGCCGAGGTCGCCGTCGCGGTACAGGCGGGCGAAGTGCGCGGGAGGGTGCGGCGACACGTGGTTCGTCCTCAGCTCCGAAGTCGCGCTGTCCAGGGTGCCACCCACGATCTGCTTCACCTGCCCGGCGTGCAGGTCGATACAGGGCCGGAAGCGGGTCATGGTTCGGCCGGTTGGGGGGGTCCTTTTGGTTGGCTTCCGGTCTTGAGTTCGGGAGGCGAACGGGCAAAGCCTTTGCCGGTGTGAAGAATTAATATAAAGGAAGTTCTCCTACAATTGTAGGTTTGTAGGGCAGAGTTAGAGGGCACTCCAAATAGATGGCGGGGTAGCAAGCATGACGCAGCTCTTGGGCAGTTAAAAAAGCAGGGGAAAAAAATTCTCCAACTCCAGTGCAAACCGAGACAACCACCACGTAGCTGCACTTCACACGACCTCTACCCCTACCTCCTGATAAACATGGCGCCAGTTCTAGGCAAACGAAAGGCGAGGCCGGTGGACAGAGAACCCGCTACCGAGCCGGAAGATGCCCAAGCCATCTTCCGGCGGCACTTCGAAGCGCAATTCAAGCCGCTGCCAGTCGCTGCTAAGCCGGCCCTGGCAGCTGGGTCAGAGGATGAGACGGACTCAGATGGGGAGGATTCCGAGTGGGATGGCATCTCAGATGAGGACGATGACGGTGAGATGTTCTCCTCCCCCTTCTAGGGAAGGCAATTTCTTCAAGACACCGCGACTTACTGACCCGCCAACGCAGAGACGGGCCAAGTGGAGATCATCGACCACGCATCATCTACGGATTCGAAGAGCGCTCTGTTGTCCTCGATGACCAAGCGGGAGCTGAAGGCGTTTATGGTATACACGCCTCTTTAAACTCCATTACAACACCATCTCCATTCCCTCAACAAGAACCTATAGGGCTAATCACACTCCGATACCAGTCCTCCCGCCCACCCCCCGACCCAACCACAGAAGCCCTCAAAGCCTCCCTCCAGAAACCCACCCCGAGCGCCGACGCCCAAGACGAAGACAGCGCCACCTTCCTAGCCAACGACCTCGCCCTCCAGCGCCTCATCTCAGAGAGCAAGATCCTCTCCGACCACAACGCCACCCTCTTTTCCTCCTCCTCCGCCTCCACCTCCGCCTCCGCCTCCGCCTCCGCCTCCGCCTCCGCGACCGGCAGGACAAGATCCAAGGGCTACGCAGGCGGCCGCCTCCGTCTGCAGACGACGGACCTGCGCGTGCGCGCCCTCGGCGGCCGCGACAGCCTCAAGGCGCTCTCGCAGCGCGGCGCGCCCATGGCGATCCGGAAGGGCATCGCCGGGGCCGCGGCCGCGCGCGAGGCCAAGCGGCGCAGGGAGGCGCGCGAGAACGGCGTCGTGCTCGAGAGGGAGGCTCCGCCGGCGGAACGGGCTCCTGCGCGTCGGACGCGCTCCCGGTCGTCGGCGGCGGTCGACTTACCCGCTGTTGGGAGGTTGCGGGGCGCGGAGCTGAAGTTGAGCAAGAGGGACATTAGGAGTATGGAGGGGGGTGATGCGGCTGGGAGGGGCCCGTTGAAGAAGAGGAGGAGGAGGTGAGGGCGGAAGGGCATGGCGTTGCCTCGGATAAGGGAAGGGCCTGGCAGAGAGGAATATACTACACGGAGCTGAGCTGTCCTTGTCAGTAGTTTGCCCCTTGATCAGCAATGCATTTTGCGTATATGTACAGGGCTATGATAAGTCCCGCTGATAGATACCCCCCCTACATGGAAATGGAAAAGAAGCAGCTAAGATACCTAGTTTGGACGTATGGGACTAACACATCGTCGTGCCTTGGCTGCGCATTCCACATCTCCTCTGTCGTGCTAGCATGTGAATGACGCCGTAATCGACTTGCTGAAACAATATTCACACCAGTCATGACTCTCCCCTCTCTCTCTGCTCCTGACGCCGCTGGCGATAAATCTCGCTAACAAAAATAGAACATAAAAAGTAAAACTCGGCTTTAGCCACTTACTCCGAAAATAGCAACATGAGAAGACGAGCAGCCAGTTTTTCGGCCCCAAGGCGCTTAACTGTGGCGGGACATCTATTTTCGTCCAGGAATAACGGGGAATAGAGGACTCTCGAGTAATGGAGAGAAGACTCCAAATCAAGCATGCATGTATCAGTTGATAAAACGGTCTCTCTATTGTTTGCTTTTTTTTTAGTTTTAGATTTGGTTATGAGAGCTTGGGTTCGTGAAATCCTCACTCGTCAACTACTCTGGTATCTCGAGCTCTTCCAATCCAAATGGGTAAAAAGTAAGCAGTTATATACAATGCATATGCCTTCCCCGTTTTGTGTGCCGTGTGCATGCGTGATTATGATCGTGATGCCATACGCACCTGAGGGCATCCGGCTCCGTTCTGTCTATGATTCGCGTTGTTGAGGGTGTCGCACAAATGGTCGTCCGCTCCAAGCAAAACGCAAGGCAAAGGTGTAGAAGTCGCTCGAAGGAAGCAGGAGAAAATCGAATAAAAGGAAAGATGCGAAAATAAAACGTCAGGCAAGACGATGAGTGATGCAGAATCCCGACTTCTGGCAAATGAAGAGTACCAATCCAAGCACCAAGAAAAACCATGCCAACCCCTAGGCCCCCCCAATAACCCCATAGTGACCAAAGAAACCCCCGACATAAACGTACAAGTGAATCGCATCGTGGTGGTTACCAGCCGAGCCGGTTTACATCATGCCACCGGCGTTGATCGGCTGCGGCTGGCTGATCGTCATGGGCATGCTCAATGTCTGAAGACTGTTGAATGTCGGCGCGTGCGACATGCTCGACACAGGGACCATGCCGTTCGAGGTCGGTGTTGCACCGTTTGCAAGCGAGTTCAGAGAGGCCGTCACGTAGCCGCCCTCCGATGTCGGCGAAGCTTCCTCGAGAGAAGCCAGTTGATCCTCGCCTGAGTACTCCTCCTCGTCTTCGCCTGACAGGTTCAGGCCCCCTTCACCACCTTCGCCGCGATCGTGGGTACGCTTGTGTCTGTTGAGTCAACGGCGTTAGTGCATGCTGTGCGACTGCTATCTTGTTCGTCCTGTGATGTTGTGCTGCTGCTGCGTGGTGACTTGGCGGTTTTGCTTCCATCTTGGCTGTTGACATGCCACACGCGCAACATGCTTGTCTTACTCATCACTCGAGAAGATAGATGACAAATGAAATGATACATCAAGGAAAGGTTAGGGGCATACTGTGCTAGGTTGTCTGATCTGGAGAATGCCTTGCTACAATAAGGGCAGATGTAGGGTCTTTCTTGTGTATGTGTTCTCACGTGTCTGGAAGTTTGGTCAGATACACGACAGGAGGTTTATGTCTTGACAGATGATGAAATGTTTCCTGGTCTTACCGCTTCAGGTGCTCGAGGCGCTTGAAGAGACGGCCGCAAGTGGGGATCGGGCACGAGTGTGACTTCTGGGGATAGGGGCCGAGCTCCATGACTGTGGCTGACCGCGCTCTGCGTACCACGTTGGCGCCGCCTTGCATCACCTGCCGTTGGTGGTGCTCGCTCATGGGCTGGCCGAGCTCATCGTTGGTGAGCTGACCGAGATCCGCCTGCTGCAGGGCCATCGGGTTCAGAGCGGGGCTGCCTTCGACCGTCGACAAGGGGGTGCCGTGTCGAGAAAGGTCGAGCAGTTCCTTGTGGTGCTGATGGCTGCCCATTGACATGCCAGAATTGCTGTAAGTCAGACCTGGGGGGGAGTTGTCCGCAGACTCGTCACCCTCGGCAGGCCCAGACGCGGATACAGACCTGCGAAGATCCGATGGCCGATGCGCCGCGGTAGCTGACGCGATCGCTGCTGCTGTGACCGACAGGGAAGGAGGGATGGATGACCGCCGTCTCCGCTGCTTGTAGGTCGGCGATCCTTCGATCACCGAGTAGACGTTGTTGGCAGGGTAGGCGCGAGAGAATGAAGGGCCAGCCAGGTTCGATGGCGGCAGCTGGATCATGCCATTTAGGCCGTTCATGCCGTTCATATGGTCCGGGATGGCGGTGTAGAGGCCAGTCTCCTCATTGGCGATGTAAGCAGGCTCGGCGCCCATGCCGAGAGCCTGTTGGGGAGGCGTCAAGGGTTCAAACGAGATACCCCTCTGGCTGTAATCCTCGTAGTGAGAAGAGACGAACGACGGTGCGGGTGAGTACTCCAACGCATAGGCGGGCATCGACGCGTGGCGCTGGTGCGCCTGTGCAATCGGGACACCGTTCTGGTTGTACTGCACTCGGGTGAAGTCAGGCTCCCTCTTGACCACCGGCTGTGCCATTGCTGGCGCCATCGCCATGGCGCCGTACGACACCATGCTCTCCAGCCCCTCTGGCAAAGGGGGCATTGACTGGGGGATCATCTGCGGAGGGGGCATCGAGTCCATGGCCCGCATCACTGGGGAGCTAGACTGCGACTGGGAAAAGGAAACCTGCTGGGCGTTGAAGGAGGAAGAATTGGTTTGTTGAGCCTTGGTGAGCTGCTCGTACAGCGACTGGGACGAATCGTACTGGAAGGACAGAGCGGGCTCGCTAACGGCGATAGTGGTGGCTTCCTGGCCCATCTTCTCCCTCTTCAGGTCCCGCTCCAGGGCGTCGAGGAACAGGCGGTCGTGTGGTACGCTGTACCAGTAGAAGACCTTCTGCTTCTTCTGCGTCCGAATGCAGTTGTTCTTGTAGAGGAAGTCGAGGAACGGGCTCTTGGGCTCCTCGAGAGAGGCATCAGTTCCCGACTTCAGATTTCGTAGGTCTGAGAAGATGCCCTCTTCGAACTTCTTGGAATTCTTAACTGGCCGACCGAAAGCTTGGAACCGGAAGGATAGACATCGCACGATATCTGTCCCCGAGATGTGGAAGAGGTTGTTCCATAGCACGCACGAGACGTATTCGCCGGTCGGAAGGAGGAACCTCCGGATGTACTGGTCTGATTGCCAATCGACTGGTGCGGAGATGAGGAAGTATTTCACTGCAGGTCATGTTAACTTTTACACACCAAGAAACGAGCGCCAGGCTTCTCCAGGCTCGGCTGCATGGGTCACTGACGATTATCGACTTGCTGCAGAGCTACCTGAGCATCGTGGGGCAGTGCTTGTTGAGCTTCCGTGCTCAACATGAAAGTCTCTGGCTTTTGAGGCGCTGCCATGGCTGCGTGTTGTGAATACATGCTGTGCAGCGGCCCTCTAGGGTCTGGGAAAGACGGGCGTCTTCCTTGCGCGTCGTTACCGGCCGAGTCGATCGAGATTTGTACTAATTATAACTCGATGAAGCGGAGGGAAACTCGTCGAGGTGAGGGCCGAGAATGCAACCCAGTTGAAACAGCCTTAGGGAGGAAAGAGACCCTTTGGACGGGTTTAAAATAAGTAAATGGACGAGATAAGGGAATGAACGACCGTGGCGTTAGGGCGCTGTGTTGCAACAAGACGCCGTGTGTTGGTGTGGGTGAGGCGCTGCCTGTGGTATAAGACTTTCAAGCGCGGTGGCTTGAATTTGTTATTTCCGTTTTAATGACACTCGAGTCCAGCCCGGGAGGAAATTTGCACGCAAGATACTGAATCGATCCAATTGCCTCAAGCGAATTGGACCCGCTAATGCGATGGACCGTCAAGGTGCAGTGACGAGGGAAAGGGACGCAAAAAAGGGGCGTTGCCTGCGTTCCGAGTGAACAGCGGGGTCCGGTTCGCAGTTGGTGGCCGAGATTCCGCAACGGACAATGCACGACCAGGCGGAGGTGTTGTCGACGTTGGTGGTGTTGTGAACACACACAGAGCGAGAGAAACAACGGGTCGAGCAGCGGAATTCAACCGTTCAGTGGGAAACGAAACCAAATCAACAGGACTTCCCAATATTGACGGGCATCAAACGGGCAAGATCTTGCGACGGAAGGTGTCTGATGTGTCGATGGGGACGAGGAATGATTTGCCCCTGGGGTCCTTGATGGGGATGCTCAAGACGGGAATGGGAGGCGAAAAGATGTGCGCGTGCGTCTTCAAGGGTAAGAAGGCGCAACGACGACGTGAGAGAGAGAGGGGCGGGGAAGAAGAGGATCCTCCTGCGACACGACCAGGGAGAAAGGGAAAAAGAGGGAGGAAGAAGAAGAGTCTTGAAAAGAGAGCTCGGAAGAGTGTCGCGAGAAGGGAGAGGGCGGGATCCGGGGGGTTTAATGATTTCTTGCGCTGGGCGGGCACTTGGGTGATGGGTGGGTGGATGCGGGAAAGCAGTGTGCAGTGGGTGGATGCGGGAAAGCAGTGTGCAGTAGCGAGCCAGCAACACAAGGGCAGGTCAAAGCAGAGGGACGAATGATGAGAAAGATGGGTGGCCGGGCCAGGGTGGGAGGGGAGTGGAGGTCGACGACGGGGGTACTTCAACCAGTCCCCACTCGGGGGGCCAGGAGGAGAGGTACGTACCGGCCTGGGCCTGGGCAGAAAAACTGACGAGAGAGGATTGGAGCGGAGGAAACGGAATGAATGAATGAATCTCTGCTCTCCTCTGCTCTGCTCTTCCCTCTCTCTTTTCTTTTTTTCTATCATGATTATTGTTGGGTACTTTTCGGGCTAGGTCTGGGCTCACCGTCTCATCTCCTATCATCTCATCGCATCTCATTAAGAAGACTGACTATTCTTGCTTTATATGCCTGTCTCGTTTTGGCTTTTGTTCTTCATCCTCCGCCCGCTCATGTGCTCGTGTCTTGGTCGAACCTGCGTCTTAATCTCACGGCGCTGCAGTTTTTAGTGCAGGTACTCCCAAACTACGCCGTATCGGTGTATGGCCTTCCCCTCGCGTCAGAGCCAGGAACGAAGGTATCTTAGCGCTGGGCCAAGGCGAGAAATGTATGTATGCAAGTGCTCACTTGTACATACATAGGTACATACATACTATGGTACATTGTCTAGCACACCGCACAGGCCAGGCCTTCGTTCCAGGGGATTGTGCAACGAACCTGGGACCTTTTTTGGTACCAGCTAACCTGTTTGTTTCCCTTCCCCTTCACCCCAAAGAGGCTGCCCGCCCTGACCCCAAAGGCGCAGTTGGTTAGGTATGGCCTGGCTAGGTAGACAGAAAATACATGAGATAAGCCGCGGTACTAGGCAGCTCAATATCAAACTGAGTGAGGCTCTTGGGGATATCCGGGGTCCCTCCTCGTGGTGTCATCCATTCTCAGCACGGTGATTGGATCATGCCCCTTCGCCAGTTCAAGTGGGTAAATAGAGGCTGTCGCTCGCTAGCTCTGTAGCTTCAGTGCAGGTCATACCATGCCCAAGCACTGGCCACCAGAGGCCGTAGTCGTAGATCGGGAGGGTGGTCTTCCAGGATCACAGATCACAGCCATCGGAGCCACTGCAGTCTGTGGTATGCAAATAACTTGTTAGCCGTTGATAGTTATCTGTGCTCCGTTACGTCTGGCTGGCCCTGGCCCGGCCACAATGCTTGCTTGAAAAGAGAATTCCTGCTGACCAGTGGCCGTGGCGGCATGGGCAGACAAGGGTTGGCGGTAGCCACGTCATGCCCACCGAGGTACCCTCAAAGTACACGTCTGAGTGCTGTCTGCAGGCGGCTGCTGCTGAGTTAGATGCAGTGAGTGAGATACGACTTGCCCTTCTTTGAGACCACTGGCACACGCGTCTAACAACTTGAATCAGCAGGGTCAACCTCGTCGTAGGGTTGAAGAGCATAAACTTGACAAAAAATGATGATGAGGGCGGAGTGAGGTTGACTAATAACCCCCAGGGGTTCATGTATGCGACCGTTGCTCTCTCCCCACGGACGGCCCCGAGTCCTAGTCAGGAACAAAGATGGAGGTAAAGTACGGTTAACTGTTACCGTCCTGGGAAAAGGGCGAAGGTTGTGATTGACACCGAATTCTCGAAGTGATCGGACCATTTGCTCAATCTGTCATGGTCGCTTCCCAGTTCCCACAGTCTCCATTTGTTCTCCTGACAGCTGCAGAGAAGAGAAATTACCTACGTCCCCTGCAAGTCTTGAACATGCCTACCATACATAGTAGGTCCGAGCAATGCTGGGAGTTGGGACTTGCAGTTCTGCCATGTCATAAATTCTGCACCAGCCTGAGTCAGTCAATGTGTGTGTCGATGTCTAAAACTTGTTGACAAAAGGGCAACGCCTATCTAGGTACCTACCTGCCTCGGGCTTTTAGAAAAACGGAGCGGATTTTTAGAAGAAAACCTAGGCGGTCAGGTGGGACCGTGGCAGGAACAAACCACGCCTGGATCTTTGTTGCTTGTTTTTCTTTTCCCCCTTTTCTCACCACGCCTTGCGCCAGTGCTCTGTGCTACAGATAAGGTACAGTAGGTAGGTACTATCCACGGGGAGCTGGAATTAACAATCTCTTGTCTGTCGGTTGTCTGTGCTGTGCGTGCTGTTGCTTGGACCTTAGTCATCTGGCAATTTCTCGCTGCTTTTTGCATCTACTTTCCTCAACTCTCGTCTCTTGCGGAGGTACAAGAGAGGAACAAGTGGATGATATTATTAGGTAAGGTGGGGAAGGTAGGATCGCGGCGAGGAAGCAGAAAAGGGAAGCGACATCCCTGGCATGGGTTGTGCCGAGCCAATGGTCGACTGACCACAATGCCCAACCCAGATTGACCAGGCCTGTCAATGTGAAACACGCCTGCCACCATGCTTCAGAAAATAGCGTTGGCACTAGAATCTGGCGCTAAGCTCTCCTTGGATTCGCCCCGCCCCCCCCCGCTTGCCCAAGCCGGCCTGAATCGGCCCTCTTGGCTGCGCCAGGGTCCAGCAGCCCAGCTGACGACACGGCAAGAAAATACACAATTGTTGCGCGGCTGGCGCTTTCTGATTCACCAGTTTCCAGCCGGACTGCAGCGGCGAAAAGAAGAGGCGGAAGCTTTCCAGCAACGCTCACCTATCCAAGATCCCACACACGCACACGCTTCGGAAGGCGTTGAAGGCTTGACGCTGTGCAAGGGTATTGTTCGGACGAGGATTGGTTACTGCTGATGGGCAACTACACCAATGAACGGACCCCAATCCGGATTCTTTGATAGAGGGCATCCCAATGATTGGTGTGTATTGAAGACTACGTTCATTCAACCAAAAAAAAATTGTTTGCTTTCTCCTCTTCTTCCTCTTCTTCGCCTTGTTTCTCGCTTCGTCCCGTCGTAGCCGCTCACTTCTCTAAGCGCTTTTACGGTTCAACTCATCTTCTGCCACTCGCATTTTGCGACTGCCGGCCTTTTCCCATGACAATAAGCCTAATTTGACTCTCCCCTGCAACAAAGATCTCCGAGCCGCGATCCTAGCTCGGAAGCTATCTGAGAGCAGGTCTCGCTCGGTATTTGGAGAGCGGCTTTATAGTAGGCTCCGCCTTGCGTACCTGGTTTCCACTACGTATTGCTCTTGCTATTGCTATCGCTATTCGCTTCCGCCCTCGCCTCCGGTGTGGGCACCTTCCGTTGAGCTGCTGAATTGCTGGATGCGACCAACCTCGTGAGTTTACAGGCCATCCTTCGCAGCCCCCAAAAGAGTTGTTTCCGCTGCCACGAAGGGTAGACGGTCCGGCCGGCATAGGCTTGCGCATCATTTGGGGCCGGTACCACTTGAGGCTAGTTCAGTGCGGCAATGGGAGGGTGAGTGGGGGATCGCAGCATGGTTAGAAGGGTCCGTTTGATCGTCCTAGGCAGCATGATCTGAAACTCGAAACTTCAGGTATCACCGATTTGGCTTGGGATTGGTCCCCTAGGCAGTTTTCCCATTCTCTGTCGCGGACATAAGCTACAAGCTATGGCTGGCGAGGCTAAATCGGGTTAACGAACATGGCCATTGTCGACCTTTGTTCAGTCGGCTGCTTGCTTACTTGCTTGCTTGCTTGCTTGCTTGCTTGCTTGTTGGTTGCGTGCTTGATGATTGATCGTCCCGCCCGGCCCTGACCTTTTTTGCATTTCTTGATCTCGCACGCCCCCAGTCCGTACCGCCGGGATTCTGGCCTGCGTCTGTATACGAATCTGTGCTACACTCGGGTCAACACCACTAGCCACTTGGTCCATAACGGATGCAGCGGATCGTTGTAAAATCTGTCTAGGTAGGTAGGTAGTTGCGATACTTTCCAGTAGCTGTAAGGCCCCATAATCTCGACTCTAGGTATATATACCTTCGTTGACGCTGAAGGATATCCAATACCGTAAAGAGTTCGCAGTGTGGCCAGAATGAGATTGAAACCCTATTTACAGACGTTCTCTCCACCATGGCGCTTGCTCTCTCTTCCCCTTTCCCCTCCTGCTGGCGGCTCTGGCCCGCCATCTGGCAACGAATGAGGGTCAATTTACATATTGTCCGATCATGATTTGAGCTCTGCACCAGTTTCTGGACTCAAAGTACCCCAGACCTTGGGATTGCTATTCATTATGGATGCATATCTTTCGGACGAATCATGAAGACGGGCGTCGTCGTGGTCCCCTCTGGTGGCTCTCATTCAGCCAAACCAAGTCCAGAGAACGGATGAGCATGGACCTGCCGCCGCCTGCAGCTTACAGGCTACACGAGAGCCACTGGACTGTCATCTTGTGACCGTTTCACAATTTTCAACCACCCATCCAATTCTCGTAGCGTAGTATCGGCTAAGCTTAAATCGAACCGCCGCAGAAGCTCTTCAGGCCACTGATTGGCCCCCTCACATCTGCCCAGCCTTCTGCTTTTAGCTCTTGGCTCGCTCTCTGGCCTTCAATTTTCGGCCAAAAATAAGTCCAGGAATAGAATGTGGTCTGCGACCTAACTGCTGGCCAGGCGACTGGCCGTGGCCGCAGAGGATGGGCCAGCTGCAATGACGAAAATACACAATGCGGCGCCAGAATCCAGCCGCCCACCGCCTGTCGTGCGTCTTCCACTCCGCAAATTCGAGATCGGCACGGCGGCTCTGCCCAATCGTGCAGTCGAAGATCAGCCTCTGCTTCCCGGCCCTGCTTCCCTGTTTGGCATCAAACGCGGGTGTAGGGAAAGGAGGGAAGGCATACGCAGTATGGTGCCGGGAGGACGAACAGGTGGGAATCGATCCTGCCAGTGGTGTCGCGGGAAGGGACATTGGAATTCTAATGATCGAGTGAAACCGATGAGCGATGTCCGAGGGGTGCATGCAAGGGTTGGGGGCCATCACGGGCGGGAGAGAGAGAGGATCTGCTCGTGGATGGGATGGAGGTGCCGTCTTCCTCTGTGGTGGCAACCTCCCGTGCTTGCTCTCTTCCTTTTTTCATGGTTTGTTTATTCGCAACTTACCCTCAAGTTGTCAACAGCCCATGCCCGATCGGTTGTTGGCCAACGCTTGAGGGTGATCTCGTGGAATTCCTGAAACACTGATGGCCCTTGCGCTCTGGGACCTAGCCCGGACCCACTCACTTCCCCTGCCATATTCCCAATTTCTCATTGGTGTACCTGGATCGTGCATGAGCCATATCCCAAATGAGGCTAAGTAAGGATGTGGACCCCTCTCTTCGTGCAGCACGAAAGACCACCATCACTGCATTCGAATGTAACCAGACGCAGGAACGGGCGAACGGGCAGTGGGAAGGTGATGATGGTGGGATGGTGATGGAGGAAAAGAGGGCCCAACGCACCTCGCAAGAACCCGGTGCGGTCGCAGGGTCAAGGCGAGTGCAGACGAATGCGGTTGCTCATTACAATGTCATGCAGGAACCGAAACAAGCGCCGCGATGGGCTAAGTTCTTCAGCGAGCCCAGCAAGGGGGATGAAACACGAGGGGGTCCGTCACATATTTTTCCAGAAGCAAGGGAACAACAAATGGGAACAACAAATGGGAACAACCCTCCACTGGCCCTGACCTCGAGCTTGAATCGCCTTGGCCCATGCATGATTTGAAATAGGACCATTGGCATTCTTGACGACGGGCAGGGATGTACAGCTTCTTCTTGTCCTGGCATGCCGATATCCGCAGCCGCCCAGGTATGGATGGATGGATGGATGCTGGACGGTTCGGCTGGTAAAGCGGGAAAAGCCCATTTGCGCCGAGAGGCATCACCAAGACCATGCAGGGCGGCAGCCATGTAGAACAAATCACATCGGCAACGCAGTCACGAAAGACGCGAGCTCGGTAGAGGATTGTTTATGCTGTCGGATATAGGTAGTTAGTGGACGAGCGAGTGGAACGTGAGCCAACCTGGAGATCGCTGGGCAAACGAACCCACCCCTTTTTCACCTTTTCTTGGGGAAAAGCGATCCGAGGCTGAAATAACGGCACGGGGTGGCATGCACAACACGGGCAGAGATGCCTTAGTAGCCTCTCCTAATGGCTGTTGACCATCGATGCTATTATCCTTCTTGTTGGCCGATGTTTCAGACCTCCTGGCACTCGCGAACGCATGCCACCACCATCTTGGCCATGTAAGCCATGGCAGACATCTCCAAGGCGGTGTGAGACCGTGAGTGTTCTGTCCATATTAGTGCTTTGACACCCCCTGGCACCCACGGCTCGATTAGTGTGGGTTGTGGCTTCTCAACTTCTCATTGACCTAGCCAGCAACAGCCATCTGAAACATGACACACAATTCCCATGGCCCTATTCTCGACACCTGGTCCTGGTCGTGGAAGGAGGCGCCTTTCGGTGTGTCACAGCGCTCTGCCCAAGGTGCTGTTGCTCCGTGGGTGTGGGGACTGTGGGTAGGCACAGAGCACTTGTCCGGCGGAAGAGATCCCTGCGCCTCTCGTCGAGGATCCCCATGTCTTCTTGCTGTTATGCTGTCGTTCACCTGGGGGCGAGGGACGGACGGGCTGGAGATCTCTGCTCAGATCCTCGAGTAACGCTGACGAAGAGACTACCCTCGACTTTCTCTACCCTCACCAGGCACCACCCTTGGCTTATGGGTCGAGATATCTCGTCTCCCTGTTATTGTCTGGCCGTTGCTAGTCCCCGGTGCCGGTCAACATGACCCTGCCAGAACCGGACTCTCAAGATCGCGGGTCATTAGCCGTCGACCTCCCCCGTCGCCGCCATGGTATCCGGCAAACAAGCCGAGGGCCCCACCGATCCCAAGATGATCGACTTCTGAAACCGCAGGGCTCCTCGATGATGTTCGCTCCCGGCTTCCATGATTGGCGGGTCTCTACGAACTGCTCCGAGAGCATGAACCTTGGACGCTCAGACGCAAGCGTCCAACCGTCCCAAATCAAGCTAGGGAGCTAAGCAGGCTGCTTTGCTTTGATGGATAGAGGTCCATGGACGCGTTCCTGAATGTCAGCCTCGCCTCTGACTGGCCGTCCGCTCCTCCCAGGAGGAGGGCATGCATGATGCGGATCCTCGCAGCACGTGGAAGACGGGGTATAGGCCCTTTAGGAAGAGAGGAAACAATGGTCGAGGGGTTCATGCGCTCGTCGGCTTGACTGCCTTTACTTGCCCATTGTTGGCGGTCAGAGGCAGTTGCATTGATAGAACCATGCGCAGGGAACTCCGTCTCTTGCCAACTGGGCCATCCCCAGACACCTGCAGTTCTCCGTGGTCTTCTACCAACGCCATTGAGGGTGTGTGGACTGCGTCTTTCATTGCCTGCCTGCTGATATCGAGATCTCTGTCATGACCAACGGCCTCGTAAGCCTGATGCTGCAGGGCATTCGACTCGGGCTGTCTTTCTTTCCGGCGTCGTCGAACCGTGTATGATCCATTTGTACTGATCCATTTGTACTTACAGTTAAGGATCTTTGAGCGAGGATGCGCCAGTGCCATTCCCATGAGCTACCATAACCTGGTAATGGAAGCATATCCCACTCCAATACTCTGCTTGGGTTACACTGACGTCCTTCTCTCCGCACGTGCATGCTTCCCTCGCAAAGCTGCCGTACCGTCTCCTTGCTGCAAATCACCCACTAGCACAGCACCGCTTATCCCCGGGCACTTCCCCATCTATCCGAAGAGCGGGACCCGGGCGCGATGCCTAGTATCGCTGGAGATCGTCCGCTTCTAGCGTTTCTCCAGAAGAACGCCCCAAGGGAGCGTCCGCAAGCCGTACTATGTAATCCTGCTATCAGTATATCGGCTTGGTTGTTCCTTGCTCTAGACTCCATAACATTTACGACTCTGTCTTGGTCCAAGACTTCCATAGACTTACTAACGACTGTGTTAGGAACTTCCAATAGCTCTGGCAACCCGAACAAACACTTGGTGTGGAGGTTAGAGGCTTATATTCCTCCCATGCCACTCCATCGTAGAGAACAGGAGGGCTACAATGGCCTTTATTTAAGAGACAGGAACCCGAAAAAGCACGTTGTTGAAGTAGACTAACTCGCCGTGAGGGCTTTATTTAAAGAACTCTGAACTAGTGACATTGACCACGCTCCGTTATGCCATGCAATATCATCGACCCATCTCAACTACTAGCCAGAGTCTTCTCCAGCATCTTGATACCCTCCCGGACCTTTGGGCAGTAGTGCCTCCTCAAGATCTCGCCCTCCCAGATCGTCGTCGCGAACGGATTGCTGGCCTCGATGCTCTGACTCAGCGCGTTAAAGGTCCCGTCCCCCTTCCTCTCCTCCGTGTTCCACAGCGCCTTGATCTTTCTCCCGTGGGTGTTGGCCACGTCGTCCAGCAGGGCGAGGACCGCCTGGCAGGACTTCTCGGGCATGTGCAGCGACGCCGACATGAGCTGCTTTGAGAAAGCGGCCAGCCGCAGCGGGGGCACGGAGCGGATGTTCCAGGGCGGAAGGAGGACCGCGCTCAGGCACCTGGTGATCAGCACCGTCATGGTCTCGAGGTTGACCTTGTTTTTCGCCGTGTTGTAGGCTGGCATGTCGGGATCGGGCAGGTGGAGGGACTTTGCGTTCAGCTCCAGGTCGGGGTTGACGGACATGGAGAGGAGGCCCCGATAGAGGTGAGTGGTGAAGTACGAGAGATCCAGGTGCAAGTCTGCCCGAGCATTGTGCGCATCCTGGCCGGCGAGAAGCGCGAAGGCGGTAACGGTGCAGAGGAGAGCCTCTCGGCTGGGATTTCGGACGACTGGGATGCTGTCATCGTCATCCTCGTCGGACTGCTCCCCCTGGTCCTCCATGTCCTCGTCGCTATGGCGGATAAGATCCTTCAGAGCCTCGAGGAGGTCTCCGAAGAAATCCTGATTGATGAGGTGGGCATACTTGGCGAGCCCCTCGAGAGTGGCACCCATGAGCTGGGGAGATCTCACTTTCAAAATGCGGAAGTAGGTGGCGAAGACCAGCTTGAGGGTATCGGATTGCATGCGGTCCCGTTCCTCGTGGCTGACCAGTGCATCGGCCTGGGCCATGTCCTTCTGGAGTGCCTTCTGCTCCTTGAGGTCCTTCCGCAGCCTCTTCGTACGGAACTCCCTCTTCTCTTTCTGCTTCTTCCCCTTTGGAACAACCTCTCTTGTCGGGCGATCCACGCTGTCCTGCGATGCCTTGCCCGAGAACTCGGAAAGAAGACGCAGGTGGAGGAAGAGGTTCAAGACGCTCTGGTCCGTTCGGTAGTCGCGTGTCTTCATCATTTTCGACAGGAGAGAGACTGCTTCCAGAGAGGGTCTCCCCTCCTCATCTTCCCTAAACAGGGTCTCAATAGCATCCCGGCACTTGTAGAATGTCTGATCTGGCCTTCTTGAGCTGAGCTTCCTCACGAGGATCCTCAAGAGCTCATTGCGGAAGTTGAAGTGGGGAACCGCGTTGAGCAATGTGCAGGCGCAAGTGATGGCAATTGTTGACAGATCCTTCCCAGCTTTCACTTCCTGAGAGTTTGTAGACCTGGATACTGCATATTGTGCAAGCTCCTTGATATATCCCTGATACCCAGACACAAGAGCCTGTTCGTAAGCCCGTACCACCTTCACATCCTTGGACAGCTTCTCCTCAGCAGGGCTCTCGGAGGCGGGACGTATCCGATAGCCCGGGATCACGTCCCTATACACCGCCATTTGGGCGACAAGGCAGATCTTCTGGACAGCGGGCAACTTGGACTGCCCCAGCCTGGCGAGTGCCTTGAAGGCTCCCGGGTGCTCCTCCGGGTTTTCGTTCAGCTGCGTTGCCAACTTGGCAAGCTCCTCCTGGGCCCTCCGGACCTGCTCACGGGCCGGTAGCTGAGGCGCTTCCGGCGCAGGTTTTAGGAGGGCCTGGGCTGGTTCGGCGGCGTCCTCCCCGTCGCTCCCAAGCCAATCGGCATCGCTCTTTACAGACGCATCGTCATCATCCAATGTCTGGAGGTGTTCAATGCGGCCATCCGACGACTTGATAGGCAGCCTGGTGCTCTCCTTATCCTTCTTCTTGCCTTTTCTGGGCCGGGATTCGTAATCTTGCTCAAGATTCCAGCTGGCAGCGTTCGCCAGGAAAGCTTTCTTGAGCTTTTTGGAACTGGCTTTGGGGGCATGTTCATCGTCTGATAGGGGTGGGGTCAGCTTCCGCCTCTTGGAAGGTCTTGAAGCCATGGCGTCGATATTTTGCGGCCTGCCCTTGAAAATTCTCCCAAGTTTCTGCAGCTCGTGGCTCAAGGGATGGAAATTTTGGCCAGGGGATGTTGAATAGTGGGGTAGGCTTTCTTATCAGGAAGGCGTTTGATTGGATAAATCTCTTATCTATCGGGAAAACTCCTCTCCGACCAAAAAAATTCAGGTCAGGTCCATCCATAAGTTTCCCAGGCCTCGTCTTAGTCCCCGCGCCTGGATGAGCGAGAACTTCCTCTATATTCTCGTCACAGATACAGAAGGAGTTGGTTGACGAAGCCATTCGGAGGCTTGCGAACAATATGGCGACCTCACTGGCTGCGCAGCTGGCGCAGATTTCTGCCAACTCGAAAAATTCGCTGAATATCAAGACACAAAGAGCGGCGCATTCCAAGTCCCTAATCTTCGAGCCGCGGGTCGCTACGGGCCAGAGCTTTCAGACCATCTACACGGTCTGCCACGATGGTTTTGAAGATTTATGTCGCCTGGACAGTCGGTTTACTCAATTCAGTACCACCCTGTTCAGTGAGCAGAGCCAGGATGAAGACCGCACCCAGTTCACAGCTACCGAGAATGAAATGTTGGACAAGAGGATCGATGCTTTTCTCCGCCTTGCTGGGGGGAGGTTGAGACTTATGCCCGCCATTAAAGCAATTGAGTGGCTCATTCGAAGATTCCGGTACGTATTAAAGGGTCGTGTTCAGGGGATTATTCTGACATGGGGATAGGATACATGAGTTCAACACGGCGAGTCTCCTTGCAACTTTTCTCCCATACCATTCGATTCCGGCATTCGTCACCTTGATGTCCATATTACCACCGATCATTCCGCCCCAGTACAGGTTCCTCGACCCATACATCCGGTCTCTCACTGCACCTCCTCGAGCTGCCATCGTTCAACAGGCAACCAGCCGGCCCGAGTTGCTCTTGTCCATATCCGCCTACACTCTCGAGTCATGTAAATCGCAGCTGGACTACCCGGCTTTGATATCTTTCTGGGGAGGGATCATGACGGAGGCTGTCAATGGCATGCTTGACCGGATGAGGTCCGGGAGGAGAAGCATTCAGGCGGAAAATGACATCGCCTTGCTCCAGCTAGTAGCGCCGATTCTCAGCGAATCACTAGTGATGAAGAAAGTCCCTGGAATTCAGATTGCGAGCTACATGGTTGTGGCGGTCCTGACCTCCAAGGGAAATCTTGATGACGCCGCCCTTTCGGCCTTTATGGAGCAGCTTGTTCACGGCTGGACAAGCGAGACTCTGCGGCCCGGGCTCATATGCCTATCGATCCTCGCTCAGTACCGCTCCACAAAGCCACTTCCTGGGAAAGTCGCCAAGTCGCTTTTAAAGGTGCCTGATCTCATCGAGAGCCTGCAGACCATAGGCGAAAACTATCGAGTAGACAAGCTCGCTAGTGGACTTACCCTTGGTCTGATCGACAGGCTCTACAAGAAAGGAGACTCTCGAGTGCTGCCTGTCGTCAAGTCGATTCTCTTGGGTACCATTCTTTCGGAGAAGCAAGTTCGGACAGCCTATAAGGCACTTCTAGTGGCGGCCCACCGGATCGACGATGAGACCGACCAAAGCGGACAGATACGGAAGCAACTGGGATTGGCCCTGGTCATGCTCTCCCAAGAAGCTGGAGAAATAGGGGAAACAATACGACAGACCATTGAGGAAGTGGATTTCGACATCGAGGAGTTGGAGCTGAAGTTGGAAATGATAGTCCGCCCCAAACCTGCCATTGAGGGACGGCCATCAGATGATGCCGCGATGAAGGACGGCGATCTGGCCACACCCGCTCAAGAAGACTTGGATGGCTCCCTCGAGCGACTGTCTCAGCAGAGTCGTTCTGTGTCTGATTGTTTTTCTCACGGCTCGGACACATTGTATGGCGAGCTTTACTCCCTGTTCCTCTCCTGCGCCTCGACCCGAGATAGCCTTGTCAAATTTGACGAAGCCCCTATTCTATGCCGATCATCTACCCCGACGGACGCTTTTTATCTGAGCTTCTACATCCGCGTCTGGTGTGGCCCCTACCCGACTTTGGCAAGAGCTACAGCCCTCGAGCAGGCGAAGCATCGACTAAAGGCCGAGGACTGCGCGGACGTGGATTTCCAAGCCATTCTTCCCTATTCCATCGCTGCTCTACGAGATCCAGCTAAGAAGGTCCGCCGGGCCGCTGCAGAGCTCATCGTTGCCTTGGGAACCTTGTACCCGGAGACACAATCAAGAAAAGAGCACCGCTGGGCCTCTGAAAACGGGACAATAGGAAAGGCACAAGCGATGGACTTTGGAGCTGCGCAAAGTTTAATTCACAGGATTCTCATCCCAGCCCTGGAAGAATGTATCATTGACCATGGCCACATCTCCGTAGCTCTGAAGGATGGCCTGTACGGCTCAAAACCGTCTTCTTCAGAAGCACAGCCGGGCAAGAAACATACGCACTCGCTTTCTCATGCGACGAGGCTGTCGATCATGAGGGCGCTGTCAAGTCACGCTATCTGTACGCCATTCCTCTTGGTTAAGGTCAGGCTGCTCGATGCCCTGAACCAAGTCCGGAGCATCTCAGGTACCTCACGCACACAACTCTTGCTTCCCTTGCTCCGATGGTGGGCAGGCCTCGGTCAAGATGGTGCACGGAAATTTGCTGCCCGCGAGGAGCTCGAGGAAGCGGCGGTAGATTCTGCGTGTGTGGATATCGTGGATGCCAATGATAAACCAGGGCTTGATGTGCTCTTCGACCTTGTCAAGACGCCACAAGTTACGGAACGACCTAATTTCCTGCAGAGCATCTTCTCAAGGATACGAAAGATGTGGCCGTCGATGAAGGGAGACACGAAGTTCTCTACTGCGCAGACGATGTTGCAACTCTCTCACGAAGCGTCTCAAGCGTCACCGGGGCAGAATCTAGTCTCGATCGAGTCAGCAGACCTTCTTCGGAACGTTGATTTGACAACAGACATTCTCCTCGAGTTCCTAGAGTCCTGCAGAGATTCCACCAAAATCGCGACAGAGATTCCCGCGAACAAGCGCCGGCGGGTCAGCTCCTCGGACCATAATCGCAGCATCAACCTGCAGAGCACGCCCGAGACCAGGGCCCTCCTGAACAAGATCACCTTCGTGCTAGAACTTATTCAGGGGTCCAAGCCAGAGGATCACCCGCAACTGCTTCACAGTCTCTTTACGACTCTGTCAGACCTCCAGTATCTTCGGAATCTCGTCGGTTCCGAACTAGGGTATCTTCAGAACCTGGTTCTCAGCAGCCTCCTTGCAATGATTCCCGCCTACAAGAAAAACAAGAACCTCCAGATCGATGCCTCTGTTGGGCATTGGGATGTCTTGGTCACGTGTATCCAGAGGTCTTCGAGTCCCGCGGTGCAAAACGCAGCGCTTCTCCTAGTGGCAAGTTTGGCGAAGACAGCGCCGGATGTTGTCCTCCACAGCGTTATGCCCATCTTCACGTTCATGGGCAGCTCGGTCCTGAGACAGGCGGACGACTACTCAAGCCATGTGGTCAACCAGACCATCAAGGAGGTCATCCCACCCCTCATCGAGACCTTCCGCAAGAGTCGTAGACCTTTGGTTGCGAGCGCCTCAGAGCTGCTTTCGAGCTTCGTGGTCGCCTACGAGCACATTCCTTCTCATCGCAGACACGTATTGTTCCTGTCCCTGGTCGAGAATCTGGGACCACACGATTTCCTCTTCGCCGTGCTTGCCATGTTTGCGGATAGGTATGGCACGACCGACGACATTCTTGGATTCCTCGTTCAGATCATGGACTCGTTCAGTGTCGAGATACAGCTGCAGAGTCTGGTCAAGTTGCTGGATTTGGTCCGCGACATATTTAAGCCCAAACCAGGCCTGTCAGCTGTGTTGTTGGAAAGGAGCGACGACAGCGAGCAGGAGTCCCAGAAGATCGCACTCAAGGAACTGACTCTTCTCCCGCACCTCTTGGGCAACCGCCGACTCAAGGCCGAGATTGCCAAACTCGCCGAACGGGATGACATGGAAGCAGCGAAGATGCGGGATTCCTACGCCACTCTCCTGGAGGATATCCTAACACTGGCCGACGTGGTGAAGACCAAGAAGCCGCTTTACAACCGGTGCGGCGATGCTCTATCTGGCCTCCTGAACCTGCTGTCTATCGGAGAGTTCATCAAGGCTGTCGAGAACCTCCTTGACCGACCCAACGTTGCCCTTCGACAGAAGGTGCTGCGAGGACTGGAAATGCGCGTGGACAAGGAAGGGACCTCGGACCCCAAGTCGAGGACTGCTCTGTTGGCATTCCTGCCGCAGCTGACAGCCGTCATCCGCGAATCGGACGATGTTCACTACAAGCATACCGCCATTGTGTGCGTGGACAAGATCGCCGAGAAATACGGGAAGAAGGATATCGAGGCTGTCACGGCTGCTGCCGCTACTATTGCGGGTGACCAATGCCTGGGACAGTCGTTCGACCGCCTCCGGATCATGGCTCTTCTCTGCCTGGCCTCCCTGGTCGATGTGCTACAGGACGCCATCGTGCCAGTCCTGCCATCCGCCATCCCCAAGGCCCTAGGCTACCTAAGAGAGAGTCTTGAAGGAGAGAAGGTGGACGTCGGGCTGCACAATGCTTCTTATGCCTTCCTTACCTCGCTAGCTCAGCACTTGCCTTACATGTTCTCGGGCGCATATCTCGACGAGCTCTTGGTCTGCTCCAATATCTCAGCCGAGGCAGGGTTGGATGATGAGGCTGATGAGAACCGACTACAATGCCTTAGACTCCTGGCCAGGCTGGTCGATTCAAAGGCCATGTTCACGGCACTTGAACATAACTGGACCAAGGCTGCGGATTCTGGCTTCTTGGTAAGTGAACGGCTTCCATCGAGCGATAGAGCGCGCGTACTAATGAACCTGCAGGCTCTGACGGAGTATCTCCAAATCCTTGGCCTGAGTCTTGACAAGCATCCTAAATCGGCCATTGCGAAGAACATCCCAGCCCTGAGCGCCATCTTCATGAGTGCCCTGGATCTGCGGCGCCGGGATCCCTACAAGGAAATTACGGGTGGACAGGCAGCGGCAAGCCTGAAAGCCATTGAAGACACGGTGAACGAGGCCGCTCTCAAGATGGTCTACAAGCTCAACGACGCCGTATTCCGCCCCATCTTCACGGCGCTCGTGGACTACTCTGTCTCGGGAATACCCAAGCAGGACCGCATGGGCAGGATCCTGCGCCAGGAGAGCGTCTACGGATTCCTGTACGCCTTTTTCGACAACCTCAAGTCGATCGTGACCAGCTACGGAACATACGTCATCGACGGCGCTGCGGCGATACTGAAGGAATCGAACCCGAGGAACGCCGAGGAGAAGGAGCTGTGGAGGCGCGTGCTACGGACCCTCACCAAGTGCTTCGAGCACGACCAGGACGGCTTCTGGCAGGCGCCGTCGCACTTCAGCGCCGTCGCGCCCGTCCTCGTCCAGCAGTTCGGGCACGCGTCGGCGGTGGACGTCTCGGAGGAGCTGGTCCCGGCCATCGCCGAGCTGGCCGCCGCGGCGGACTCGCAGGAGCACCAGAAGGAGCTCAACGGGTCGCTGCTCAAGCTGCTGCGGTCCGAGCAGGCGGCGGTCCGGCTGGCGGTGGTGCTGTGCGAGCAGGCGCTGACCGACAGGCTGGGCGAGGACTGGCTCTCGATGCTCCCCGAGATGCTGCCGTTCATCAGCGAGCTGCAGGACGACGACGATGAGGTAGTGGAGCGGGAGACGCACAGGTGGATCGTCAAGATCGAGGGTATTCTTGGCGAGAGTCTAGACTCCATGTTGCAGTAGAAAGTGTGGGTAGTATATGTGCGTGCTGCTGTCGAGGTGCAGATTGAGAATAAAATAAATGTCGCCAAGGGATGAAGAAGATATGTGTCGTTCTGAATTACCAGTGTTGTGGAATGCCCATATTAAAAAACGTACACAATGACGGCCCAAGCCGCTTCCCAAACCCCTTGTACAACCCGAATGTCTCGGCCCCTTGCCTCCCGACATCGGGTCGCTGTTAGGTGGCAATAACACGGCCACGAATTCCAGCTCGCCCGATTCGGCGCATGGCGCCGGCGATCTATCCGCTGGCGTGCATCACGCCGGCGATTGCCCCGGAGCTGGAAACAAGGGTGTGATTTTTTCACCCAAGTTATATAGTTTTCACCTTGGGCTAGTGTCTATTACCCCCCATGTCTAAAAGCAGACACTATTTGCTGGATGCTCCACGTCGCCGAGTATGGCTGACGACTCCTGCGACGATGACCAGCCTCGGGCACAGAAGGGAGGAGAGGGGAAATCCAACAGGTTCTTTTCCGCGGTTTCGAAGCTCTTGAAGTTCATCCTCGCCCAGTGGCTTGTTATTGGGTTTGGTCTGAGCTGCCTGCTGGCGTATTTTTTCCCCAGTAAGTACCTGAACGAGTTTATTTGATCGACTCCCAACGGATCCAATCCTACGTCAAAATCTCGCTGGGATGGAGGCTTCAATTGGGTGACTGACTCACTCCTGCAGATGTGGCGGCACATGGCGGCATCATCAAGTCCGAATACACCATCCTATACGGCGCAGTGGCGTTCATCTTCCTCGTCAGCGGGTTGCAGCTGTCGCATGAGAAGCTGTTGACGAACCTGGCGAATTGGAGGCTGCACATCATCGTCCAAGGAGTCAGCTTCATCCTCATACCCGTGATACAGTTAGGTTCGTTTGATTGTTTGATTGTTTTGCAAACCCTTTCCTTCTACATACCCTCCTTCTCTCCTTCCCTTATTTGGGTCCGCCTAGCACGATTAACAACCCCCAGTTATCATCCGAATCATCATCGCAGCCGGCGACCTCCATTCAGGGGCCATAGATGTCAGCATCCTAGTGGGTATGGTCGTGGTGAGCTGCCTGCCCACGACCATCGCCTCCAACGTGGTCATGACCCGGGCGGCGGGCGGCGACGACGCGGCGGCCATCATCGAGGTGGTCGTCGGCAACACGCTGGGCTCCTTCATCTCGCCGGGCCTGATCTACGCGTTCCTGCCGCCGCAGCCCGTGTTCGACGCCTGGAGGCCCGCGTCCCCGAGCACGCTCAACCAGATGTACGCCCACGTCGCCATGCAGCTGGGCCTCAGCGTCGTGCTGCCCCTGGCCGCGGGCCAGGCGATCCGGTGGTTCTGGACCGAGCAGGTCATGTGGGCGATCGAGAAGCTCTACATTGCCAAGGTGGCGGCCTTCTTCCTGATCACGCTTGTGTGGTAGGTTTTCTTACTGGAGCCCCAGTGGTCCAGCTTTGCGACCCCCCCCCGACTGACCGTGGTTCCCACAGGACGACGTTCTCGGGGGCCTTCAAAACGGGGGCCTTGTTTCTCCTGCCGTCGGGATCGGTCATCTTTAATGTGTTTATCAACGTCGCCACCTACATGATCTTCACGGTCGCCTGCTTCTCCATCGCCAGGCCACCGCCCAAGGTCATGGAGGTGGTTAATCGCAACGTGGCGGACTCGCGACTCGGGAGGCGTCTTCCGGCAATCTTACGGAGGATGGTCACGGTCAAGCAAATGAGCAAGGAGCAGACAGTAGCTATCTGTTTCTGCGGTGCTGCGAAGACGACCAGCCTGGGGATCCCGCTCGTGTCGGCCATGTGGAAACAGGCGGATGACCTTACCAGGGCATATGTTCAGATTCCGGTGCTGCTGTATACCATAGAGCAGGTGTTCCTGGCGCAGATGTTGGTGTATTTCTTCAAGTGGTATCTTAGGAGGGATGAGAAGGCTGCTGGTGCCGACGAAGAAACCACTGCTAGAAGCAGCACCACCGCCCCAGGAAGCGAGCCACATATTTCCAAGGAGGAGGGAGAGGGAATCGGGAACTTTAGAGAATCGGCGACTGAGATAGACGGGGGACAAAACCAGAAGCTTCATGCTTGACGTAGAACTATATCAGCCATGTTTAGACTCTCATCTTCCTACCGGTCGTTCGTGCCAGCTCATCCTATCGCACACAACGTAGAACGCCAGGTCACTCTTCGTCACCAATGACGAATTGAGATAATACCCAAACGTGAAGCTGACAGACAATTGCACGATTGGACTGATTTCGAATGTGCCAAACAAGTCCAAAATAAAAATATAAATGAAGGTCACCTGCGTTGCTTGGATCAGAACCAAGAGTGATAACCCCTACACTACAGGACCATGTTCAGCGCTTAACGATATAATGAATTGTACGGATCCGTATATGCAAATTGGTCGTAATATAGCCCCACTCAGCTCTCATCTGCAAAACGACTACCCGGCGAGAACTAACACGCGCCAAAGAGAACAGAAGAAGAATGGCAGATCCAAAGCAGCAACTAACCCTCCAATCCACAACCCCACTACCCAGCCCCTCCCACCCCTTCTCCTCCTCCTCCTCCTCCTCCCCGTCCCCCGCCGTCGCAATGCCCCTCCTCGGCTTCGGCGTCTACCAGATCCACGGCCCCGCCGTCGGTCCGGCGTGCGAGGCAGCCCTGGCGGCAGGGTACAGGCACGTCGACACAGCGCAGCTGTACTGCAACGAGGCCGAGGTGGGCGCCGCGGTGGTGCGGGTCCTCTCGGGCGGCGTGCCGCGCGCCGACGTCTTCGTCACGACCAAGATCCGGCACTCGGCTAGATCGGGCGAGGCGACGTACCGGAGGGCGAGGGCGAGCGTGGGGAGGGTTGATCAGCGGGGGGTGGATGGGGATGGGGATGGGGAAGGGGATGGGGAAGGGGAAGGGGGCTATGTGGATCTGTTCCTCGTGCACATGCCGTGGGGAGGGCGCAGGGAGAGGCGGCTCATGTGGCTCGCGCTCGAGAAGTTGTTTGAGGAGGGCCGGGCGAGGGCGATCGGGGTGAGTAACTACGAGATCGAACACATCGAAGATATGAGAGGCTATGCCAAGGTCTGGCCGCCAATGGTCAATCAGATCCTTGTGAGTGGAGTGGAGGACTGTGTCCATTCAAAGGTAAACGAACCCTGGCGCTGACCACGACGAATCCCAAACAGCTTCACCCTTGGAAGCAGCAGCGGGAGCTTGTTGCCTACTGCAGGAAGCACGGGATCGTGGTGCAGGCATACAGCCCACTTGCCAGGGCGGGAAAGATGGAAGACCCGACGCTCGTCGCCGTGGCAGAAAAGTATGGAAAGACACCTGCTCAGATCCTGATTCGATACTCCCTCCAAAAGGGGTGGGTGCCACTCCCCAAGAGTGAGAGGCCTGAGAGAATCCGCGAGAATGCCATGGTGTACGACTTTGAGATCTCGGACGAGGCCATGGAAACTCTTGATGCCTTGGACGAACAGGACTAGGAGACAATTATCCAGGTACGTGGCAGGGAGTGTTCAAGACGGGAGGTCCCGACTTCGAGTTTCGAGTCATAGTGCAGGCTGCAATGGAGACCTGCCTACGTGCCTGTCATCAATGAGACATTCTTCGTAAACAACGGCCCCAGGCAACCGTGGTGACCTATACCCCTCGAAGCAATTGGTTACACTGTATGTATATTTGAAAGGCGATGCCCTGTTGATGAGTGTGGATCTGATATACCCATGACGGTCCCACGTCCACTGCGTGGACCTCGATGCTGTGTTACGGATACCTACCTATATTTCATTTTCGGTTTATTCCATTTGTACGTTCAATGGTTACACAAAGGAAAATGTAGGTATCCTTTTGTAGGTATCTACCACTGAACACGGTGTTGCACAGTGCTCGACACACATCGATGCCCCGCGCCGACGCCCCGCCAAGTTGGCAGGTACAGTACGTATATCCAGGCCATAGGCGAAATGCCGTGTTGAAAGTGCCTGATCAGAATCTCATCAACAACCACCACCAATTCCCATACCAGAGAAAGGGCTCATCTTCCTTGCCCTCCACGTCTTGAGAGCTAAACTCTCACACTCCCTCTAGATCTCCCCAGAGCATATTCAGCTACATCAACATGAACTTCGATCGCCCCCTTCGTGGTCACTGCCACTGCGGGCGTAACCGTTACATCATCCAAGCTCCCAAGAATACCAGCGAAGTTGCTCGGGTCCTCTTCAACTCGTGCCCATCTCACAGTAAGCTCCCCCACATAGCCGGACGTCTTCTTCAAGACCTACTCAGAATCTTGGGACCATCTAACCCCCACAATCCCAGGAGTCTCTCAAGCTTCTCCACTCGCCGCCCACATCCGAGTCCCGCTTGATTGGTACCGCAGCACGACATTTGCCTTCTTCCCAGATGAGACAAGCGCCATGATCCGCAAGGTATACACTTCGCCGCGAGAGCAGCACACGATGCGACACTTCTGCGGCTTCTGCGGCACCCCTCTGACCTACTGGTCCGAGGAGCCTCGCTCCGAGGCAGACTACATCCAGTTGACCCTGGGCAGCCTGTGCAGCGAGGACCTCGGCGACCTCGAGGACCTCGGGCTGCTCCCCGAACCGGACTCGGCGCCGCAGACGCCGACTGACTCAGCTATGGCGGCGCCCGAAGAGGGGCAGCTAGCCGTCCACAGCGGCCGCGAGACCGTTGGCAACGTCCCGTGGTTCGAAACGATGGTCGAGGGAAGCAGGCTCGGCAACCTAAGAACCGCCAAGGGAAGCGGCCAGAGCCGGGACGGGACCGTCAGGGTCGAGTGGGAGATTGTCGAGTACACCGGGGACGGTGGCAGCGACACACCACAAAGTGGGAAGAGGAAGCTGGACGAGCGAGACGACGACGGCGGCGAGCCCGGCGCGATGGAGGGAGTGGAGGGGGTTCAGCACTGAGGACACCTGTGCTGGAGCACATGACAGTCTCCACAGTAGCAGTCATGTCCATCCCGCTGCACCGGGCGTGCCTCGCTGGCGTGCCCCTCGCATCCTCCGCAGTGTTTCACGATCTCGATTAGTCTCCATCGGCTCTTTTCCTTTTTCCGGGCGCGTCTTTTTAGGGGGCGTTTCGGCGGAGGGATTTTCTCTCCTTTGTCAAGGGCACGGAAGGGACTCACCACGCGACGTTTCATTGACATTTATTTAGACAGCAAGATCCGCTAGCCACGCATCTCAAGGTTGCTGCACGAGCTATTGAAGTGTATGGTACTGTACATTGAGGGCAATTGGGGGCGTTCAGATGGCATTACGTACAACAGTGGCTGCTATCAAGGTTAATCCTGATGGGCTGACGACGGTCGAATAAGCAGGCATCCGAGAGCCATTGATGACAATCACAAATACATTGAAGGCATTGTTAGGGACTAGACCTTACCACAACTTCTTTGGAGAGTGGCTGTTTCGTTTGGCCCCTCACCCCGACAGTCCGATCGGTTTCTAGGCAACAAGGAATGTTGATGGTCGATTCCGGACGATCTCCGACACTTTCTCTTCTGAGTATCGGGGCTGGCATCCGAAGATCGCTTTTGGGGATCACCGGTAGCGGGAAGAGCTGCCTATTCTGTATTGTATGTACGATACAATCAATAGCATATAGGGCTCCCGCCCCCCCGGTAGACCCGCAGTTGGTTCCGCAGAATTGCAGAACACAGAACGGCACACAAGCCTTGGAAGGTGGGCGGGCTGCCTGCATCTACAAGCTTCACCTCGTAGCCGAGGATTACCCACCGTCCATAGCTGCCCCTCCGAATCCATATCAGACAGGGGGCCACGGGATCGGGAGGCGCTGCGCCTCCGGGCGGCGCGGCGAATAGTAACGCAGCAAGGCCCCAATGGCGAGATGCGGCTTTATTCTCTGGCTGCTCGACTGCCCGAAGTTCCTCAGGTTTTGCCGAAGTTTTAGCGATCGTGCCTCACAAAAGTCCTCCCCGCTCGAGCACCGTCGGCTTCGCGGCCCGCCAGTCACGGTTCCTAGTGGCAACGGAGAGGAGCGGACGACCGCAAAGATTATTGCGATTATTTGATGCCTTTTCGACGTTCCTGGGCTGGCTGGCTGGTATCACAGTCGTTAAATCGCAGGATGTCTTGATTTGATAGGGGAATGAGGGACGGGTGGAACCACACACTGTTTGGTTTCCAAAAGCGAGGTAGGGTTGGCCATGGAAAACATAGGTTTAGGCAGGTAGCAAGAAAAGCAACATTCCATTGACGGGGCGGGTTTCCCCAGTTGCACTGCTCCTCCTCCCCCTCCCCTCCTGTTTACCCCGCGGTGGGGTCAGGGCATGTTGGTTGCTGGGGCTGCTTGCTGGCACGGCTGGCCACCAACATCCTTCTCAGGCTATGCCCAGCCTTTCTCGGTCACGACGGTCCGAACGCGGGAGAATTGGGCAAAAGATCAATCAATCTCAGCGGACCCGAAGATGAAACGGTGCGACCGGTGCCTTCTAGCATAGTATAAAGATGCCGCTGCTCCCCCCATCCTCTCCTCTGGGGGTCGCTTCACTCTCTCGTAACTCACATAAATCTGTCTACCATCCTCGAGCTGTCTCCCCCCCACACACCTCCGTGCTACCTACTTCTTCCTATATACCTTCCGAGTTTGTGAGGTCCGCTGAACCTTTGTTGAGCCCGACCTGATCCTGTCTCGGTGTTTCCCCGGAGGATCACCCAGTACCCATCACGCCATGTCTCTCCCTAAGGACTTCATCTGGGGCTTCGCCACCGCCTCGTAAGTTTGACCCAACACGCTCCGTTCTGCGCTCTACGGTCGTGATCTCGGTCCCAGACAGTTAGCTAACCTTGGCTCTCCCCCCTGCCTCCAGATACCAGATCGAAGGTGGCGCCAAGTCGGACGGCCGTGGCCCATCCATCTGGGACTCCTTCTGTGCTATTCCCGGCAAGATCGCCGACGGCAGCTCCGGCGACGTTGCTTGCGATTCCTACAACAGGACCAAGGAGGACATCGACCTCCTGAAGTCGATCGGCGCCAAGGCCTACCGTTTCTCACTCTCCTGGTCGAGGATCATCCCCCTCGGCGGCCGCAACGACCCCATCAACCAGAAGGGTCTCGACCACTACGTCAAGTTTGTCGACGACCTCCTCGAGGCCGGCATCACCCCCTTCATTACCCTGTACCACTGGGACCTTCCAGATGAGCTGGACAAGCGCTACGGGGGCCTCCTGAACAGGGTTGAGTTCCCGCTCGACTTTGAGAACTACGCCCGCGTCGTTTACAAGGCCATTCCCAAGTGCAAGAACTGGATCACCTTTAACGAGCCGTGGTGCTCGTCTATCCTGGGCTACAGCACCGGGTACTTCGCGCCCGGCCACACCTCGGACCGCTCCAAGTCGGCCGTCGGCGACAGCTCGCGCGAGCCCTGGACTGCCGGCCACAACCTCCTCGTCGCTCACGGGAGGGCTGTCAAGGTCTACCGGGAGGAGTTCAAGCCCACGCAGGGCGGCGAGATCGGCATCACCCTCAACGGCGACGCCACCTACCCGTGGGATCCCGAGGACCCGGCCGACGTCGAGGCGTGCGATCGCAAGATCGAGTTCGCCATCAGCTGGTTCGCCGACCCCATCTACTTCGGCGAGTACCCGGCGTCGATGCGCAAGCAGCTCGGCGACCGGCTGCCGACCTTCACACCAGAGGAGGTGGCCCTCGTCAAGGGCTCCAACGACTTTTACGGCATGAACCACTACACTGCAAACTACATCAAGCACAAGACCGGCACGCCGCCCGACGACGACTTCCTCGGCAACCTGGAGACCCTCTTCTACTCCAAGAGCGGCGAGTGCATCGGCGAGGAGACCGAGTCCTTCTGGCTGCGCCCCAACGCCCAGGGCTTCCGCGACCTGCTCAACTGGCTGAGCAAGCGGTACGGCTACCCCAAGATCTACGTGACGGAGAACGGCACGTCGATCAAGGGCGAGAGCGACCTCCCGCTCGAGAAGATCGTCGAGGACGACTTCCGGGTCAAGTACTTTGACGACTACGTCAAGGCCATGGCCAAGGCCAGCTCCGAGGACGGCGTCAACGTCCAGGGCTACTTTGCTTGGTCCCTGATGGACAACTTCGAGTGGGCCGAGGGCTACCAGACGAGGTTCGGTGTCACCTACGTCGACTACGAGGACCAGCAGAAGAGGCACCCGAAGAAGAGCGCAAAGAGCCTGAAGCCGCTCTTCGACAGCGTCATCAAGACTGAATAGAGGACGGACGGATGGGGCTGGTCTAGATTGGATAGCCTAGATGAGAGTTTTTATTGAGGTGAAATAGAGCGCTCATCATTCCTTGCACGTAAATAATATGCTCTCCCTAAGGGACCCTATGTGTTTACTGTGAATGAGATGCCAGAGCAGAAGGGATGGCGCAAGAAATCGCCCATCCTTTTTGGGCATATCCTTTCGCAACCCCCTAGGTAGTGCTAGACTTATACTCTGTGAACCCGTATCCAGTAGCTTGTTGACCTCGACGGCGGAGAGAATAACGGACCACCACCGAAAAAGGGGGCCAATCCCTCTGTTTCTACTCTATCCGCCTTGCAGGGGTTGTGCAGTTTTATATTCCCTCATGCGGGTTGCCTTGGAAGCGCAGGCGGTACAGCTCCTTAACAAATTGTGCAAATTTCATCAGTATTTTAACAGTGCCTTGGTCCGCAACCAACACAATGACCTGAAAGGCTGAAAATGACCTCGCCATGTCAGAAGCATACATCCCGCCCCCCTCGCCCATCGACAACACACCCACGCAGCACGAGGGCACCGAACACTTGGCCATCAATAATACGCTCTTCCGCCGTTCTTGACTCTCCTCGCGCTCAAGACCACCGCGCGCTTCTACAGATACAATGGCCCTTGCATCCCCATATCCAAGCACCTCATCGTCAAGGCGAGCCCGTTTGTCCACCTCACCGAAGCCACCACTCTGAGGTTCATCGCCGAAAATACCTCCGTGCCAGTGCCCCACGTGCACTGTGCTTTTGTCCACAGGAACCGGGCTTACATCGTCATGGAGCGCATCCAGGAGGGACACGTTCGCAAAGGCCTGGAGGACACTGACGGACGCGGATCGCGAGAGTATTTTTGCGCAGCTTCAGCGCATGCTGCAGGAAATGAGAAAACTTGCGCCTCCAGGCACGCGGGTCGAGAGCTGCGTCGGCAGCTCCTTGCGCGATTCCCGCATTTCCCGGTCTAGACCCCGGTTTGGCCCGTTCAAATCGATCCAGGACTTCCACCTCTGGCTCCGTGAGGATCTCCGGCCGGAGGAGCATCCAACCCGCAAAGGTGACCAGGACTGGAAGGAAATCAAAGAGATGGTGGCCATGCAGGACAGGCGGTGGCCGCCTCCTGTGTTTACGCATGGAGACTTGAACCCCTTCAACATCTTGGTCCGCGGCGACCAGGTCCTAGGTATCGTTGACTGGGAGTTACGGGGTGGTACCCCTCATACTGGGAGTACACTTCTGTGTGGCACGGGAACCGGGTTCGGCAAGGGTGGCAGGACGTGATTCCCAAGTTCCTCGATCCGTGGGCCGAGGAGTTGAGGATGGAGATCATCCGCCAGAAGTGGTGGGGAGATTTCTAAGCAGTGGTTGCATACCGCACTTTGACGCCAGCTGGGGATGGAGCCTGCCTATGCGGCCGCAGAGCGGCAATATATTGTGGTTCGTAGATACGTCGACAGACGACGAGAGTTGAAAGGGGAGCATCCGCAAACGAAACTCGCGACTTCGTTCATCCGCCTAACCACCGCTATATATGAGTTTGGTTGCTAAAGCCAATACATACGTCGTTACCGGTTTGCAAGATAGCTACACGTAGGTAATTTTCTCCGGGATAATGCAGAGGAAAGGACCGAGGAAGGCATCTCACTGCTTTCGGGCAATTTCTTCGAGAGTGCAAAGCATCACAAAGTGTTCATAATTCAATGTCATGTTTTAGTTGGGGTGTACCCCAGTCTCGGCTATCTACGGCGCTAACGCCTACCCCGTGATGCCTGTGAGATCAGCGCTCCAAACTTGTGGAGTCGCAGGGCGACGACTATACGTAGGTAAACTGTACCTGTGAACCGTCATCTAGGGCGAACGGAAGTGGGCGGAGCGTATCCGAGGCTTTCGGTAGAACGCCCTTATAATAATAGATTTCGCACCCGTAGGCTCCTTCCTTATTCCAATCTATTTCTTCCTAGACATTGCTTGTTCCTCGTCATGTCAAACCCTCCATCACGGCTCCGAAACATACTCGGGCACCTCGGACTGTCAGGGTCGGGACCCAAGGATGGGGCAGATGGCCTCCGCAGCCACATCCACCAGCTCTCGCCCACCTTTTTCCTCGAGAGAGCCGCAGCCATTGAGCCCGAAGCCGAGGCTATCTACCACGTGACAGCCAACGGCAAGGTGCTGCGGCGGTCCTACCTTGAGTTCGCCGACCGGGCCCGCGGCCTGGCCTACTACCTTGTCAAGAACGGCTTCAAGCGGGTCGGCGTGCTGGCCCCCAACACGCCCGCGTTCCTGGAGTCCATCTACGGGGTTGTCGCGTCGGGCGCCGTCATCGTGCCTGTCAACTACAGGCTGAAGCCTGAGGACATCGCCTACATCTTCGACTTCGCCGAGGTCGACGCCGTCATTGCTGATTTCGAGTACGAGCACCTGCTGGAGCTGTACCGGAGGGACCACCCCAACACGCGGGTGATCAATGATACGGTTGGGCCAAAGTGACCCTGTACGACTTGTGTCTCCAATTTACTTACCAGAATGAGCAGGATACCGATGTTACTCGGGGGGAGCTGAGCGGACCCTTTGATGAGGTCATCTTGGAAGGCTTGACGTATGACCGGGAGCAGGGAGGCAATGGCTGGGCTGGCCTCCACTCACAGGCCACTAATGAGGACGACATGATTGCCATCCCCTTCACCTCCGGGACTACTTCCCGTCCAAAGGGCGTGGTCTACACCCACAGAGGGGCGTATCTCGCAGCCCTAGCAAACGTGGTGGAATCAGGCATGAACTACCACACCGGGCGATGCAAATATCTCTGGACACTGCCCATGTTCCACGCCATGGGCTGGACCTTCCCGTGGTCCATCTGCGCCGTCCGAGGCACAAACGTGTGCCTGCGCAAGATCGATTACCCGCTGATCTGGCGGCTGCTCAAGGAGGAAGGGATCACGCACTTCAACGCGGCGCCGACGGTCAACACGCTCCTCTGCGCGGCCAAGGAGGCAGAGCGCCTGCCGCGGCCGGTGCGCGTGACGGTTGCGGCGAGCCCGCCGACGGCGCACCTGTTCGAGCAGATGAGCGGCCTGAACCTGCACCCGGTGCACGTCTACGGCCTGACCGAGACCTACGGCCCCATCACAAAGGGCTACCACATGCCCGCGTGGGAGGCCCTCCCGGCCCCGGAGAAATACGCCCGCATGGCACGCCAGGGCCACGGCTTCCTGACCAGCCTGCCCGCGCGCGTCGTCAAGGCCGAGCTGGCCGAGCAGGGCGTGCTCGTCGACGTCGCCAGGGACGGTAAGGAGGTCGGCGAGATCGTCTTCGCGGGGAACATCTGCTGCAAGGGGTACTACAAGGACCCCGAGGCGACGAGGAAGCTCTTCGCCGGCGGGTGGCTGCATTCGGGAGACCTGGCGGTGATGCATCCCGATGGGAGCTTGCAGATCCAGGATCGGGCAAAGGATATCATCATTTCTGGTGAGTTGGAGAATGAAACTTGCTATCTGCAAGCCTCCCAATATTCCTCCCGATATTTGTTGTCGCGTATTGTTTTGTTTGTTTTGTTTTGTTCTGGCTTGTGCTAATGGGGCGAGTTAGGCGGAGAGAATATCTCCTCGGTCGCGCTGGAGAGCATGCTGGTCGAACATCCTGATGTTCTCGAAGCCGGGGTGGTGGCGGTCCCCGACTCACATTGGGGCGAGAGACCGAAGGCATATCTGACGGTGAAGGAGGGGAAGGTCCTGGACCCGGGTGCTGTGATCGACTGGGCAAAAAACCAGAGTTCGATTAGCAAGTTCATGATCCCACGGGAGGTCGAAATCGTGAAGGAGCTGCCGAAGACCAGCACAGGGAAGATCAAGAAGACCGTCTTGAGAGCGTGGGCAAAGCAAGGCCACAGCGAGTAGGTGGTTTGTGCACCACTGGAGATGTAGGTAGGATAAGCAGCCGCGTTGCGGGTGGAACTGGATTCAAAACATCTTGATACCAGGCGATGGTCTGCAACTCTGCATTTGCTCGTCGCCACGACATCCACGATATGGATGAAATGGATAATCAGTCGATTACGCGATAGGGCAGGTACGAAGTTACTACGCAGTTGTACTACCTTCAAAAAGCCATCTTCTTCGCGTCCCGGGCAAGCCCAAGAGTGCAATGAAAAATAGCGTCGCGTCGCCTGGAGGCAGTGTAATACCAGGGACACAGTGGAAGACGACCATGGGCAAGCCCAGAGGGAAGTCCTCCCAGTGACAAAAATAGGT